ATGCGGCATGATCTGTTGGATGAGTTGCCCGAACTGGATGAGTAACAGGAAGATGCTGAACATTTGGTTTTGCAGACCCTGAATTGTGTTGGGGGTGTTGAAGAGAGAGAAGCCGACGAAGAGCGCGGGCAAGACACAGAGAATCGCCTTGGAGTAGATGTAGATCGGGGAGCGCCAGAATTGCTGGAAGACTCGGATCTGCACTTCGCGGAGCTGGGCGCAGAAAGGGGCAGCGAATTCGCGATAGCTGGCTCGGTCCTCGCGCTCGGTGCCGGAGCTGACGCGGGCCAGTGGGTTCTGCTGGGCGCGTTCGAGCTTCAGTGAGCTGAGGTGCGCTTGCACTTGTGCGTATTCAGGGGAATTACGCCACGTCTCGAACCAATCGATGTCTGTGTGGGAGCCGGGCGCGGCACCGATCACATCAAGCATCCATTCAGCGGGATTCGCGGCTGGGGGGCAGGGAGGGCCACCGTTGCGCACGAAGTAATCAATCAGAATATGCGAGTTCTGGCCAATGTCTCCAAAGTATACGGTCTGCCCACCGGCTTGAAGGAAGAGGAGACGGTCAAACCGCTGGAACAGCATAGCAGATGGCTGATGGATGGTACACACTGAGATCATGTTAGTGAAAATTGATGAATGCATGAACCCCCGAACTTACAAATCGCTTGGCCGTTCTTCCTCAGTTTATTGAGGAGATCGAGAATAGCCCAGGATGTCTGGGAATCGAGCCCCGACGTGGGCTCATCCAAGAACAGAAGCAAGGCCGGTCTCGCCGCAAGCTCTACCCCGATCGTAAGACGTTTCCGTTGTTCAACATTGAGGCCTTCTCCGGGGACGCCACTGACAGCGTCAGCATAGTCTGCCATATCAAGCAGTTTGATGACTTCGGTCACATAATTGATCTTTCCTCGGCGAGGAACATGAGCCGGCTGACGAAGAAGAGCTGAGAACTCGAGCGCCTCGCGCACTGTGGCAGTGCTCAGATGCAGATCCTGTTGCTGGGCATAGCCAGTCTTGCGTTGAAACGATTCATCCCGCGGTCTACCATCGACAAGCATTTCTCCACTGATCACGCCCAGCGTGGTACGTGTAGCTAGGACATCCAGCAGTGTGGTCTTTCCAGCGCCAGAAACCCCCATCAGAGCGGTTAAGGTTCCTGGCTTGACCCAGCCGTCAACGTGGTCAAGGATCCTGCGATTCTCCTTCCCAATCTTAATATCGAAACAAACATTCTGCCACTGGAAGATTGCAGTTTGGCTTTCGATCATCGTAAGGTCATCGGGGTCGGACTTGGACTTCTCCTGAAACGCAGTACGGTCACTGCCCCATTCGATATCGTCAGGCTTGCCGCTCTTGAGTGCTCCATGCCCGCGGGGAAACACTAGGATTTCACCCTTGGACTTCTTCTCGGTGATAAAGTCAGTGGCGACCAGGTAGATGGCCCCAAGAACGACCATGAAGGCGAGGATGATTCCGATATTTCTCCATTTGTGCGACACGTTGTAGTCATAGGCTGATTGGATGTAGGCATCGCCATTGACAAATCCTTGACCGGGTACGGATCCAACGGTAGAGCACACTTGGTTCCCAGGCTGGAGGTCCATGTAGTTAGGACCCGACGGGACAAATCCTACGCACTGAAAGTTCCGGTTGTGGAACTCGTTGACCAGGAGAGACTCAAAGCCATAGTTGATCGGATTGAGATAGGCAATCCACCGCGCCCACCCGAGCATATACCCTGTCGGGATCGCAAACCCGGTATACGAATATAGACCGAGCAGGACAACCGCGCAAAAGGGCAATGCCTGAACCAGAGATCTCGTCAACGATGCCATCGACCGGAAGAACATTGACATTGTCAGCGTCAGGATGAATGAAGTAAAGATAAAGAAAAAGAAAGCCCCAGGTTCTCGCCTCAGGTTGGTCATGAAGTAGAGAACGGTATTCGACAGGATGGCGTTGAGGACTTTGTACGGCAAGTCCATGATCATCGATGAAATTGCTTCGGCAGATGGGTGGTAGAGAGCATATCGCGCGTGCTTCTCTACAATCCCACGTTGCGCATATAGCGTCAGCATTTCCAGACCGCAACCAAGGGCATTGATGAGACAAGCAAAGAAGAGAAGGGCACCGCGCTGAAAGAAGGTGCTGGTGTTCGGCTGAAGATTATAAAAGATACTGGCAATCACAAGAGCAGTAATAACATTTCCAATCAACGAGGATATCGTGACACTGGGATCGGCTTTTAAGCGTTGGTATCCACGCCATAGGCACAAATTCACCTGCTGTGCATAGGATAGAGTGTAAGGTGAGGATACGCGCTGGACCCGGGCTTGTTGAGCTCGACGAGAATGTCTGAATTTGCCCAGGAACTCTCCATCCAGCGTAAACTTTGCGTTGTAGTTCTCGATGTCTTGAAGAAGCCGTGCTCGCTGGGGTGAGGCCTGCCATCGTGCGGCGAACTCATCCGGTGTTCGAGGCACGCGGCCTTCATAACCTGGCTGCACAACACGCTCGAGATGACTAGTCATAGATGTCAAGAAGTCTGCATCGGTCTGTCGCTCGGGGCAGGCAAAGCCCATGTCCAAGAAGTACTGCTTCGCGGCGTCTGTCCGACCGAAGTAGATCTGGCGACCTTCGTATAATACCAGCACCTTGTCGAAATAGTTGTAGGCAGCTTGAGGAGCTTGATATAGCGAAACACAGGCAGTGGCACCGTTGATATCTGCCTGCATACGAAGCGCCTTGCAGAACTCAATGGCATTTGCGCTGTCAAGGCCGCGGGTGGAGTTATCCCAGCATTGCAGGGGAGCACTGCTGAGGCAAGCCTCGGCAATACTGACTCGCTTGCGCTCACCACCGGATACACCACGGATGAAATCGTTTCCGACGATTGTGTTCTTAGTGTGACTGATACCAAGTATAGCCATTATCACATCTCGCTTGTGGCTGGCATACTGGGCCACATCCACCCCGCCAGGAATGTGCCGTGGTGCTCGGGCGCGTGCCGCAAAATATAGGGTATCTCCGACCGTGAGCTTGGGAAAGTGGATATCGACCTCGGCAGCATATATGGCTTCCCCTCGGAATTCGTGGGCCATCTGCTTTGCGCTCACACCTAGAACTATTCAGTAACGAATCATCTAGTTTCTGGTAGGTTCATTGGACATACCTTGATAGTTGATATTAGATTCCTGATCGATATGGAAGCCATCCGTCTCCCCAGCGATGGTCTTCAAGAAGGTCGAGCATCCTGAACCAGGGGGACCAAGAACTACCAGCATCTCGCCAGCCTCCACGGTGCCCTCCAGGTTCTGTAGGATCTGGATTCTGCGTTGGTTCTGGGTACCGAGCGCCTTTCTTGCCAGAGCGAGCGCTTCAAACCAGACATTGCCGACGCTTTTCTGGTAATCTGTGTCGGAACCAAAACCGTGCACGTTGAGATTGCTAAAGGCGATCCCCAGAGTTCGCAGTGGATGTGCCTGTTCATCCTCGGTGTGGACATGTAGCATGGCCTTACACCATGCTAAAGCATCGAAATTGTTACCGTTGGGATCAAGGGCTGATCCTGGCTCGGCAGCAAAGGGGTTCTGTCCGGTAGTAGAGAAAGTGCTCTGCTCGGTGAACTGCCTGGCTAGTTGATGTACCTCCTCTGCCCTTTTCTCCACGTGAGTATAGAGGCCACTTTCGACCTCATGGTCGTCGGTCATCACTGCAAGCGTTCGAAGCTGAGGGCGCCAATCTGAACGTGATCACGCAGAACAAATTATAGTGACAGGGGATTTTGAAAAAAAGTCTCAGGTTGAAGGGCGAAAAAAGCAGAGGACCTAAGATGGTTCCAGCCCTATACTCCTCTTCTAAAAGAGCCCCTTTCTCTGCTTGTTGACTGTTTAGCTGGACAATTAGGTTTGATTCTCATATTGGGTAACGTGATCCACAGCAATGTTCTTTGTCTGCCGACTCACGGGTCCAGTGTGGCTCTCGTCAGCCAACATCTGCTAACATCAGCCAGAATCAGCCAGCGTCAGCCAAAGTCAGCCATCAGCCAGAATCAAAATGATCTTCGGGCTACGGGTATCCATCAACATCCATGCCGTGCATGCGTTTTCAATGTTTGCTATGTTGCTACGTCTCGATGTTTGCATTCCCATCGAATCGTTCCTCTTTCTGCACGGAGAGATAATTTTATCGTGCATTCGCCACCTTTCGAAATTGTCAACATCCATGTCGTATAATAGGTGTTTGCTGCGCAGATCTGTTTGCTTCCCGTGAAGAAATTCTTTCTTTTTCCATCTTGGTGTTTTCAACGACTAACCCCTTCTCCGGGCCCCCTTGTCGGTGTTCTTGGTGATTTCAATTTCTTTGTTTTTCTCCTCTCGGCCTCTTCTGCCAGTCATTGGTTGGGCCTCGCCTTTCCTTCCGAGAAACAACCTGGTTGGTTTTACTATTTCTAATCTTGTTATCGTAGCTCCGAGCCCTATAGTTTCCAGGCGGTGAAGCTTCATCTCGGGATCATCCTGGCGAGTGCCTGACCGCGCTCAGCGACACGATCAGGGACGTACTAGATGAAGGCCTTCCATCAGTAATACTGTGCATTCCGCAACCATCATTTCTGCAAGTCAAGCAGGTTCCTTCGGACTCTCCGGGAGAACGTCATAGGACTTCACTGCAGCGATCGCCTCTCAAATCTTTCTTTCTTTCTAGCCAAGATATGTGTGGTAGTTGCCGTGGTTCATGCTTTGGCGACCAGAGTGAACGAGAAAAGTAGCCACATGGGTTGCTAGCAAACGATGATCAACTTTGCTGATTAGATGCTTTGCGTCAGGAAATTGAATTTCTGTATGCAGCCAAGTAGCCAAGGCTGCGAAACATACTCCCGTCCATTAGCTACACTATTCAATCTGTTCCCCCCCCCTCCCAACCAATCTCCCTAACAACCCTGTCTGTAATGTGCCCCCCCCCCACCTGTCACTTTCCTCTTCCCTTCACGACCTCATCTACACCACTCTCACCCTCACCCCCTTAGTCCCGAACTCCGGAATCCCTCCCACGTAGTCCCGCACGGGAACCACATCCGCCTCGGTAGTCTCGAACAGCTCCAGCTCCGGCGCCCCGGGGCGAAACAAAACAGCCAGCACCCAGTACATTTCGGCCAAGGCAAGACTAGTTTTTTTACATGTTAGCCAAGTGACACCCCAATGGCCAGCAGTCCGAAGACCCTTGCGAAGGGAAGGTTCAAAGCAAAGAACTCTTACTTCATGCCAATACACATCCTCGAGCCGCGAGCGAAGGGAACCCAGTTCCGGTTCATGTTGGGGTGGTGCCTGTCCTTCATCCACCGCTCGGGGAGGAACCTGGCCGGCTCGGGGAATGTCTCTGGGTCGGAGTGGAGGCTATGCGAGGACATGCCGACGGGGGTGCCGGCGGGGATCGTCCACTCCCTGAACTGCAGAGGTTGATCGGGCGAGACGCGGGCGAGGTGACGCATGACCCCATAACTCAGCCTAGCATTGCCGCGTATCAGCGATTGAAATCCAGGCTGAAAAGAGGAGTTTCACTGGGGACTGATTGCACATACCGCAACCCCTCTTTGACAATCCCGTGCAAGTACGGCAACCGCTCCAGTTCCTGCCAAGTGGGTCTCTTGGCGGGGTACTCGGCCATGATGTCCTTCAGCTCCTCCCGGAGCCGTCCGCGCATCTGCGGGTTGGACAGGACATGGTAGAAGATCATGCTGAAGGCGCGCACCAACGTGGCCGTGCCCGCGCCGAACAGCTGCAGGGCCTCGCGCGCCAGCCGCTCCGTCTCGCGCTCCGTCTCGGGCATGTCGCTGGAGAGCACGTGGCGGAACACGGAGCTGCGGCCGGCCTCCTGCTGCACCTTGCCGGCACGACCCATGTCCTTTTTGGCTTCGGTGATGTGGTCGAAGGCGTACTGGTCTATGTTTAGCGAAGTGAACGGGGCTTGCAAGCAAGAGAGAGGAGGAAACGACCTACCTGATGCAGGCTCTTGAACGCCGCGGCTCCCGGAGAAAAGTGCATCACGAGTCCCCGCGGGATGAGTTGCGTGAGGCTGGCTGTTGCGTTAGCTTTCTGAAGCAAAAAAAAAAGGAAAGAAATAGGGCCAGAGTACTCACGAGATCAAATGAGGGAATTGCACGAAAAGGTGCACCTGGAGCTGGTAGGTGTGGATCGTGACATACCTGCACAATCCTGCGGTAAGTAGGTAATTCATCACGAGTTTCCAAAATGGGTTGACGAAGCCTTGGACGGGGCTTACCATTCCTTGCCGAAATCCGGGTGCCGGATCATGTCGGGGGACTTCTCCGAGCAGATCTTCGTCACAATGTCACCGGTGAACGCAGCCATGACATGTTCCATCTGGATAGTCCGGCCTGACTTCCGGTAACCCTCGAGTCGATCGGTGAGCAATTGGACTTCATCCAGGACCACCCCCTCAATCTGCGTGACGCCCAAGCGCGAGAAGAATGGGTCGAAGTGCCTGCGGCGGCGACGGTGCAACTCGTGCCCCATGGTCATGCCCATGGCGCCTGTGATTTGGTCAGTCGTATGCATTCTCGTACGACCCAGGGGGGAAGAAGAAGAATGCCTTACCCTCAAGTCCGGTCCCTAGGAGGGTATACCACTTCTCCGAGCGGCGGGTGTTGGAGGCGACATAGACGGTGTTATAGTAGTCCGGGTCATTGATGACAATCTCATGGGGATTAATGCGGATGATAGGGCCTTCAATCGGGGAATTAGAACAGATCGGAGCCGGAAACTGGGCTACGTACCGTATTCTCTGTGCATTCTCTGAATCTCATGGATGTACATTCCACCTCTGATGACTTCGTGGTAGAACTCATACCACCCGGTCGCAGCAGCAATCTTGGGCCCGGGGAATCGAGCTAATGGGTGCAAGTACAGGCGATAGATAATAAGTGCCACGCTGTACACAGCAACCGCGGCGAGGAAGAGCCCGTAAATCCCATACATGCTATACAAATCGAAGAAGAGGGTGCGGGCAGTCTGGAAATCAACTGAGTTGGTCATCTTGTGGTTGATTCTGAGGGTTGGACCATGGATGAGAGTTGTAAGTAGAACTGAGTCTCGAGCCAATACAGAGTTTATGCTTGTAGTAACATATACACTTTCCAGAGAGAAATCATTCAGAGCAAAGAAGGTGGGGTGCGGAGGGAGGCAATAGGTAACAACAACTATGTCGTGGTGGCAACCTCGATCATCAGTCCGCCTGCACATGGTCATGGGAATGTGGTGAGTGTCTCCACATGGACCTAGCATAAGCGAGCCACTCTAGTCGAATTGTAAACTCCGGGCTCCGTGCAGATAACACGTATTATATCCAGAACCCGAGGTGTTTGACGTTGCGGTGCTGCGTGATAATGCATGATAATTCATGATGCTGCAAGTAGTTCTCTATCATCACAGTCTGTATAGCAGCCTGGATTGGCCACTGAGACAGTGCGTTCCTATTCTGTTCAAAGACGACGCTTCGCTATCTATGATGTAGACCTCAGCCAGCCGCAGCTGAGTATACCAGAGGATGAAGCCGACCAACAAACATCGTCTCCAAAGCTGAAGACGACAAACAAAAGACTGCACTTCTTTCTCACAAATCTCTCAGTTGCTGCATGTCAGCGCCGACCCCCACCAGTTCACCTAGTCGTCTGGAACCGTCAGCACAATCAATGTCCATTCATTTGGATTACAACTGCTACCGCTTGCGCTGCCTTATCAAACACCAGATAATATCATTTGGATTTCATACAAGTGGGTGATAACAGAGGAGTATGATGTCATCACTCTGCGACTCAGTTCACGGAGTCACCGTATTCCCTCAGGAGATGCATGTCCAAGCGCAGATCCTATTCCTCTAACTCACGAGTAAGAATGGGCATTGGCACTCATATTCCACCGGGGTCTTGAGCTCGCTCCGGTAGAATATGCCCCTCTAGGATAGTTCATCGCACCACCGATGCCGAAAGGGGAACCAGCTCCACAAGGCAGAGTCTTTAAATACAGCATCCTCCTCTTGTCATCTCTCTATCTTCTCGATGTCGCAGCACACAGCTCGTACAATTCACCAAACTGACCCAGCTCACCCGACTCTTGGATACATTCTTTTTGTCCATTTCTGCCTCATTCTCTTCTACTGCCTCGCGTCTTTCATTCTTTCCGGAGCATGGAGTTCAGATTCTCTACGGTGGTAGACCCTAGCACCTACCAAACCCAAGGGTTGTGCGATGGCCTCACCGTGAGATATCACAAGAACACCGAGCTCGAGGAGATCGATTGTCTGAGATGTCAAGAGCACTGGCGCGAGCAGGTCGGGCCGCTGGAGCTCTACAAGGGCGGATTGGGTCACCCCTGGAGCGGGATGAGCATTGCTATCCCCGAAGCCCTTCCAGAAAGACTCGGAATTGTCTCGTACGCAAATGAGCTTGCGTTTCTTCATGATGGTGGGTTCTTATGTCGATGCCATGTTTTTCGGTTGCTTGCTGCTAGTAGACTGACAAATTCTGGGTCAGATGTCACCGATATTGCTAAATACGTATGGACCCCCCCTCCCGTGCAGAAACGAGGAAAACGAGTGGACTAACGACAAGTACTAGGGCGACGAACATAATAACGATCTCAAAGCAGCATTCGATCAGGTTATCAGCACCGGAACTATCAAGCATGCCGGGTCTGGAAAGCGCGCGTTGCAGGCGTACGTTGCGAAACGGATGCTGAGCATTGATAAAGACCGCGCAATCACATCCCTCAAGGCTTGGTCGACCTTCCTCGAGAAGGCAGGACGACAGGAGGACTACAGGTTCAAAACCGAAGACGAGTACCTGAAATACCGGGTTCATGATGTCGGGATGCTGTCAGTTTCTCTCTCCCCCTCTTGCTTTCCTTCTCCGCTGTTCTTCCTGCTCCTATTTTGAGGATCGATGCTAGACGGGGACTAATCTGTGAGGTTTAGGTTCTGGTATGGCCTGCTCACCTTCGCACAAGCAATCACCATCCCTGAAAATGAACTGGACACCTGCCATCAGCTTGCCACCACTGCATACCTTCACATGGCGTTGGTGAACGATCTGGTCTCCTGGGAGAAGGAACGCCAGAGCGCCGCTGCCTTGGGAAAGGATTACGTGACCAACTTCATCTTCGTCGCCATGGAAGAACATGGGATCTCCGAGGATCAGGCCCAGGAACGATGTCGTCGGGAGATCCAAAAGGCGACCGTCGACTATTTGCGAGTCTTCGAGGAGGTCAAAGCTCGCGACGACCTCTCCCCTGATACCAAGCGGTATCTGGAGTCGGTCCTGTACAGCATGAGCGGAAACGTGGTTTGGAGCTTCCACAGCCCGAGATATTACACCGACGCATCGTTCAGCGAGCGCCAGCTCGAGTGGATGAAGAACGGCATTCCCAAGGCACAGACGCCTGAGGGTGGGGCGTCCACTGTGGATCCGAGTGAGGTCAAACTCCGCGATCGCACTGTTAATGGAGATCACGCGGTGAGCAGTAATGGTACTGGCACCGGAAGTCATGACGCTCTTAATGGAAATGGCACTGCCATTGAGAACAGCAGCCGGCATGCTTCTAACCCGGGAAGAAATACCAACGGGCTTAGCAACGGTGACACAAGCCTTCTGAGCGCGGTTATCACGCAGCACCTGGCGGGCCGTGATGGCTTCAAACTTGGGGATCATGACAGGAAATTGGAATCAACCAAGCATGGAGGCCATGACGTCAAGGAGGTAGAACCACCGCTCAAAGAGCAAGATCTTGACGCCAAGGTATAAGACTTTACTGCTTTGTTGCTCCAGGCATCCGCAGCTTGCTGACTCGACGAATCCAATCAACAGGTTCTACAGGCCCCATACGAATACATCACGGCTCTTCCATCCAAGGGGTTTCGGGAGCATGCGATCGATGCCTTGAATGTCTGGTTCCGTGTCCCGGCCGAGAAACTAGCCATCATCAAATCCATCATCACAATTCTCCACAATGCGTCTTTGATGTTTGTGCTCTCTCCATACCCTATTCTCCAGTGCCACATATCTGACCATTTCTAGGCTCGATGACTTGGAAGACGGATCGGAGCTTCGACGGGGCAAAGCATCAACCCACATGATCTTCGGGCTCGGACAGACGGTCAATTCGGCCAATTATCAGCTCATCCGCGCATTGCAAGAGATACAGAAACTGGGCGATGCCAAAAGCTTGCTTGTATTCACCGGTATGCGTCATGAATCCCCTCACGGCAACTGGGCCACAGCTGACTCTTGTTATCTCAAAGAGGAACTGCACTACCTCTACGTGGGTCAGTCCATGGACCTATACTGGACCAGTAATCTTATCTGCCCTTCTATCAATGAGTATTTCCGGATGGTCGAGCACAGTAAGTTCTGAAGTCCCCCAATCGAGAGGAACGCATGGCTCTAACGCCTGGATTAGAGACCGGCGGTCTCGTCCGGCTCTTCGGTCGCCTCATGGCCCTTCACTCGACGAATCCCGTCAAAGTCGATATGATCGACTTCTCCAATCGCCTCGGACGGTACTTTCAGACCCGGGATGACTACCAGAATCTGGTCTCTGCCGAGGTATGGGCCCCTTCTGCATCTCTCCTTGCCCCACCGAAAACCCCCCTTTTCGGTTCCGCGTGCTGGGGAACTGACTGACTAACCACCCCGACCAAAAAAAAAAACAGTACACGAAGCAAAAGGGCTATTGCGAAGACCTGGAAGAAGGGAAATTCTCCCTCCCCCTGATCCACCTCCTGCAAACCATGCCCGAGAACCACGTCCTACGGAATGTCTGGATGCAGCGGCGCGTCCGCGGCACCGCGACGCACGCCCAGAAGGAGACGATTCTGGAGCTGATGAAACGGAACGGAAGCCTGCAGTTCACCGAGGACACGCTGGAGATCCTGTACGGCCACCTGGAGAAGAGCATCGGTGAGCTGGAGCGCAGGTTTGGCGCGGAGAACTTCCAATTGCGGTTGATTCTGGAGCTGTTGCGCAACGGGTAGGGTGGAGAGGTGCGCGCCCCGTGGGTGGGTGGGTGGGTGGGTGGCAGTCGGGGCGTGCATCTTGGAGTTCTCGTATTGTTGGGTCCGTTGCGTTTGCTTGTGGCTTGCTTCCTGCTTCTCATGCTCTTTTTGTCTTTTGGCGAATGTACGTAGTCATCTTTTTGTAAAGTTTCCGCTGGAACGGCTTTTCAAAGACTTTTTGGTTGCTTGGTACTCATGGTGGACGATGGCTTGATTCGTGGCTTTTTCCGTACATGCTCTTGTTTTTGTTATGTATCTGCTGTTAACTTACTACCTGAACCTTCGCGGTCAGATATTTTCCGGAGCAGTGCACATTTCGTATCAATCGCTTCCGTGGCATTGGCTGTCGTTATTTCTGTAAGTGAGTGTCTTGTTTCATTCGGGATGTGCGACTTGGGGATGCCGTGTGATGACCCTCGAGTCCAGCACTATTTGTTCGAGACAATCCGCACCCGCGTTGGTAACTGTGTCAGAACCTCGGCATTGCGTGTCTGTTTGCATCTTGCAAACAAACTATGAAAAATGAAAGAGACGTGAGTGTTTGATGACCGTGAGACAAGTGAAGAGTAGTTTAGGAATGTAGTGGTTGTGGTCGGAGATGTGCTGGTACTGGAAAGTTCTCACCGACCCGAGGCGTAGGAAATTGACACACAAATAGTGAAGATGGCATGGCAGGTCGTACAGCAGTTGCGCCGCCAGTCTCGCTCCAACAGATTATCCACCATAGTTTCTCGGTCGGAACCTCAAGGAGAGTGTTTTCTCCAGGTCAGTGCCCTTACTCAGCGAGGCTGAAGATGAGGTAAGTTGCTGTTCCTTGTACTATAAACTGCATTTCGAATAGATAGATGGTAGGTCAAACTGGAAACCAACCTAGGAAGAGGATACAACGCCATTGACGTAGGTGGACTAGCTTGCATCATGCTATGGACTTGAGATCCCCACTTATACAACCAATGACTTCTTGAGGCAAGTTAGCCTTGTTGCGCTCATAATGAGTCTGTATAGACACACTCCTGAGCTGGTGTAGTTGGTGCGTTGGTGCGCAGGAGGATCACCTTAGTCGCCAGCAGCAGTCGATGCTCTTCAAGTATGCGCGCTCTCACTATATCTTTCTCGGGTGACACTCCGCACAATGCTACAACACAAGTCAATTACGGTGATAAACACACGAATCCCCTTCGTCACAGTGCTCGACAACAATGCAAGGTACACAGAGCTTATGCGACCGCGCATAAGCTACACGACTCCACGCTCGACAAGCCTACCTACTTCTTCCTCTCAAGTCATTAGCCACCATCTCCAGGCACAGCCGGAGCAAGGCAGGGTTAATCCAGTCAGTTCATTACGATACGTCAGCACGCTCAACCTTCCCCATGTGATATCGCATTTCCATCCCCCTTTCCCATGAAGTCATATCATCGGCGAAGAAGTTCCGTGATGCATCGACGAAACCAGGGCGGTGTTTGTTTGGTGGCTGAATAACTGATCACGCCCCTTGCGCGCCAGCCTGTGATAATATATCCGCAGAGCTCGCAGCACCTTCCCTGAGGTCCTCTAGCCCTGCCTGCCGCCCAGCCATTCCTGCTGCCGGTGCTGCGGACCGATGGAGATGATCTACGTCATGTGACAGGATCGTCCCCAGAGTCAGGGGTGCTTGATCCGAGCCGTTGGATGAACGTCTGGAGAGCATGTGCGTCGAAGCGGTATTGCGTACTCCAGACTGCGGAGGACACGACTCCAGATTCTTTGGCACACTTGCCGACCGGCAATTGGCCCCCTCAATGGTGAATCGGAGCTGAAGACGCATTGGAGGGGGAGGGGGAGAGAGGGATCTGACGCGCTCCTTGCATTCCATCTCGAAACGCGATGACAAGGGCTGTTGTCATCGGCCGTGGTGAGCAAATGACGAGCTTCGGGGTAAAGGCAGGAGTTGATCGAGCAAGATTCTACTCAGCTAAGATTGGTGATGTCATGACTGAGCTCAAAGATCAGACCTGCCAGTGCCGAAGTTGTTGATTTCTTGCCCTTGAGGCGAATCGGGTTCACATGGTGACAGGAAGGGAAGGGCGGGCGCCAAGCCGGCCACCCGAAATTCAAGGTCGGCCCCACCCAGACCCTTGAACAGCCGGTCGAGCTGCAAATTTTTGGTTGTTTCATGCAATATCGATGAAGATCATCCGAAAGTCAAGACAAGATGATTACGCGGCCAAAGGGGGTGCTCTCATTCGGTTTCCTTTGTTGATGTCCCGATCGAGCAGAGGACATTCAATCAATTTTCTTGCCAACATGGCACCACAGGTCAGGCAAATAGCCCGTCAAAGCATCGCGTCGTCGGGTCTCGCTAACTCGCAGATTGGGACTCCCAGCGCGTGCTTCGAGAAAATTACTCAAAACAGACTAGCGAGCAGCCACAACCACGATAAGTACTTCTCGGCAAGAAGGGGAGGAAAAAAGAAAAAAAAAACTAAACCTTAGGCGAGGAGGTAAGGCAAGAAGCACGGGCCAGCGTCAAAAGCGATCCACCAGAACCCTGGGACTGCACGTGGATCCCGCGGATTCCAACGGGTCTCTCAGGGGCCCAGGGCTGCCCTTTGATTCCTCCCCACCGGTTCAGGTTCGTGGCAATTTTGGTACCTGTTCAGTGGTCCTGCATGAGCAATGGTAGCTTTCTCATCCATCAAAATAGTAACAGCTTTTTTTTTCTTGATAACTGTCATTCCGGAACTTTGGGCGTGATGATCATAGATACAAGCTATAGCTTGGTGCAGGGACAAGCTTCATGCCGCCAATCAGACTGACCCCATTCCCCTTGTGACTCCTGCATGAATGCATGGAGCTTCGTAGGGTGAATAAGACACCTTCCGAACCTAGGGCTACTAAGGCAGCCACCATGTACAGTACGAAGTAGCCATCTGGGACCAATGCACAGAAGAAGAAGGGAAAAAAAAAAGGCATGACGGATATGAAAAGTCTTCCTAATCCAGCAAGCCCCTCTGAGTCTCTCACTGGGGTCATTGGCTTACTACTGATTTAATTGAACGACCCCAGTGCGGTCGCACATGTCCAATGAAGTAAGCGCGCGGACCTGCATGCATCTCGACTCACTGATCACGCAAATAGCCCCTCGACGATCATCGTTCCGTCAGGAAGGGGATCACATAATTTAGCACGCTGATAACCCACCATCCATCTTGCTGCTACAATTCCGATACCCAGGCCGCGCGGCAGCCGACCGAGCGCAAGTTTGGATGGCGAGGAACTCTATGGGCGGGACACATATCGGTCGAGCAATACCCACTCTTTTACTTAAGCTGCTCAAGAATCAGATTTTTTCATTGTTTGAATTGTCTGTCTTTTCAAGCTAGCGCATATATTTATTGCCTGTCAGAAGAGGAGTAGACCCCTCTCCTTTCTTTCTGTTCTTCATCCCAAAAACATACACACATACCATGGCCATCTTTGACCGTTTATTTCGAAACAAGGGCCAAGAGGCCCCGGTAATCGTCGACGAAGAGGCCAAGGGCCCTCACTTCACTGTATTTTCCAGCCCAGAGTCGTCTCATCCCAACAGCGAGACTTCATCCGGCTTTACGACCCCGACGGAAGAGAAGAGCCTCGCGCCGCTGGGGCAATGTCCCGAGATCGGTCGGCTGGCCTCCTGGCGAGGCGCGTTGATCCTGCTGGTGACCTCGGGCTCCCAGTTCCTCGACAATGTGTACATGACCAGCGCCAACGTCGCGCTCTCCTCGATCCAGAAGGACTTTGACGTGAGCAGCACCAACCTGCAATGGATGATCTCTGCATACACCTTGACGTTTGGCGGGTTCCTGCTTCTTGCCGGGGTTCTATCCGATCGGTATCTCTCTCCCCCCATCCCAGCAGTAACCCAAAACCCAATCCAACCCTTGATTAACCTTTGTCGTGTGCAGATACGGCCGGAAGAACATTCTGTGCATCGGCCTATTCTGGCTGTCCGTCTGGACCCTGGCGATCGGATTCGGGCAGTCCTTCATCTCGCTCACCATCTTTCGCGGCCTGCAGGGCATTGGCGCGGCGATGACGGTCCCGTCCGCGATCGGGATCATCAGCGCCTACTTCACGGGCGTGGATCGCACGCGCGGCCTCGCCATCTACGCTTCCTCGGGAACCGTGGGGTTCTGCGTCGGGCTCATCTTCGGGGGGTTTCTGACTTCATCGCTGGGGTGGCGGTACATCTACTACTTCATCGTGATCATCACGGGGTCGCTGTGCATCCTCGGGGCGGTGGTGCTGCCCCGGGACATCATGCCGAAGGAGAAGCCCCAGATGGATTTCGTGGGCGCGTCGATGTCGACGGCGGGGCTGATCCTGCTGCAGTTCGTCCTGTCGAGCGGCGGCACCTACGGCTGGAGCCAGCCGTTCATCATCGTGCTGCTGATCCTCGCGGTCGCGCTGCTGGTCGCCTTCACCGTGCTGCAGAGGTTCATCGCCTACCCGCTGATGCCGCTCGGGCTGTGGAAGATCCCCAACTTTGCGGGGCTGTGGATCGCGGGCTTCAGTATGGTCTCCTCATCCATCCTTCTTCTTGGTGGTGTGCTAACGGAGAACAGCCTGCTACGGCAGCTACCAAAACGTGATCTACTACATCGTCCTCATGGCGCAGGAAGTCGACAAGCTGTCCGCGGGCCAGACGGCGCTGCGCTTCCTGCCGATGGGGGCGATCGGCTTCGTCGCCTCGATGGGCACCGGCAAGGCGCTGGAGTACGTGAACGGGAAATACACCCTGCTCGCCGGGCTGGTCCTGACGGTGGTGGCCCCGATCCCGAGCAGCATCACCGCGAGCCCTGAGTCAAGCTTGTATGTTTCCCAGAGACCCAGTCCAGTCCCCCCTCCCCCCTTCCCCCTTCAACCCCAATCCAACCCGCCCAACCCTATCCAAGTCTAACACAACGCAAAGCTGGACCAACGTCTTCCCCACCTCCCTCATCAGCATAACCGCCGTCTCCCTCATCTTCGTCACAACCAGCACCTGCATCCTGACCACCGTCCCCATCAACGTCAAGTCCCTGTGCGGCGGGATGCTCAACACCGCGTTCCAGATCGGCTCCGGCGTCGCCCTCGCCATCTCCGCCGCCGTCACCGAGGCGGTCGACATCGAGAAGGGCCACGACCTCGCCCACCAGTACTCCACGGGGCTGTGGTGCTCCGCCGGCCTGGCCGGGTTGGGGCTGCTCGTGGCGCTGTTCTCCGTGCGTCGGAGGGGCATCGCGCCCGAGAACCGGGTGGATTCGGTTTGCGCGATTTGAAGTTTTTGGTGTCCCGGCTGGGTTATGTAAAAGTTTTACTTGATGGGTCTTACGATGCTTTTTTTTTTCTGGTCTGGGGTTATGGCGCGATGAGGGTACGATAGATGGAGTTGGAGTTTTACGGTGGCGTATTTTTACTTCTGAATGGATATAGTGATAATGATGTGATGGCTGTGAATATTATTGACTTTGCAGACATGATAACGTGAGTTCAGTTAGCTGTAGTCATTGGTGGTAACCTTAGGGCAGATTCAGTTTCTTAGCAGACTGCAAAAAGAAAAAAAAAAATCAGTTGGCGGGGTACACGGTCCGTCCACCGCGCGCGGGTCCCGCTGGTGGATCGGGAGATTCCCCGACAGCCCATTACCGAGGGGAAGGGGAACCCGAGATTTTCGGAGGGGCCGGGTGGCCGGGATGGCTATCTGGTAGTACTTACAAGTCGGTTTAGGGCATATAGTTATAGCTCGCTACGCTGCTTGGATTGATATTGGAGGAATCTGATGGTAGGAGAACACCAATCAAGCTCATGAGGCTCTATCACATCTGTCGGAGTTAGCTACATACTCAAGCATCGAGTACGTGGTGGGCAAGAAATAAAATCTCTGCAAGCTAAAATCGACGCACAGCCAGGAACCGATTTAGAGAAAGCTCGGGATACCCAAAGAAGAAGTCCCGGGAACGGGGTCTAGAATTCTGCGGTGCCAGCACTTCCTGCGCTGTGGTTCGGGCGAGTGGGTCGGGAAGGCTACCGTGGATCGCGAGCTTGGAACTATATCCAGGGACGAGCTGGTAGCGGCTATGATCCCAATATCTGGGATTCGAGATTTGGTGCCTGCTGGTCGGCAGTTGTATTTCTACATCTTTTTCATGGTGTCAAGGTCCTACAGACTTATTTCGGCACGGGAATAAGTCCAACCCTACGGTGTGTGCTGGTTCGGAGAATGAAGTCCATGTACTGGATACTGCTGGCTTGTGTAGCGACGCCCTGCTGGGGACTACTGGGAGCTTGGGTATAGTACAACATGCTGCCACACTACACCGATCGCAGGGAGGTGATTGATTACAAGTTTAGCGATGAAGTCATCGAATCAGCTATGTTACCCATACAGATAGCAGCATAAATACCATTCATTGACAAGAAGCGACCGGCAAATTGCGTATTAGAGCTGACTGCAAAGCACATAGATACTCTCACAAGAGCACCAACCAGTGCCATTGTCCCCTCACTAATCCCTAAGATCATTCCCCCACTCAGCTCGCCTTGTCCATAACACTGGGGATCGAGTACCCACTGGGGTACAGGTTCGAGTAATCGAAGTAGAACTGATAGATACCCGAGACGTTGGTCTCCTTGAGGCGGAAGCTATCGGTCAGGACGCCGGAGTCCTCCTCCCACATCAGCCACGAGCCGTAGAAGATGAAGTTGTCGGTCGCCGCGTCGGAGGGGGTGTCGTAGCCGTTGCCCGTGAAGCCGACCTCGGTGATCTCGTTCGCGGTCGGGCGGATGTAGAAGAGGGTGTCCGCGTCGAGGGTGACGCCGTCGGTGGTGGCGGTGGTGGTAATTTCGGTGTCGGCGATTTCGACTGCGGGAGGTTAGTTACACTTTAAGGAGGGGCAGAAGGGTAGGGGGGAAATACAGGTGACATCGGTGGTAACGGAGCCGTAGGGCCAGGCGGTGGAGTCGCCGGCGTAGGCGAGACCTGGAGGTTTGACTATCAGCTTGGTCCTTTATGCCTGGGGCTGGAGTGTATGTACCATCGGAGTAGAAGAGCTTCATGGCTGAGCTGGTGACGCCCCAGGCGTAGAGGCTGAAGGCACCGCTGGGGTTGCGCTTCTCGAGGCTAGCTTCAGCCTCGGCGGCAGGCATGGCCAGCGCTGCAGTGGCCAGGGCCAGGGTGGAGGCAATAGTGAACTTCATGGTGCAAGTGGTGGTGGAGGGCTATTGCGATGCTTGGAAAAGAATAGATCGTCGATAGAGGGACGACGCTTTTATCTATAGATTCCTCGCACGGCTCGGAGTTAGCTGAAGCAACAGAGTCAGGTAGATACAATAGCCCGAGCAAAGCCTCGCAGATGAATGGAGTCTACTACTGATCCTTCGGTGGTCTCGAACCATACAGCAAGAGCGTGCAGAAGCGTGCCGACCCACAGAGGAAGTACATACCCCGGCTAAGGCCGCCGGAGTCCTGGCTGTGTCCACTCTCAGGGCCTTATTCTGCTGAGGAATGTTGGGAACTCTCTGCAGGAACCAAATCAGAGGCTCAGCCGAGTGAATAGCCCGATCGAGCCTGGCGACATACGTATGCTTCGTGGTGCCCAAGCTTTATCTGGGATAGTGCTAAAGACGGCCGTGCTTGGCGGGCGCTCCACTCGCCGGTGCCCTGCCCCTCATCACGACTCAAGTCCCCCCAGCACAAGTCCATCACGAGCGGGTCAGCGTCATCAGGTAAGGTAAAGAAGGTGAAGCTGAACTACTGGAGGTGGCAACCATCTATGAGCCTTCATATTTCACACAGAGTTATCTCAAGCTATGCAGTGAGTTGAGCATGCAAGAAGTGTGGGGTGCAGCGAGACCACCTTGAGCCGCAGCACGAACGCACGAGGCTCCAGGATTTGCGCTATGAAGATGCTAAATCCAACGTAGCTTTAGGGTGAAGAATGTGTCATGCTGAGGTGATCATTCTTCAGATTTCCAGGGCAGAGGTTCCGTGATTAGGGACACAGCAACCCTGGCTTCGATAGGGCAGGCTTGAGCGCCCTAGCTCAAGGCCAAATGTGTGACAATGGCCATGAGGTCCAGGCTCTAGAGCAGCACAACACCAGTCGTTTTGGGAAGTGATCGGCGATATGAGGTCTTGACTCGTTGCATGAGTCATGGGGGAGTTGTACATAGTATCACACAGAACTAGTGCAGGTACAAATATCATATGAGGGAATTCGATAAGGATGGGTGAACCTATGGAGTACCTTGTAGTTCTCCATAATATAGCAAGATCGCTAGTTCGGTGAAGGATGCTATGGCTTTTATTTCATTGCCGCTTAGTAAGTCCGTTCAACATGAGTTAACTGACTACTAACCTTTCCACGAGCTAACCATTCCAAAACCTGTTGAGTCGACAGCCTAGGGTAGTGTCCTCGATCCTTCGCCGGAAGCCTCGAAAAGGTTTACCCCTGCTCCCTATGCGTAAAGGCCTTCGATCCAGGGGCTGGCAATTCACTGTGTACTGAGCGAGACTGATAATGCTTATGACAAGCATAGAAGAAAATGCCTCATTGCTGTGGAATAATGATCAATGGGGAGGCTGTTGGAGCGGAGTTCATACCAACCATTTCCGGTGCGCAGGATTGACCTGATCGCTCACATGTATAGTGCTGATAATGATCTTTGCTTCATAGATACTGGCAACCTGCTACCTTTCAACAGCTGGCCTGCTGGCCCAATGGTAAGGCGCTTGACTACGAATCAAGAGATTGCAGGTTCGAGCCCTGCGTAGGTCAATGTTTTTGTCACATTCTCCTTCACAATCCATGTGAAGGAGGGCGTTTTTAGGATCTCTCCCATAGGCGTCACCTTTTATGTTAATAGAACGGTCTGATAAAAGCTAGCTTGGCAATGTGTGTCTTAATCTTGGCTAAAGGCTACGTAGCAATTGCATTGGTTGTCAGCTGCAGGTTTGCTGCATGTGTGCGGGTCCGACAGTTTAAGACACCTTGGAGATGATCATCGGGCGGGCCTCGGAGACTGCTGCAAGACTGACAATAGTTTATCATGTTCGAAACACTGGACCATGGCATCAGACTTGGGGTAGAATTTGGGAAGGATTATGTAGTCTGCTTTGTCGTATGGGTGGTTTGCTTGAAAGAAAGTAGGAAGGGTTCGTCGCTAGCTAACAAGACTGCTATATATTTTTGGAACCCTGTGTGCTAAGACTTCCTTCAAGGTGGGTTGGACATCAGATTAAAAGTCGGCGATATAGAATTTGCCATATTCGAGAAGACCTGAAGATAGCACACCGGTGCCTCCAGTACGATTTCAACCTCGATGGCCGTCGATAGCAATAAGTACTGGTTGTCGTGAAACTTTCGCGCTTGAAACTTTGCCCGGAAAGAAGGACAAACCACGAGTCGGCACGGCACACCTGTCAATGCCGCAGTCGTCCTCGGATGTAGAGTACATATTCACCACCACATAAGAAGTTCAGCCAACTAGAGAAGCGAAGCATGTCATTCATCCTCGCTGTAGCTTCAAAGGTGAGATTGAGCCAATTGAGCTGCGTGGTTAAACTTCATGCGACCGTGTAATTGCTGCGGTCGCGCCAAAGGACCCAGCAGCGAACAACGCACCGACATCAAGTACAGATAGTATGGTATGAGACTAGGCTACCACTTCGGCTACCATTTTATAAAACATTCTAAATTTCAGACCAGGATTGGAATTGTCGACATGTGCCACAGTACAAACAAAAAGACAGACCCAAGACAATACTGGAACGAAGCAAAAAGTTATGACAAGAGTGGGATTCGAACCCACGCCACTTGCGTGACTAGGAATACTGCTCGTGTGAGCGTATGTGTGATCAGATACCTGACCCTAGCGCCTTAGACCGCTCGGCCATCTTGCCTTGATTGAGTAATGGGACTACACTACGTCTATATGATGTCAATTGTCTATAGACGGCAATTCGCACATCACAACTTGTCACCAGGCCAGGAATCATAAACACTACAGATGGTATTATTATGGTCCAGCTGCTGTTTACCGCATGACTATGTACTATATATATATATATATATATCTAGAGTTAGAGTAAAGGCTTAACTGTATTCATCGCTGGTTAACAAGTACTGGGTGAAGACGATTCAATTTCAAGCAACACAAATTGTCAACCCTCGCGTTTGAGATATATCTCCGCTTCTCAATTCTTCTCCACACCTGCAGTTGCGTCTGGTGTGAACAGCCAACACGTAGGATCCATGCAGGCGCCCGTTACCCAGACAAAGAAACCAGTGAGTAAAATTCCATTTGCCGAGTGGCCGCAATGGTCTTCCGTAAGAAACAATCTCCGTGATATGTTCCATCAATCCTTAGACGCCATTCACGGCCGACCGTCCAGATTGAAATATGCCGGCAAACGAATGCCAAACTCTTTATATCAAGACCCTCTTTGTACACTTCGTCTTCCCAGAATGCCAATCGCGGATACTATTTAGATTCTCTCCCCACCCCCAGAAGCTACAGAAACACCATCCCCACACCAACCACTTTGCCATCACCATAGTCAAGTTCGACCAAAACCATAGCGAAGTTTGACCCCCCCCCCCAACACGTCCATTCAAAATGTGCATTCAAGTCTACCGCTGCCACGTCGGCTGCTTGCACTTCTACCGCGCCGGATGGTTGTCGTGCGACAAGGCCAAAGCCCGCCCGAACAAGGAGCTCTGCCTGCCCGCCTCCGGCAACAAGCGGGACCTCCCGGGCACGTTCAACCGGATCCTCGACCCCGACGAGCCTATATTCTGCGAGATGTGTATCATCGCCATGAACGAGGGCCGTCACCAGCCGTTGGAACAGTTCGCCCGGTTACGAGCGGCTCTCGAGGAGGCCGAACAGCGGGATGATGCCCCCCAGGAAGATGACACCCGGGAAGATGCCCCCCAGGAAGATGCCCCCCAGGAAGATGCCGCCGAAGGGTAGTAGCCCGATCTGATTGATTCAAGACCACTGGCTCTTACTAACCTGGGGGAGCAGTGTGTGTGGTTTCTAGAACATGGAATTTCATTTCCCAGTCTGAGGACTGGCTTCTGATTATCTATTTGTCCTTTCAAGTTTCTCATTATAACTTCCAGTTTAAATCAAAATTTGTGTAAGACGCAATGTAGTCCAGATCCTCCCAATGCAAAATCTCCTTGTACTGTACGCGTGTGCAACCCCGACCGGGAAGGAATAGCCCTAACAATTAACCTCTATAATAACAACTTGCCAAAATGCCTCGACGACCAAAATCACCCGTCCACTTTTTTCATCCTTGAATCAATGCACAGTATCTACAAAGCTCCGTCTAGCCTCCCTTCTTCCCATCTTCACACAGCCCGAAAGGGACAGCATCTTCCGCTCTGTATCCTCCCAAAAAGGGTCCTGAGACAGTCCTTGATTGCAAAATATCCGCGTTTCACATTAACAAAGCAGACTGTTCCTAAAGAGAACTTACTTCTTTCCGGTCGACGGAGACATAATCCCAACATGTCGCACCAGACATGAACGCATCAATTACTAGGATGGCCGAGTAGGGGTACGGTACGAATAGCACAAATCGTAAGATCGGTGGAAGAGGAGAAGAATTCTGCTGCGCGCTTTCCCACCCGAGATGTATCATATAGAATTGTAGGACATGCATTTACTTAGCATCATAGAAGATATGAAACCCTTCCCCAGGGCCATCGGATTAACTAGAGATAGCGCAGTCGCCCCAGAAGACCACAAAACAACCCCCGCCAGAAGTGATTCTCCGGGGCTACACAACCACCTTATATCGACTTATGTAGTGCATCGCACATCCGCTGCCTCGCTGGCACACAACCACCACAGGCGTTCCTGGATTGGTATCTCGCCAACTAATGCAAGCTTATCGACCAATCGGAAGAATCGCGCTTGGCGTGTCCCTGAGCGTGCCACATGGATTGCCAGGTGGCGCATTCGTATCTCCCTTATCTGCGATAGCTCGGATGTCGCCGATGGTTCCCGATTGCATGGGTAAGTTTGTTGTCTGGGGGGAGATATACAGTGGGGTTAGTTTTAGATCATCCTCGATTTCGATTGCGTCTAATCAGTACGGTCAGAGTACAGTCTACTATGTATGGCTCGCGATCGTAGACAGGCAAGAAGCACTGAGCTGGTGCCTACCAGATAGTATGGACTATAGCACCCGGAAAGTAGGTGGCATACTCCCAGCTCAGCGCAGAAGACATACCACCAAGACCCCTTACTACAACAAATGAAACGTGTAGATCAAGTCGCCCCGCACAGCTTTTACCCGCAACCGTCCTCGCTAACCCAGCTCCCCCCCCCAAATCAAGGCCGCACAAGCAACCCCTGCGCCAGCGCCAACCGATCGCGATGCCACTACACCACTCAGCAAAGTCCTCATCACATGATCAACCCGGGAGAAGCTTGAACTCACCTGCCCACACGAGATCGGCTCGTAGAGCGGCGGATGCGCCGCGTCGACGCACGAAGGCACGACGCGGCACACGGCCTCGGGGTTGAACCCCAGGAAGAAGGGCATGGAGTAGCGCGAGGCGGCCTGGCGGTTGTAGACGCGGTGGACGGTGGAGCGGAAGCGGTTGTTGGACAGGCGCTGCAGGAAGTCGCCGATGTTGACGACCAAGGTGCCGGGGATGGGGCGGGCGTCCAGCCACTCGTCCTGCGCGGAGAGCACCTGCAGCCCGCCGGACATGTCCTGCCACAGCAGGGTGACGCATTGGATGTCGGTGTGCGAGCCGATCCCGACCTCGAGGGTTGCGTCGTCGGCGGCGGGGGCGTCCGCGGTGCCCGGGTAATGCACGTACAGACCGTCTGCGCCGGGGTGGGTGACGAGCTCGTCGAAGTAACTGTCTGGGAGGTGGAGGGCCAGCGCGAAGATGCGGATCATCTTGCGGGCCAGGGTCAGTCGGGCTTGGTAGAAAGCGGTCGTGGTCGCGCGGAAGCCTGGCAGGTGGGCGGTGCCGGCCCAGAGGGCGCGGTCCTGGTCCTGGTCGTCGTCGTTGTCGTCGTCCGCGGGTAGGGTTGCGGGGTTGGCTTGTGGGTCGCGGAGGGGGTTGTAGCGGAGGGAGAAGGTCTCCTTGCGGTCTTGGGGAGAATTAGTGTACAGTACTTCCAAAGTGGTGATCACGGGGAAGGGTTACCCCTGGATTCGGTCTTGTTGATCTGCGTGCTTCTGACACCATGAAACCCGCCCATCAGTTTCATTTTGGCGGAGGCGACTTTCAGTTTGTCTTCTTCCGACTGCTGGAAGAATGCTTGTGCCTGGGCGAGGGCCTCCTGGATCAGCTCTTCGGGAATGCCGTGGTTCTTGATGTAGAAGAACCCGGTGTTTTCTGCAGCAGCGCGCACTTTGGCAGCGAGCTGCTGGCGCTCCTGCGCATCACCGTCGATAGGGTTGAGGTCGATCACGGGGATCTCATCCTTGGTGGGGAGGCGGGGAGGCGCCGTCGACACGCGGCGGTACTCTGGCCCATTCAAGGTCAGCAGCTCGACATGGGTGTATTCACATTCGGTCGTCATGGTGAGACTACAGTGAATGAAGTTCGGACCAGCCTCGGCTTGGTAGGTGAATCTTGTCTGTTAGGTGGTACTCGAGTTAGTTGATTTGCCACGCTGAGGTCTGCATGCATGTGCTGGTGGTAGGTATGTTCTGTATTTATCCGGTTCGAGAACTCGCGCGGGGAACCCCGCCCCGCCAAGCCACCACTCCGCAAGGCTGCGAGATTAATTATCGCTGGTTCTCGGTCGTCCAAGAAACGCCATCCGACCTTGGCGGCTGATAAGCTGATTACGTCTGGACTAGCAGATAAGCCGGAAGTGTTGGTCGATTCAGTGAAGTCGGTCGCGTGGGCCACTTATCACCGTTGCACCCAGCCAGCAGGAGGCCATCCCTGTCTCTTATCTACGGTCGTATTACCATCCCTGTCCAACCCCTGGCCAGAGAGTGGCTACTGACTGGTATTTAACCCCTCTCGCGGTCGCAAGGGTGAGAACAACCAGACCAGAAACGACGACAAGATGTCGGTACTTGCGACCCTGCACCGGCGCCTGCTGGTGAAAAGCGTCGATCAGGATGGAAACGAGCGACTCGTGGAGACCCTCGACAATGACTCAATCCGACCCACCCGCGCCAAAGACCGGACATGGACGCAGTTCACATACGTGATGTTCTGGTTCTCGGCGGTGGCCAACGTCAGCAACCTCTACGCGGCCTCCACGGGCATGACCATGGGGTTGACCATGTGGGAGAGTATCGCGTGCAGCTTCGGCGGGCAGTTCATGGCGGGATGCCTCATGGCGATCAACGGCCGCGCCGGGGCCATGTATCGCATCCCGTATCCGGTGCTGTGTCGGTCGAGTTTTGGCGTCTGGGGCGCGCTGTGGCCGACCTTTAATCGGGCAGTCATGTCCATCGTGTGGAACGGAGTGAATATGACGCAGGGTGCGCAGTGTCTCTAGTGAGTGTGTCGGGGTTGTCCTTGCATGATGTTTGCTGATGCACGCAGTGTGTTTCTCCACGCCATCTTCCCCTCAATCGCGCACATTCCCGACACAATGGGCCCGAAGTCGGCTCTGACCTCTGCGCAGATGATCTGCTTTGTGGTGTATTGGTACGTTGCTTTCCTCGAGAGATAGATAAATGACCCACTAACCTGCAAAGGCTGATCAACTGCGCCTTCCTGGTTGTACCGGTTCCGAAGATGAAGATGCTGGTCTACATCAAAGTGGTCGTGTATTATGCCGGCGCGTTAGCGATGCTGGCGTGGGTTGTTTCCCTGGCAGGTGGATCGCCCGCAGCCCTTCGGGCGTCCTCGTCCGTGCACGGACAGGAGAAGAGCTGGCTGATCTGCAAGTTTCTGTGGCTGGGACTGGCCAGCTGCGGGACTTTCATCTCGAACGCAGCGGATCTGCAGCGATACGCACGTAAACCCAGCGATGTGATTCTAGGGCAGATCATCAGCTTCCCGGTCTCGGGACTGCTGGTGGCCGTCATCGGCAATGTGATCGCAGGGTCGAGCGAGAGCATATTCGGCGAGGTGGGTGCTTCTCCTCCGTCAACCTGTATTAATGCTGACCTGACCATTGCAGCTCATCTGGAACCCGCTGACCTTCCTGGACAAACTCATGGACGGCGACCGCTACACCCACGGCAACCGCACCGCCTGCGCCTTCATCTCGTTGTGCTTCATCTACTCGACCGTCTTCTCCGCCATCTTCGAGAACTCGATCCCGTATGCCTTTTCCTGACCTACCCTTTTTACCCCCCCCACTAACCCCCAACAGAGCAGGCAACGACATCGCCGCCCTATGGCCGCGCTACATCACCGTGAAACGCGGCTTCTTCATCTGCGCCAGTAAGCCCCTCCCCTCTCAAAAACCCACCCCCACAGCCCCCGCACACAACTAATGTCCGGGTGACACAGTCCTCTCCTTCGCAATCTGCCCCTGGTACCTCCTCGCCACGGCCTCAATCTTCATCACCTTCCTCTCCTCCTACCAGATCTTCCTGTCCGCGATCGCCGGAATCCTGATCTGTGATTACTACCTCATCCGCCGGGGCCATCTGCACGTCCCCGCCCTGTACACGGCTGACCCGGCGGGCGTTTACTACTATCTGTACGGGATCAACCCGCGCGGCTTCGGGGCGTATCTCATTGCCGTGGCGCCGAACTTCTACGGGTTCCTGTCGCAGATGGGCGTGCGGGCGCCGCTGGGCATCGAGCGGTTTTACTTCGTGGCGTACCCGGTCGGATTGTTGGTGGCGTTTGCGGTGTTTGCGGGGTTGTGTGGAATGTGGTGGCCGCGGGGGGTGGATCGCGGGCGGAAGGGGTGGTTGGAGCCGCGCGATTATTGGGATGAGTTTGATGAGGTGGCGGTGCAGCAGGGGGTTGGGGTCGGGGTCGGGGTTGGGGATGTTGAGGTGGTGAGGGAGGTTGCGGGCGGGGTTAAGGGGGAGAAGGTTTAGGTCTCTGTGGGGTGGCTATGGGAGGGTGAGGGTTTACGGGGTTTAGGCAGCGTGAGGGGGTATTCTGATTAATCTATGATTTTATGAGCTTGAAGGTGTACTGGCTGTAGTCTGCGTACATTGTATCTCTGGTAAGTGAGGTCGGCTGTGGCGTAACTCTGTTGTAGCACTCTGGTTGGGAGACTCGAGCAGCAGCAATGGACTGCCACCTTGTGCCAGTTTGTGGCACTGAATCTGCGCGAAGATTTTGAGAGAGCCGAGTCTCTCTTGTAGCCAACAGTGTCATCTATGAATTACATACTTCGAGGTTGATTTAACACACAGATGACGGTTGCATAGACTACTATCAGTACAAGTAGCGCTGAGGGCAATGCCAGGGTTATACTGAACCATATTTCTGTAAATAAGCATTTTCTGTATCTCTTGCTTATTACTGGTACTTCATCTTACAACTTCTACAAACCACTCCCAAGAAATCCCCTCACCACGTCTCACAATAAGGCCGAAGATCCAACTCATGAGTGAACGAAGACCTAGGCTGGCTATGCAGGAACCAATACGTCTCCGCAATCTAATCCCAATCAGCATTCCAGATCCCTAAACCATGGTTAAAGCCACAGCAATGCACTCACCCAATCAGGATCAATCTTCGCGTCCGGCTTATCCGTCATGTACCCCCTGGTCTGCTCCGTCGCGATGATCCCATCGACGATCGCATGCGCCACATGGACGCCCCGGGGCCCGAACTCCCGGGCCAGCGACTGGGCCAGCGCGCGCACGGCGAACTTGCTCATGGCGAAGGAGCCCAGCCCGGACCCCCCCTTCAAGGAGGCCGTTGCACCTGTACAGCAGCCCATCATTAGCATCATCATCCATACCTGATCGCCCTTGCACGCCCAAATTCCCCAAATTGCAATTGCGACCGCCAAGGTACGTGGGAAGACAAACCCGTAAAAATCAGCGTCGGCGCCAACCGCGCCGGGGGCGTCTCCCCGGCAGCGCGCAGCAAGAACGGCAAGACCGCCTGGGAGAAATTCGACGCGCCGCGGGCGGTCGCCTCCAGGCTGGCCAGAAACTCGGCGCCCGAGTCGAGGAACGGCGCGCGGGAGAACTTGCTGGCGACGTTGAAGATGGCCGCGGCCACGGTGACGGGGCGGTCGGCGCCGCCGAATGCGCCCTCGATCTGCTGCATCGTGGCCTCCATCGTCCCGGGCTGGGTCACGTCCGCCGGGATGCCGAGGGCGGTGCCCCCGGACTGGTTGATGGCCTGGACCAGCGGGTCGAGGCTGGATTGGCGGCGCGCGAGGAGGACGACCGGGTAGGTCTGGGCGAAGCGGCGGGCGATGGAGGCGCCGGTGCCGGGTCCGGCGCCGGCGATGATGGCGATGGGTTTGGTGAGTTTGGTGGTCATTTTTTTCTTTTTCTTTCTTGGGGTCAGTCAGTGAGTTTCTCGAGGGCTCTAGGTGTAGGTAGGTGATTGGGTTGATTATGTGTGTTGAGGGGAAGCCAGGGGGGGTTCAATTCCAGAGGAGTTGTTCCGGTATGTAAGCATCAGTCATGACGTATCGAATCAGTGTGGGCGTGTGTGTGTGTCTGACTAAATTCTTCGGGCTTGATCTCAAATCCGCCGCGCCGTGATTATTAAGGAAAAGTGCTGCAGCCACTCCATGCGGGCTTACGGCGATACGAGCGATTACATGAGCTCGGCCCCCCGAGAGTACGAGCTGACTCAGGCAATAACTTAGCTAGCTAACTACCCCGCGAGGGGAAGGCATGCCAAGGAGGGAGCTGTCCCTAAGTTGGGGCGTGACGTTTCAAAGAGTATAAATGGCCAGTCTGGGTCAGCTTGACCAGGGAAGTAATCAGCACAACTAACAGTTTCTCTTCGCTACCATACTAGTACCTTCCCGCCAATCTATCAATCAATTTCTCTCCCCACCTGATCCTACCGCCATGTCTCAAATCCTCACCGTCTTCGGAGCCACAGGCAACCAAGGCGGCTCGGTCATCAAATCCGTCTTCGCCGATCCCGCCCTGTCCAAGCAGTGGAAGATCCGGGCCGTCACCCGCGACCCCACCAAGCCAGCAGCCCAGGCCCTAGCTGCCCAGGGCGTTGAGCTGGTCACCGTAAGTCCACCCTCCTCTACACTTCATCTCCATCATCACTAACCTCCCCCCCTCTCTCAACAGGGCGACATGTCTTCCACAGAGGCAGCCCTCCCCGCCGTCACCGGCGCCCACACCGTGTTCCTGGTGACCAACTTCTGGGAGACGATGAGCCGGACCACCGAGGTGGCGCAGGGCAAAGCGGTGGCGGACGCTTGCCAGCGCGCGGGGGTGCAGCACCTGATCTTCTCCTCGCTGCGGGACGTGACGCAGATCAGCAACGGCCGCCTGGCCCACGTCAGCCACTTCGACGGCAAGGCCGAGATCGAGCAGTACATCCGCGACAGCGGCGTGCCGGCCTCGTTCGTGCTGGCGGGCCTGTACATGACCAACTTCTTCCAGATGCTGAACAAGCAGGGCGATGCCTATACGCTGGCCTGGCCGGTGGATATGACCCAAGCGCAGGTGCCGTTGTTCGATCCGGCGGAGGATACAGGTATGATTCTTCCAGTGGATGAGGGATGAGGGATGAGGGATGAAGGCTGATGGGGAATAGGCAAATTCGTGAAGGCGGCGATCAAGCACTTCCCGTCCGCCGTGGGTCAACGCATCCTGGCGGCGGATGACTACTACTCGCCCCAGAGGATTGTGGATGAGTTCCACGAGGTCACCGGGTACAAGGTCCAGACGGCGCGGATCCCGGAGGAGGTGTTTAAATCGTTCTTGCCGGCGCCGATCGCGCAGGAGATGCTGGAGAATATTTTGCTGCTGGAGGATCCCGGGTATTATGCTGGGGAGTCGCTCGCGCCCTCGCGGGAACTGTTGGATGAGAGTGATAAGCCCACTTCGTGGAAGGAGTTTGTGGCGCGCCACAAGGAGAAGTTCTAAGCTAAGAGGGATTACACCTCAAAGTAGTTATATAGTGATTTAAATGGATAATATTGAGGGTTGATTTTCTGATTTTTTTTCGTAACATTCTCTTCGGATTGATTTGTTATGTAATGATTATTTAATCAGAATGGTCATAAGAAAACTAACCTATCACGCGATTGATATATCGCATGAGAAGAGGGGTACTAGTGACCAGGGCTTGAAAGGAAAAAGGGGGGCAAGTGGGCTCTGCACGGATTTAGGTAGGCAGTATGTAATGTAGGGAGTAGCTACTGCCTCTCACCGTCCTGCGCCTCCACATGACGATCTCCTTCCACGCCATCCACCGCCCCCCGCTGCTCACCATCACCATCACCATCACCACCACCACCGGCATCACGATCATGGCTCTCGTGCAACTTAGCAACCAGCAGCATCGCACCCAAAGGCGACAAGCTCTTGTTGTTGTTGATGATGATGATGATTCACCAATGGCTCAACGGAAGTAGGTTGTCGTGAGCCTTTTTTACTGGTCTGACCAAGCCCGCGAGGCGGGTCACTCACAAAGAATTGTAAGCTTGGGCTACAAGGCTTGGTCACGTACTGGGATAATGAATTGGTGGATTTTTTCATGGAGACTTCAGGCTCGATTTGCCTTGTATCATTGTCCCTGGGACAAGGCGTCTGTGAGGCTTCTCGAACTTGGCTAAAGTCTACTCGATGCTATGTGAACAAGATAAAGAACAGATCATTTGCTATAGACGCTATGGAAGAAGTTCTAATTTGTAGGAGGGGGGAATTTTCAAGGCAGTTAGTAGTTAAGTTCTATAATGATTTGACTCAATAACATCAAGGGCTAATAATATCAAGGGCTTATTTCTTATTCTGTACAACATTGTATTTGAATTAAGTTGTTATGTAATCTTATAATTTCAATAAAATGGTCATAGGAGCACTTCTCACGCAATTGATATATCACACGAGAAGAAGGTACTACCCTCCTAGCCGCCAGGGTGTGAAAAGGAAAAAGGTAAGAACTAGGAGAGGTACTAGGCAGCAGGTAACTTACCGCGCCCCTGATCATCATCCCCACCACCACACTACCATCACAGTCCACGCTGCCTGCCCCCGCCGTTCAACCTCGTCGCCAGCTCGCTCGCATCCGGAGTGCGCAGGTACGTCCACAGCCACGCCTCCGTGCGGGCCCTGAGCAGCGGCAACTGTCGCCGCGACCGGACCATCTTTTCCCGCAGCGACGCGGACTCGGCGGTCAGCTGCTGGGCCTGTTCCTCCAGCCGCCGGACGGACGGCCCCCGCTCGCTGAGTTTCGGCATCGCCGCCAGCAGCGAGCTCAGCGCGCGCTCGTTCTCGTGGCGGAGCTCCGTGCGCAGCGCGTACCCGGTCTCGATCTCCTGCTGGATCGTCTCCAGGAACAGGACCGTGTCCACGGAGGATCGGGCGGTGGCGAGGAGGGAGGCGTAGACGTTCTCGGTCGGTGCTTCGGACATCTTGGGTGGGTTTGGGGGGTCCGTTGTGCTTGCTTGTTGTATTTGGGGGTTTTGAGGGTTGAATGGTTAACCGAGTGGTTGGCGGGGGGGGTGTCGTCCTTTTTTATAGATCTCGTCGAGTTCCGGAGGCGTGTCATTTACAAAGAACCGTACCCCTGGGTCGTAAGGAGTTTTTAATGTACTAGAACAATGAATTGGTGATTTCCACGGAAGAACAGTATGATTGCTACAGACGCTATAGGAGAACTTCATCAATCGCTTCTGGCGTGAAAGAAGGATCGTAGCGACTGGGAAACCAATTCGCTAGATTTGGCTTGTTTACGAGACTCCGGATGCCGAATTTGACCACTACGTTCATAAATTCCATAGTACGACTTGACAGGCTCATCCTCACACCTAAGCTCCTTCGATACCTGAAATAAGTCTCTACCGTCTGAGCAAGAGTTACACTCGATGATCGCGTTACAATATTGTGCACAAATGATTATATTTCACATAACTTTTTTGATTGTAAAAGCCCCATCCACCAGTGTCATACTAAGACACCAACGAACGAGAGCAAGAATAAAAGCCCAATGGAAGGGCAGCCCCAAAGACATCCCTCAGATCTCAAAGGAGAACCGAACACGACGCTTGTTAGAACGTTGCGGGCTTCTGCGGCGCGGGGATTTGACCCCGGCAGGCTTGACCGGCGCGGGGTTCAACGCCCTCTCCACGGATTCGGTTTGGTGCAGCCCCCTCTCGAAGATGGCCCGGGCCAGCTGTATCTGCCTCCGGAACTCGCGCGCCTTCGGGGTACACGGCTTGGTCCCGCGCAGCAATTCCAGATGGACGCGGCGCAGGTGCAGGAGCGCCCGCTCGAGGTCTTTGGTGGCCGAGCTCAGGGCTAGGTTCTCCCATTTCGGCATTTTGGCGGGTGCAGCGATGACGGATTTCTGAGAATGGGGTGGGGGCAAGGGGTCCAACTCGGTGTTATGTTGGGTGGGGGTGGGAAATAGAGGGTTCGAATTGGGCTACGTGGTGGCTTTATAAATAGTCGAAAGTGTGGATGGGCTACCTTTGAAAAACCGTAACTAGACGCCGTAAGGTCTTTGATGCTCAAGCGGGTCTTTATTGCTAAGCAAGAATTCCGGTATCATCCTTGCTTCGACTTGAGCCTCTACGGATAAGCTCCTGATTCAAGATAGCCTGGAAGAGTCTTCAAGGTTTGCGTTGGAGGATACTCCGTCTGTTTATACAAAGATCCGTTCTTGATAAAAGACCGATGTCAAATTGATCTCGGAGTTTGTCGCTTAGATCAAAATGAATGAAGGGTAGTGTCCGTACTGTTTACTACGGATACTCTTGATAGTCATTGTATACTGGGTGCAAGGATGGAAAGGAACGATTGGAGATTACAGGAGCACTTAAATTACTGAAACAAGGGACAGAATTATGTGCCCGCATCACAGACTTCGAACTATGAGATTAAGCATCGTGAGAAGGCCATAATGTAATGACATTACAGTACATAAACGTATAACTAAATAGAGCGCTAGTATCATTGTAGGCCCTATCTAGACCTCAATCTGGAATATTAAAAGCTTACAAAAAAGCAGATAGATACTACTGGTATATGGAAAAATTTTTTCGATAATTTTTCGATTGTTGAAAATCTAGTTCATCATGCCGTGTTAGCAACGAGGTACTAGACCAGCGTAAGGAACAGCCCTTGAATGGGGCGGCATCACTGCACAGACCCGCGAGGCCAGAAGTCCTCCTGCGTGCGGCGGCGGTCAAAGACGTCGTACCCCCTCTCGTGGACCCTTGGTGCAGGGTAACGTTGGCGTGCCTCCTCCGCGCGGAACCAAGGGTCCTCCTCGAATGCCGCCGCGGCGTCCACCGCGGCATCGATCTTCTCGCCACACCGACGATCCAGCGAGTCAGGCAACATCGAGTCTTGTATCTCCTGGTTGGAAGGCAGAGTCACCCGGCGCAAAGGCTGAGTATCCGCCGCGGGCGGAGCCAAAGTATCAGTCTCGGGGGGAGACGGAGTCCCCCGGGGCGAAGGCAGAGCATCCACCTTAGCAGCGAGGTCCCAGATATACTGGGATGAGAATTGCAATGAACTCTCCCCGGGCGAAGGCTGAGTATCCGCCGCGGGCGGAGACAGACTCCCGGGCAAAGGCAGCGCATCCACCTTAGCAGGGAGCTTCCGGAGATACCGGGACGAGAATCGCAACAAACTCAGGGTCGCCTCAATCTGCTCCTTGAGTTCAGCCACGCTTCGAGCATCGCAGTCGTGCTCGTACCGCCAGATTACCCGCACGCAGGCCTCGGCATACTTCTCGAGGCTCTCCTCGAGGGGATCCATGGCCTCGGTTACTTCTGTCAGGAGTACCATTTTTAACCGGTGTGTCAAGTAGGCTCGTAGGTTGTGGTTGGGTGGGATGGTTTGTCTGGGGGTTGTCACGTCGGTTGAGTCCTCGATGGGGGATGGATGGGGATTTGAACATCGGTGGTTTGTGCCCCTTTTATAGGTGAGACTGAGACACCTGTCTCCGGGATTGAGACGGTCGTCAATGCTGAGATGACGGGGATAATCGGATGAAGCCATGAGCGAAGATAAAGCAATTGGAGGCCCCTTTATGAGTTATAGAAGGATTTCTGGTCATCCTTGCTTAGTTTTAAAAGGCTCTTGAACGTATACTCTTCATTTTCAATTCTTCTTTGGGAATAGGCTGTATACATGTGTGGACAATTGTGCGGTCATTGTTGACTAGGATGATTCATTGTGCCTTGCCCGGACAGAACAAAGCTGGTGAAAGCTCGGCTAAGGAGGATTTCAATCTCGATGGACACCAAGTACTGAATGCTAAGGTGAGGGAGGACATAGGGTTCAAACCATGGATGAATGCTCGGAAGACCGAATCAAGGCTCTACCCGCTTTCTGCCTGAGGCTGTCGCAGGGAGATGATGTTGATGTCTCAGTCAAGGTGATGGCTGGTCTGGCTTGAGCAATTAAGATTCTTGCGGCGGAGTGACGGTAGGTAGAAAGAAAAGCTTTTGCGAGTTGGTTGTGTATATTATGGTGAAGTATTCTGAGGACGCGCAGCCTTGGACTTAAATCTCATGGCTCATGGCATATGTGCGGAAGCAATGAGGCGGGGAATAAATGGAAAGGATGACCTTCGACCTTCTGCCTACTATATAGTGTCGGAACCCATGAAACAGGAAGGTAAGTAGAGGCGCTGCTATTCTGAGCATCATATCTATGACCTGCGGGTTTGTCAGGTTAAATCTGTATGTAGGCTAGCATAGAAGATTCTTTGAGAGACAGAAGAATAACCAAAAATAGTTTAACAGTTTATTAAAAATATCCAGGAGCAATATCTTGTCAAATGATTGAATCTGTATAAACACGTTCTTGTCACTTTAGAAGAGCGTGGTTTGAGCACAGCTCACAGCAAGCTACGGATTGCGGTACCTGCCAGGCAGTCCCAACGAACCAAGGCACTAAGCGCATCCGGGCGATAGATAGGGTAGAGAAGGATCCTTGGCACTGCCTCAATTCTCAATTGCTGCTCGTTCCTCCATTTCTGCGCTGATATCCAGCAACAACTCTTCATCGGTCTCCGCCACCCGGATCGGGTATTGGGTCGCCTTCATCTCGGCCAGCCGTTGCTTCAGTTCCTCCACCTGCTCCTCGAGCTCCTGCAGCCGCTCCTCGTCATGTTTGATAGACTCTCTGTAATCTCGTAGACGCGCATGCAGTTTCCACTCGCCGTCGCGCAGCTCGCCCACCCGGTCCTCCAGGGCCCGCATTTCGAAGTAGCACACGCACCCCAATCCGCTGATGAGTACGTAGCCCGCGGAGAGGCTGAACACGATGATGTTGTAGTAGGCCCCGATGTCAGACATTGTGGTAGTAGTAATAGGGATTCGATTCGGGACTGTACACTCTGAAGATTTGGGGCGGGATTGGAAAAGGCTATGATGAAAAGTTGGTGTTGAGTTGTGTGTGTTAGAGGTGCAACACCCAGAAGACTTCGGGCATGCCGTAGCTTTTAAATAGAATCAACACAACGGACCACAAGAGTGTTCTTTCTTCACCAAAGTCAGGATAAAAGTCAGTGAATAAGTATAGACTGAGGTGCCAGGATAAGTCTTCGGGTGAAGTGGACTGTTTCCCTTCTTTGTCTCAAGTCTTTCACTGTGGCTTATGGGTAAGTAGTTGAAACAAACAATGCTCATTGTCTACTTCAATCTTCTTTGTTACTATCCCTTCGTTAGCAAGACTATTGTTATCTCTTGCGATGGAAGTCGAAGGCTTGTGAGAGAATCGTACAGAAGATGCAACGTTGAGGAAGAGACACTAAAAGAGGCTATGAGGTCTCCGGTACCAGGCCGCTCAGCATTCACTCCGCTGGATCTTAGTCAAGTCCTCAAATAACCTTGCGCAGCCAACGTGAATCATCCATACTCTTGTACATACATAGAGATCCTAGATTGCAATACTTCGGATTGCCAATGACAGCACCAACCAGAATTATTTCCTGTGACCTGGAAGCCTGTGCAAAAGATGCAAGTAGAGTTTCCTCAGCAAACTGTTCATTATTGCTGAACGTATTCCGATAATTAACGATGCAGCAACTAGATCAAGCAGATTTGGACCCCAAGGATATGGGCATGAATAGTATGTCTCATTACTGCTAGAAGCATAAGCGGCAGGTTCCGTTCTTCAGAAGGAAGAATTCGAAACAATATCTTGTCTCCGTTGAAAGCTTGCCTTGGATCACAACGATTTTACAATGTAATATTATTGAAATACTACACTAGGTTGGTGGTTGACAAGAGCTTCATGACACCGAAAGTACCCAGGCCTCCGGATATAAATAACAATAAAGATAATGGTTCGTCCCCAAGCTGCGATATCCTCTCAGCATTGTCCGATTCCCGGCACGATGTCTACCACCATGACCACCACCATTCACTCCCTCCCCAACGAGATCCTCGCCCTCATCCCCGCCTTCCTCGACAACATTGAGACCCTGACCATCGCCTCTTCCAGCTGCCGCCTTCTGCGTGCCAACTTCGCGGCCGCCTCGCCGGCGACCATCCTCCGCCTGGCCGCGGCCTCGGTCCCGACCTTCTTCTCGCCGCACCCGTACTTCCTGGTCGCCGCCACCGCCCGGCAAGCCAGCGAGTGGGCGGTGGGCGACGCGACGCGGATCGCCCTCCTGCACGAGGCCCTGCAGGGCGGCATCGACGGGCTGTACGAGTTCTGCCTGGCGCACGCGGGGCTCACGCTGGCCGACATCCGGCGCCTGCACCAGGCGCGCTTCGACATCGTGAACCCGCTCTCCGACCGCATCGACAAGATGGCCGGGCAGCAGTGGCTCAGCAGCACGGAGGATTTCTGGGGCGGCGGCGTGAGCGAGCCCAACACCCTCTTCACCGACGCCGACCGCGCCACCTTCCAGATCATCATCTACGGGGAGCTGTTCGGGCGCGACATGGAGGCATTCCTGGCGGCGGAGGGCGCAAGACCCTCCCCGTCCACGCCCGTGCATAGCATCGCCACCCGCCTGGAGTACATCAAGTACTGCGTGCCGGATTTTGTGTGCTACGGCGGCCATCCCGGGTTCGAGCCGCCATCGCGGGCTCGCGGCCCCTACGCCCCGCCGATCGACCCGAGAGACCTGCCCATGGACCAGCGCGTGTTGCATCATATCTTCGTGTGTCGGCGGTGGAGGCGTATGTGGGCCGGCGCCATGAAGATGGTCTCCGGGGACGAGGCGGACGGGGAGATTGAGCACTACGCTTATGAGGAGGACTGGCGTCCGCGGTTGTGGCGCGAGGCGCTGATGATGCAGGGCTTGTGGGGCATGCAGCTGGTGATCTTGCCGCCGGAGAAGGTCGACAAGGCGTGGCTGGATAAAGCGCGGTGGATGCGCGAGCAGATCTTGAAGCTTCAGGGCCCGCTGGAGAGGCAACTGCTCAATGACAACTACCGTGATAATGTGTCGTTGGCCCCGGATCCGTGCGAGGAGGTGTCCATCTGCAAGGCTCATATGCCGTGCTTTCATCCTGGTACCTTTTTGAGTGAGAGCGAGAGCGACTAGGGGTGCAGTGCACTTACTTACTCACCTGAATAAGGTAGGTCGCATGAAAGAGACACCTGCTGCGGCAAGCGTCTCGCGCCAACCTGCCATGACTCAGTTTTCCACTTGTTTTTTCCTATAATCGAGAGTTTTTTTACCCCATGGTCGACCACTTTAACCTATAATTGTCCACTCTCATGTAAAAGATTATATACCGTAGTTTCGGGTAACAAGCTCTAATATATTTGACCTTTAGCCCTAAGTCCTCTCTAAACCCGATAGATAATTGCCGAGGATGCTTGACAGTCCCCAGCAGTGGTTGGGTACGGTCCGACCCGGAGTCCCACTTCAAGGGCACCGGGCACTAAGCTTAGTGTCCAGGACCCCAGTCTCTAAGGGCCACACCGCGACATACTTGCTACTAAGTCAGCCAGGGTCTTCCGGAACTGCAACCAATAGTCTCTGATAATTCAGCTTTAGTGATAGCTGAAGTAGTGTACCTAGTTTGAAGGCTAAATATCGAGCCTCTGAGCCACTGATAGCCCTTCCTACCCCATACACCTAAGACATTTCGATATCCTCGGAGATGAGGCATCTTGGTCTCGCTTTAGTCTTCCGAGTTTTGATAGGAGATGTCTTCTTAGACCCTGGGTAATAAGAGAATTTCCGAAGAACTACCGTATACTGGCTGCTGAGCTGATTGGTCGCTGCGATGTATGTTAGGCCTCTCTCAGAGCCCTGTTACTGTATCCGAAATTCGCCTTCAGCTTGTTCGTCCAGGAGTATGGGCTCAAAGTTCTGGATAAAAGTGAAGCTCCCAAAACGTTCGACCTAAGCGAGATCGCTGGGGGTATTGAAGAGAGGAGCCAAATTCAACTTTGCTACTCTCCCGATAAAAGCAACGAAAACACTGGTACAAGCAGCGACAGGAACAGCGAGGTATTGAAGGTCTCGCTTTTGCAATGAATCTAAATTATTTGGATAGTTGAAAGTAGGAAAGTGGCTTGTGAATGAGCGAGCATATCTATTGATTCACCAGTCCCGTTTCCACTCAACCAACTCGAGCCGTACTCCAGCTTGGGTGGCTAGCTCTGTGAGCTGGTGCCTTAACTCGGGAGGCCACTCGCCTTGATTATCATCCATTTCCTCATAAACCAACGAAACGCTTCGAAGGTGGGGTGTGTAGGTCCTCCAATCCTCCAGCCACGTCCGCAATAAGATCAGAAGAGCAAAGTCCTGCCATTCATACATCGGCCAGGTTTCAAATCCATCGTTATTCTGAAGTTCTAACTCGTCTGTGAGGGAAACGTATTCGATGTTCCGCGGGAGAACATCCTGCAACCGCTTCGTGGTGTCTTGCGCGAACCCTACCAGGAATGCCAGCGGAATTTGAAGTCTCTTGAGCTTGTCAAACTCGACCATCGTACGCAAAGAGCCCTCCATCTTCACGGCCGGGTAGAATTGATCACCACCTCCCAGGGAAGCCTCGGCAAAGATGGTCAAATCAGTGAGAGTATCTCGAACATGGGATAATGCGGCCGCAATCCCATCAAGGTTGACGATGGGGACAACAATAGCGTCGTGGACACCAGCATCGTAATACCAGGTCCAACGAAGCGATTGAAGGTTGCGGGTGACGGACAGCACAGAGCCGAGGTTTGCTTCCCGTATGTCGGCCAGATGGATCGAGGTGAGTTTGGATGGGTCAGGTAAGCAAGCTGCAGGCCATGCGAAAGTACCTGTGTTCTCAATTGCAGCCGCAATGCGTTGGACGTTCGGCAGGTAGAAGAACGGTAGGACGAGTGATTGACTCAGTGGACTTTGGTCTCGAGACCTTAGCGTCGTGTACAGCTCGCCGGAGTTGTCATAGGAATGGAAAGACACAGCTCGGAGATGCTGAAAGTCGGGCAACCTATACATCCCAGGCTCGCAGATGGCCGACTGGAGAAGCATCTCAAATATTTTATTCCGCTGGCAGAAGACATAGTCGAGACACAGACGTCTCAGATTTGACAGTTGTGCTAAGAGTAGAGCAAGCATGGCATCTGGAGCACCATTTCTTAATTCTTCTGTCCAAAGGTCACTGTATGGGACCCCTGTCCCCTGGACAAATGCAACGAATTTGTCTAACTCAGCAACAGGAATAGGAATCCTTTGAGCTGCAAACCTATTCCACTGCCCGCGGTAGGCCGAGAGGCTCTGAAATTGGAAACTGGTGATGTGAGCAGCTAATTGAGGTTTGCTGATAATGGTTCGTAGCAGTAGTGTGATTGGGGGAGGAGCGTGATTTTCTCGCCAGATCCAATCGATCTTGGAATAGAGGTATGGCTCAACAAGTGCGCATAAATCATTATTGACGAGGCCTAGTGTCCTGAGTTCAGCTGTTGAAAGCATGCCAAACACCAAGTTCAGGATCTCGGCTGGGCAGCGGAGAAACCCGCATGACCCATGATGTTCCAATGGCATTAGTGTGTAGCAGGAAAAAAAGTGCAGAGAGAGATGTGCGATGAAAAAGAAGAGAGACTCTTCAATCTGTCTAAGGAACAAGGCTGTGACCCTGACTTTTATGCAGTTGAACAACTAGACTAGTACCTGAGACTCGGCCATCCACCTTAAAGAAGGGCTCCACCGACCGATCCACTCGATGCGAATTTTTACAGTCGGATCGCTCTTCTTTCCTAATGCGGCAAAATCGGTCATGGCATGTCGATAGTACGTATTCTGAGGAGGTAGCAGTACGTCCTACTCAAAATCACCACTAAGTTAACCAGGTAACCTGGAATCCCCTTATGTGAGTTTTTTTTGCTTCAGTGCATCATGTGACCATTCCAGAGACGAACCACATTCTTGTTGCCTGAGGCATTGTAATCCTGTGCAATGCACGTTTGTTTACAATATTGTAAGCAGCTTTCTGGGTCCACCCACACCCCAGTTTGTAATCGGTATGCGAGCAATCCAGGATAAGTTGTATCCTACAGTCTTACACACTCAATTCGCAAAGTCATGAGTTCAATCCCAGCTTTGTCACGTGACCGCGGAGCTTACTGCCTTAAGGCATCGACGAACAGGCCATGATCACGCTATCCCGCATACGGAAAGGCAAGGGTCCAGCCTGCTGGAGCCTGGAGAGTATACGCATACGTAGTTTAGTGCTCTCGTAGGCCTCTATCTCTATCTATTTAGAACTCAAACTTGTCAAACCTCTGTCGCCTTTCTCTGAAGAGATATTATAAGCCCTCCAGAAAAGAGAAATATGAAACACGAGAAAACCAGCAGATCTAGAATGACTTAGTCAGGACCATACGTATAATCTTAGAGGGGCTATAGACTACGGACCTACTGACTATGTAGTATGATGTACTAGTACTACCAGAGATCTACTATTTGATCTTTTCACTCATACTATGTTATCATTTACTCTACCAGCATACTTCCATGTACCGAATGGCTGCAGTGGGCTTCCGTATCGACCGCCAGCAGAAGGGACCCACTCAGCCCAGGCAAGTCGATCACTAATCGATACGAACATAATAACCAAACTCATAATACGATGTTGAACAGCCGTCTCCACTGGATATCCGTGGATTAGCAATCCAGCATCAAAGAAATCGATCTCACCTCAGACCATGTCATCTTCCAGCCAAACGGAAGCTCTATGGCCCGACAGGATAGTCCGATAGGCTGGCTGTGGGCGGAATACGGAGGGCTAGTCCGCCTAGTGGGGACGCGATCATGGATCAGCCTTGAACCCGTAAATTTCCCAACAAAACAAGCTTATTTATCTGCAGTCAATTCCCACCCCTCTCATCATGTTTTTGTCACCTGTCAGCCTTCTTCCAAAATCATGGGACTGTCAACACGTATAGCAACAGTACATTCCCTCCCCCTGCTCAAATGGGCCGTTCGCACTCTAACCCGATCACCTAGATCGTCGTCGGCCTAGCTATACTGCTGGGCTGGTTGACCGACCGCCACACCCTCATCTGGCTGACGGTGAACAACCATCCCAGCCGACTTCCCCAGATCTCCAAATTCGCCGACCAGAAAATCGTGCTCGCAGACCGAATCCGTAACTGCGAAGATGTCCACCTCGACACGCAGCGCGGCTTCGCGATCCTAAGCTGCGACCCGGGCCGCGACACCTGGAACACCGTCATGGTCGGTCCCCCTCCCTCCCCGCATTCTTATCCCACCGACTGACCCCCCCTCCCCCACAACGCAGGGAACCTTCATCAACGCCACCAACCCGGGAACCCTCTACCTCTACAACTATGCCTCCACTTTCGACGCGACCTCCGACGAAAACAACCTCCACCCGCTCCCATTGACCAATTTCCCCACCACCTCCCGCCAGACCTTCCACCCGCTGGGCCTAGCCTACAACCCGAAGACCTTACAACTCTTCGTCGCGAACCACGCCCCGACCGGCCCGGCCATCGAGCTCTTCACCCTCGACCCCAACCCTCAAGCCCCGTCGCTCCACCACGAAAAGACCATAACCCACCCGCTCCTGCACGGGCCCAACGCCCTGCTCGCCGTCTCCCCGCACGAGCTCTACATCACCAACGACCACCGCTTCACCCAGCGCGCCTCCCCGCTCCTCGCCGCCCTGGAGACCTACTCCGCCTACCCTGGAGGCACGGTCGTCTACGCCAACCTCCAGACGGACATGTACAAGGTCGTCGCGCACCTGCCCTACGCGAACGGCATCGCAGCGCTCAACCACACCCACGTGGCCGTCGCGTCGACGACGACGCCCTCCGTGACGGTGTACCGGATCGACCCTGCCACCAAGGATCTGGAGAAGACGCTGTCCTTCCGGACCAGATTTCTGGTGGACAATCTGAGCACGGACGGAAAGGGGAAGCTGATCTTGGCGGGCCATCCGTTCTTCCCCGCGGTGGCGAAAGTGGCTAAGACGAATTGGGCGGTGGATTTCGAGGGCAATGGGAAGGGTAAGCCTGTTGCCGAGCGAGGGCGGGCGCCGAGTTGGGTCGCTGAGTGGGATGGGAATGTGGAGGGCAGGGTGGAGGATTTGTTTGTCGGGGAGGAGTTCGGGACGAGTTCGACCGCTGTGAGGGATGTGAAGAGGGGGTTGGGGGTGGTCAGTGGGTTGTATGAGAGGGGAATCCTGGTGTGGAGGGAGTAAAAGTCGCACAATTTTGGTGTGCTGTGGTAGACCCATTTATTGTAGGTTATGACTGTTTCTGTGTTTCGAAGTATGCTGTCGGAATGACGAAGTGCCGTACCGAGTGGCTTCGCTAATAGAGCGTAATTATCCCATTCGTGTTCAGTGTTACTTGACATGTCTCGCAGCATCTCTCGCTACTACTAGAAGGACGCAGCTTCCGACTGAGTCCAGTACTAGCACCACTCGTGATAAGAGAGGTATGGTTGTAGCTGCGGAAGTTATGCAAACTTGACATTATGCACTAAGCGGAGGGATGCTAATCCGTAGCCTGTTCCGCAAGGCAACAAGGCAGACATAATAGGCGGTGAGGCGGTGAAATATCGGCGCCAAGCGCTCCGCGACTCCAGCAGTTGGGAGTATTTCCCGATCGGGAATCGAGAGGCGCGATGCCCGCTTTGCGGAGTCGCTACCCCGCGCCGCGGTCGACCATCCTCCATAAATAGGCGCGCTGCCACGAGATAAAGCACCAGGGTATTTCCTTTCATCTCCAGACAATTCATTGTTCATTGATCACTGTCATCATGTCCGTCGCTGCGTCCGAAAAACGACCCGAGATCATCGAGATCGCCCGGGGATTGAACCATGTGCCCATGTGCGAGGAGTACGAGCGGATGATCTCCGGCATGCTGTACGTACACACACATTGAAGCTCACTGGTGTGTCGTGTGCATACCGTACGGGCTGCAGATAGCGCATTGGTGAAGGATGCTGACGGCTCAGATACAACCCCAACGTCCCAAAACTTCTGGAAGGCCGACACCGCGCCCGCGGCGTGGCCCAGGACTACAACAACCTCGACGCCAAGTCCGTCCCCTTCGAGCAGATCGCCGAGCGGCGCTTCGAGCTCCTCCAGAAGATCGTCGGCCGGGTCGGCGAGGGCACCTTCATCGAGCCGCCCTTCATGCCCGACTACGGCTGCAACATCAGCATCGGCCGCGATTGCTTCATGAACTTCAAGTTAGCCCAGACCGTCTTCGTCCAGTTACCTCTTCTCGCTAACGATTCCTCTGCCAAAGCTTCACCGCCCTCGACACCAGCCTGATCATCATCGGCGACCGCGTCCAATTCGGCCCGAATGTCAACATCTACACGGCCGGCCATGACGTCAGCGTGCTGTCGCGCCGCAAGTTCGTCGAGTTCGGCCACCCCGTCACGATCGGCAACGACTGCTGGATCGGCGGGAACGTGGTCATCCTCCCGGGCGTCACTATCGGGGAAGGGTCGACGATTGGCGCCGGCTCCATTGTCACCAAGGATATTCCTCCCTTCTCGGTAGCGGTCGGGAACCCTTGTCGCGTGCGCAAGACGATCCCCTCCGCTGAGGAGGAGGAGCAGGACCCGAATAACCCGTATCGCAACATGGTGCGGGAGGATCGGGCTTGAAGAGGATGATGGCCAGCGTTGCAGGTGGAAGAGGTGGTAGTGGGCGAAATGTCCTGGAGAGATTCTGCAGAGCCCCGCTGGTGTAGACGTGGAATTTGAAGTGTTCAGACCCAATAGAGACGATTGTTTTAGACATGAAGAACGATTACATTCTGAAACACGGATACAGCAAGAATCACAACACAATGATCCTACTACACATTATTTAGATTGGAACATCTATGAAGGCACGGTCTGAGCGCAGTGTAGATACCAGACGGCCAACATGGTCAACAAGCACAAAACCCATCATGCGCTCTGTCACCATCAACCCGACCGCGCAATCTCCGCCAACCCATCCAGCCACGCTTGGTGCCCGTTCAACATCGGGTTCGGCTTCTGCGTCGCCAGCTGCGCGGCGGGCTTCCCGATCTGCGACTCCTGCGTCAGGATGCGGATCACCCCCCATTCGGTCTTCTCCACGATCCACGCATGGTAAATATCCAGCGCGGTGTCCTCGTCGCCCTCCTGCCAGGCGCGCCACGCGAGTCTTCCCGGCTTGTTGTCTGTGGGCGGCACCGACTCGTGCACTTCGGCCTGGAGCGGGGGGAATCCGAAGGTGGAGAATGAGAATTTGTCCCCTTCGTGCAGCACAGGGCCGGAGCTTGGCGGGGTGATCTGGCCCACGTTATCGTAGTAGGACTCCCATTTGGTGATGGTGGCCAGGTAGTCCCAGACGCGCTCGACGGTGGTACCGGGAACGTAGACCTCGTTGGAGACGAAGTTTTCGGTTGTACCCGGGTGGTACTTCTGAGGCCAGTTGACTGCGGCTTGCATTGTGTGGTTGGTGGTAGAATCTTGGGTAAGGTTGGTATGTACGGAGTAGGTATCACTTGTGTAAGCTAGAACAGGGTGGGCCACAAAACCTTTAGCTTGGAAGGGTCGGGACGACCGCAGCAATCAGATAAATATGCGTCGCAGCAGCCCTGTTGCTCGAAAATCGATGACGACTGTCTACGCTGATGATATCATCCAGCAATACTGGATAAGGTATTTAACTCCGAGTCATTCCGGAGACCGAAAGCCTCATCCACAGCCACAGCCGCCCGTCCACCACACCATCCATCACCGTCTTCTTGGCCCAAAATGTCAGGCCGTCAAACTCGGCACCAGATTCAGGGATTTCATTGAACCCCTTCCAATAAACTTTTTCAGCCCTGCCAGACCAGCCAGGGAAACCCACGAGGAAATAGGGACTGCTCACTGGCTTGAAAGGGATTAACGTCTTCCCAGCTGGAACCAACTATTGGATTTGGCCCATCGTTAGCCGACCGATAGGCAGGCGTTCCCACCTCCTCCCCACCCGGTATTCTCCCCCTGGACCAGTCAAATGCGCTGCGCCACAGTGATCCAGCACCGACTAAACCCAAGTCAGGATGTTCTTGTCGCCTGCCGCCCCGCTTCGCAATCAAAGTGGCTCGAAAATCGAAACGCCCTTCTGTCCCCCTTCTCCTCTTTTCCCTTCCCTCTCCCCCCCCCGACGAGTCCCTCAGGGCCTAGGCAGACATAAAGGGTCTGCCCCCGAGCCGCGCGTCAAAAAAATCGAAAAATCCGGGATCTCGACCTTTTCCCCCCCCTCCCCAATCCCTTCCCTTTAAGCAATGAACAACATCATCCATCGATCCCTCCAATCTTGAATGAAATTAACACACCGACTGAAGAAATGAATCTGCTGTCCACCCTCGTGGTGGTGGTGGCCGTAGGTTTGGCGAACCGTAAGCAAGCTCGATTATGATCCACGTGTTTTTTTTTTATTATTTTTTTACCTTTTTTTGTTCCTTTGTTCCTTGTTGCCCATGTTTCACTTTTGGGTCAAAGGTCACATGATTGACATTTTGGTTGCTCGGGATTTTAGTCATCGCCGCGCAGGACTGCAACGCCCAGCAGGACGAATACGGGCAGGGGATTGTGATATACACGCAGGACCAGCTGGACCAGTTGACGCAGAACTGCACCACCCTCTACGGGGATCTGGTCGTGGGCTCCAACTACACGGGGAGCTTTATCGTGCACAACCTGACCAACATCACCTCCAGCCTCTCCGTCCAGAACTCCACCGGGCTGACCTCCCTCGAGGCCCCGGATCTCATCTCCCTCTATGTGGCGGGCTTCAGCTACGCCTCCTCGTTGCGGTCGATCTCGCTGCCGCAGCTGCAGACGGCCGAGGTCTTCACCGTCAAGAGCCGCACCCCACTGACCGTGTCGGCCCCGAATCTGCGGAATGTGAGCTACCTCAACTTGTTGGGGAGTGGCATCAGGTGGGTTCCCCGTCACATGACTTCTTTATCTGAACCAGCTTGTAACGTTGTGGGGTGTCTAGTTTCGACTTGTCCAAGTTGGAGAACATCACGACCGGATCCTCGATCTGTGGTGAGTCGGGATGTGATACGCAGTCGAGCCAGATAATGAAGATCGACCTGCCCGCACTGCGGCAGGCGGCAAGCCTGTATGTCGGCGGGAATGTTTCCAGGTATGTTCCTACTCTCAGCAAGAACCGACCATGTCGCTCACCCCGAACAGTCTGTCATTACCGGTGCTGGCGTCTGCCGGCAACATCACCCAAGCGACCGCCAGTGGCTACGGCGACTACGACGCGGGCTTCACCGTGCACACGACGCAGCACCTCAACTTCTCCGTGCCCGAGCTCAGCTACATGAATGGTAGCCTTTCACTGCGGGGCGTTATTGATACGTACGTAGCCTCTCTACACCTCGATACTCACCGTCACCATGACCACTGACACCCACCCCCAGCATCTCCGCTCCATCCTTGGTGAACGCCACAGCAGACATTCTAATCGAAGCCTGGACCCCACTCGCCGTGAACCTGTCCAGCCTCGAGTACGCCGACGACATCACCGTCACCGGCGAGATCACCAGGTCCGTTCCTGTCCCTGTCCCCCCCACCCCGTCCACAAAGACTAATCCCACCAGCACGGACTTCTCCTCCCTCAAAATGGTCAACTCCTTCTCCCTCAGCTCCTCCAAGCACCTCAACTGCGACAAGGTCATCCCCTCCAACACCAGCGTCATCCACGAGCACTGCGACGCCGCGCCCGCCAAGAAATCCACCCTGGCCCGCAACATCGGCATCGGGGTCGGCGTCGGCGTCGGCGCCTCGCTGCTGCTGGCCGTCGCCGGCATCGCCATCTACCGCCGCCGACACGCCCTCGCCAAGAAGAAGCGGAAGGGGAAGCAGGCGGTCGGGGCTGGCGTGGGGGCCGGGACCAGTACGGGCGAGGACAACAGCACGCTGGAGTTGCGGCCGGTGAGCAGTGGGGAGCGGCGGGAGGCGGAGAGTCAGAGTCGCGGGTCGATGGAGCGAGGCGCCGACGACAGCGAGGGGCGGCAGAGCCAGACGGCCGTGGCGCCCGCGGCGGTGGTCGTGCCGAGTGAGCCCCCGCCGCCTTATTCGCGGTGGGGGTGAGGTTTTGGTCGGTGTCGGAGTGTCCGTGGTATAGAATTTCGGAATTTCGTTGTATATAGTTCTTTACATACATATTTATAGATTTGCTTAGCGGGGTGGTGGGATAGATCATATTCAATTTTCCTCTATTCGCGGGTCGGGCAGTGGGATGTAAATGGTAGGGGATGGTGAGATGCCAGCATTGTCACTATCTTTATCTTTGGAGCGCATGGCGATTCAGTCTCCCTCGATCAACTACATCTAGACTAATGAATAGCAGGAAAGTCTTTCCGGATGCGTGATGGTTAGAGCTTGCTCGCAGCACCTCCCTCGACGCAGTGGGAAGCCAGCCATCACCCGCTCAGCCAACGACCGGTCCAATTCCTCGCTCACGCATCAAACACAGGTACTGTACTATCGTCTAGTTGAGCATCGCGTTCACATCCGATTGACTTGAGAGCAGAGAGACATTTTCGGAGCAAGAACGATGTATGATTATTGGAAGCAGCTCGATTAAATCTTTGCACTATAGTACATACACACAACCTACTTATCTCACCCACAGCAACCACTCAGCATACCATAAGCGAGGGACAGCGCGACCGAGATAACCCACTACCCACCCATCACGCCACAACATGCCGCCATCTATCCATCCAGAAGAGACAAATCAAACCATAACAACCCCCCCAACCACAGCAGCAGCAGCAACAAGCATCCCGCCCACGCTCATCGACGCGCCCGCCGCCCCAGACATCGAAGTGGCCGACGCCGAAGCCGCGGAGCCACTGGACGCGGCCGAGGACGAGCCGGTGGCTTTCGCCCCGGAGCTAGCAGCAGTCTGCACCCGGTACAGACACATTAGCTTTCGTCAATTGAGTGATACTGGGACGCATACCGAGTTCGCAACAGCCGTGGCGCTCGCTGCAGCCGACGAGGCGCTGGGCGTGGCGCTGTCGCCGCACGCTTCGGCCGCGGACTGGACGTCGTCGCCGTAGTACTGCCAGATGTTGTAGGTCAGGGCGCACTCCAGGCAGCCGCTGAGCTCGGTCTTGTACGTGGCGTTGGAGCAGTAGGTGGCGTTGGTGTCGTCCTGGGACATGAGGATCACCCCACCTGTGATTTGGGTTAGGGATGTACGGGGATGGTAGTGGGTGAATTGTGGGTTCAGGGCAGCGCGGGGGCTCGATGCGCGGGGACGTACCGCAATCGGCGTGGCATTCGTAGAGCGGACTGCCGGGGGAGATGTCCTCCCTTCTGAACAGGGGGATGCTGGATGGGAAGCTCCATGCCAGGGTTGAGGTGAACAGAGCTGCTAGGGCAGTCGCGAATAGGATGAAGCGGTGCATTGTGAGGTTTCGGCTGTTTCTGACGGGAGGGTGGTTGGTTGAGAAGGAATGCGTGCGACTATGGCAGACACGAGATAGGGTAAAATTGGTTGTGCCGGGAATTTTGGGGAGAGGGGAGCGTAGGGTACAGGCCGCTTATATTCAACCTCCAAAAGCTTGCTGCATCACGAACCCTCCACCTCGGGCGAGGTGGTAGGGACTGGTCGGACCACCTGCATCCGGATACTTCCAGCACCCACGCCCGCCGGGCAACCTCGCAAGTATCGCCCACTATAGCTCTAGCGGGAGGGCTAGCTCGATACCCTGTGTGATGCAGCCGGTGGGTTCGGTGGGCGAGATACTACATGGATTGGCCATTCCACCGTATTCAATAAATTAATCACGCAGGCAACGGCGCTAAAGGTCAATTCCATGCTGCAGGATCTGTTTTTTTTTTTTTTTTTTTTTTCGTTCCAAGTTCCATTCCTATGCTTATAGTGGTATCGTCTTTTACGCCATACCTTGTGTAGACTGAAAAAGTCTGGCGTCGGTGGTCGGAGTCATTTCGGCTTCGAAGGCCAGAACCGATAGCAGCGCATCATGCTGCTGGCGTTGGACTTGGAAATATTTATCCGGACTCCGTGGCTAGGACGGATCCTTCGTGCAGGTGAACGAGGGCCCGTGGTAAGGGTCTGTTAGTGCAGACAGAAGTGGTAAGGTTCCTGGCAAAAGCTCGCGGGCGCTGGGACAAACCCTGGTGTGATGTAGTGACCGAGTCGTCGAGTGGGTTGCATGGAGCGGCACCAGCTGCCAACGATTGGTCAAGGTGTCAGCTCTCCGCTTGGCTAACAGCACCCAGCGCTGCCTAGGGATCTTTTTGCCTTAGTTCGAACACTTCTGGACTTGGCAAGACAGGAAATTCTTGCCAATAGTTGAAGTGCCGTGGTTGGGTCGGGCCCGTGGCTGCTGACGGCCCACTTATTATCTTATCAGATTGAAAATCCGAGCACGCTAGCAAAGTTCGGTTCCCTCGTCCGATGCAGTGATTGGGAAAAATCTCCGCGTGACCCATCTCTCAATTTGTCCTCGGACATAATTCTTGGATTGGGACAAGGATGTTTGTGGTCGGAAGGGAACGGAGTGACCAGGATCTTATCAATCTGATATGATCTGATGTCGGGCTTTCCTCTTCCGGTTGGTGTCTCCTGGTACCTAGTTGCTGACTAGCTCCTGGCGAGGTGACACTGCAGGAGGGGTTCGGTGTTGTCATCTCCACTCGGCGGGACAGCCCAAGCCAGGGTTCGGTGGTCGGAACCTCACTGGGGAGTTCCGACCTGCACATGTCGTCTTGCAACCCACTGCGGATCTTTATCACATGGGTTGGCGAAGAGTTCTTCCAGCGAAGGTTGCAACCACTCCACCAGGGCCGTTGACGGGTGTAACGTTTTCGAGAAAGGGATACTATGGATGCCGATCCTATAAGACGGCCATGCGTGCCCGCTGGCTACGGTCACCAGCACAGCAATCCTTCTATTCCAGAATCCCCTTCCTCTGAGCCTAGGGTTTGAGCAGTTACCCCTCATCACCTGCCACCTTCACCCACACTTTCCACAATGTCTCCCATCACCCTAATCACCGGGCTGCTTGCCACAGCCAGCCTCGTCATCCCTGGCACTCTCGCCGCAGAAGCCACGGACATGGGGGCCGCTGCGTTCTTGTGGCCACCAGACCGTGCCTGGGGCGCGGCGCAGGACCGCACTGCCCCCTGCGGTTCCTCAGCCGGCGTCACCAACCGAACCGAGTTTCCTCTCAGTATGCACCCTCAGACTATGAACAGCCATCACGAACCTCCAAACTAACTTATGCCCCAGCCAACGGCGCCGTCTCCCTAGTCCTTCAAACAGAATCCTACTCCGTCAACCTCGCCATCTCATATGACAACAGTACGCTCCCCTTTCGCCTCTCTCTCAAACCCCTCCCCTCCTTCCAAAGCACCAAATACTAACAACGCCATCCACAAAGACCCAACCAGCAACTCCGACTTCAGCACGATCGTCTCGAGCAGCAACTTCCCCGACCTCGACCCGGGCCACGAATGCTACTCCGTCCCCAACCCCCCCTCCACCATCACCACCGGCTCCAACGCCACCCTGCAGCTCAAGTACGTCTCCGACTTCGACAACGACGGCAACGAGACCTACTACGCCTGCGCCGATATCACCTACGTGCCGCTTGCCTCCTTCGACACCTCGATCCCCTGCTTCAACGTCTCGGAGGCGACCTCGACTGACTCGTCCTCGTCCTCGTCCTCGTCTTCCTCGTCGTCGAGCAGTGGTAAGAGCGCATCCAGCGGCCTCTCCAAGGGCGCCATCGCAGGAATCGTAGTCGGCACGGTGGTCGGCGCCGCGCTGGTCGGCGTGGCTGCCTTCGTGCTGGGACGGTACTGGCAGAAGAAGGCGCAGCGGGAGCACGCGGTCGCGATGAATATAATGAACCCCGTGCAGAAGACGTGGTCGGCTTCGACGGCGGGACGGCAGGGGGCTCAGGCTTGAGGGTTGGGACGTGATTTATGTTCAACTGAATGAATGTGCGATGCTTATGTTGATGGTGGTGTGGTAGTCTATGGTTTGGGGTTGGGGGGGGTTCGGATTGGTGGGGTGATAAAGATAGGTACAGTGCCTAGTGCTGATGTGGAGGTAATTGATGAATAAATGATACGAGTTGATGAGGTCGATATGTCGATTCTGAAAACTCATTTAACGATACTATGTTCGAGCTCTAAAATCAGAACCATTGGCCACACGCTTTCTAGGACCCTCCTCTTCTTTCCCCTGGTACATGACCACAGGCTGAGGCAGTCTTCCAGCTTGCTTGAGAGCCTTAAGCCTATCGGAATAAACTCACAAAGTACTTGCTCACTTTCTAGTGACAGTAAGACCCGGGCAAAGGCCGAGAGTAGATGGTAACTTATTGAGTAGCCGATTACTAAACGTAAACACACACAGTAACATGTCCTAATGGTGTGGGGAAGATCTACACAAGTGCACCAGCTTCAGGCATTTTCGGCCTAACAAGTCATTGGGGATTATCCCCAAAAACGTTCTTTCATGCAGGTATAGCTACCAAGGACAAGAGTGGCAGTCCCTGATTCGTCAGAACGGTGTTCCAGCTGGCGGAATCGCGAAGTAATGATGATGTGGATGCTTGAACGGTCGGTCGACTCCATTGCTTGCCTCCGAGTCATCATAGAGCAGATACCGATGGGATATATACAGTACATACAGTCAGATCTGTATGGGACTTGATTGACTGGGTCACGAAGGAAAGTATGAAAGTAACACACACACGAGACACTGACAGATATCATACAACTACTTCAATCAGAACCCATACCTCATGGATCGTAGTGTTTTGGGAGTGATCAAGTCGGGTCACTGTACCCGGGATTCCTGATGACAAAAGGAGTGGATTCAACGCGAGTTGCGCATCTTAATGGTCCTCACATAATCGAGAACATTTCTCCACCTGTATTGCCTACATTCCCAAACCAGAGACATTTAGATGAAGATAGACGCCGTACTGAATATGTTCCTGCACGCGAACCCTTAGCATATCCACCGTAGCCGAACCCGACAGACTGCTCTGCTCTTCTATATTTGCACAACATGAATTTCATGGGATTACCATTAGTCTTTCAAGAATATAAATACAAGTTTATTGGCTCATCTGAAAAATCGCCGTACACGCCATGCTTGAATCGAAAGTATGTATATAAGGATCGTAAAGGGGTGGTTAGAAGAGGTTTAAAAAGGGGGGGAAATCCCCCTGGGTGATGAAAAATAAAGGAGGGTGAGTGGTGACGGTCCACTTCATCCTCGCCTAGAAGAAGCTGAAAAGAATCGCCGCGCTCAGGGCAGCAAGGGAAGAGCCCTGGACGTACGAGGACGAGCTCGCGACGCTGCTGGAGGTCGTTCCCTCGCTGAAGCTGGTGCTGGTGGAGGAGCCGGAGCTAGACTCGGAGGTGCCGTTGCTGCTGGTGGTGGCGGTCGTCTGCTTGCCGGCGGTCATGTTGAGGCCCGTGTCCTCGAGGTTGTAGAGGACGGTGCTGTTGCCGGACACGAGGATCTGGTCCGACAGGCCGGTGTCGCTGGTGTAGACGTAGGACACGTCGCCGTCGACGGTGGTGCCCGCGGGCGGGTTGTAGCATTCGATGGTGATGTCTTTGTACAGCGCGTAGTAGTAGCCGTACTCCTCCATGTCGGCGCTGTTCCAGTCCACCAGGCCACCGCCCCACTCGATCGTCCCCTCGCCCTCGCTGCTCAGCCCGCTGGGCCACAGCGACATCTGCAGCCGCGACGGCGTCTGCGGGTACATGTAGATCCCGGAGGTGGCGTTGTACGTCGAGTTCTTGGTCAGCGTGCGCATCGTCACCCCGTCCACCTGCCACTCCAGCTGCTCCGGCGTCCAGTCGATCGTGTACGTGTGCCAGGTGTTGTAGGTGTTGCCGGTGGAGACGGCGGCGTTGACCTCGTTGGTGTCTGCGAGACAGAAGTTGGAGTTAGCGCGTGTCACAGCCCATTCACGCAAAAGAGACAACACGTACAGTTCTCAACGCCCTGGAAGTAGAAGTCGGTCTGCACACTCGACAGGTTGTACCCCACAAACTCGAAGTCGATCTCATCCTTCACGTCGGACATGAGGATGAACCCGGTGATGACCCCCCCGCCGCGACTGCTCTTGATCTTGGCCGACACCTTGCCGTACCAGATGTAGTGGTTCAGCGTCATCAGACTGCCCGTCGTCTGGTTGGGCATCGTGAGCATCAGACTGCCGTTCTCGACCTTGGGGTATCCGCTCCAGCTCCATTCGTACTGCGACGAGTTTCCGAGGTACTGGTCGTACGCCACCGTGTCGTCGAGGTTGCTCCAGCTGTAGGTCTGGTTCTTGCAGATGGGCTCCGGCGTGCACGAGTCGAGCGAGTACGACATCAGGGGGTCGCAGCTGCCCAGACATGATGTTCCGACACCACATACTCCGCCTGCGGATGGTTATTAGCGTGGTGGGGGGAAGATCGAGTAATTGCCAACTCACTATAGCAGCAGGGTGCGCTCTCGGGGCACTTGTTGTCGGCACTACAGGTGGTGGAGGCCGAAGCAAGTGCGGCCAGACCGGCTAGGAACAGTGCGGAGACGTGGCGCATCGTTACAGAGGCGACACTGCGTGCAACCGACTATTCTATACAAGGAAGAGTTGGTGAGGGGGGGAAGAAGGACTCTTGAAACCGCTGCAACGTTTCAGTTCTGAAAACGGTGCCGGGGGGCGGGGAAATCCATTATAATTATACGCTCTTTTGGGGGGGGTTTTTTGAATGTCCACATGACATCAAATCCACTGGGGTCAGCGAACCAAGGAGGAAGCAGGAAAGGGGGAACGTGTGGGACAAATGGGGCAAGAAATCAGTCAAAATCTTCCTCGGGGACCTTGAGCCGAGCACGGAATTATCGGGGGGAAGGCAAGCCGGCAGTCGGACGGTAACTCGTTCTGTCGGAGTTGGCTGTGCAATGGGAACACTAAACCAGTATCGTGCGATAGATAGCAGATCCAAGGATAGGAACACTGGAACACTGACGGCGGGTACGAGAAGCGTGGGATAGGGCTAGCGGAGAGGAGGAAATCCCTCCTCCCCATTGGCCAACTGGATCTGCGAGATAACAGAGAATGAGAAACATCTCCACCGCAAGAGGAAGAAAATTCTGCAGTCGATAGGTTATTGGTTCTACAGGCGTTCCTGTGGTTGAAGCAGAGCTCCAGCGAGGTGGACCATCAGCCTAACCATGGCGATGCAGGCAGCGATATTAACGATTGGAAGTGGGATGCGAGCGAACCCAGCCAAGCTTTGCTAGCGTTGGGACTATCTCAGGGGCATTGCGTGTCCTGCCATGGCCATTCCAGCACGGCACACGAATCAGACTGATCGACACCACCCCGGCACTGTGAATCAGCATTCAGTCCATTGTGTTGATAACAATTGGAAAAGTGGTTTTTTGCGATATTGCAACTGACCTCAAGCAGCAAAACCCCAGTCCTACAGTTGTCGGCTTCATAGGGGTAGTTGTGCTGAAGTGTGGTTGTGCCAAGCCATCTATCAAAAACACAGAATTTTCTCAAGTGGGTCGATGACGTAGCCCCTTTTCTGGTCTTTTCTGGCGCACTTTGGGTGAATGTCTTACTTGGCTCTGAAACACCGCCTTCTCTCCTTGTCTTGCTGCTCAGACCATCGTGGTTCCTCGAGTCCTGTGCGCACATTTCTCCAATTCTTGCTGATAAGGATCCGCAAATACCTCGGCTCCCCCGCGCCACATATTCCGGTCTCGTGCACCAATTGTCCCCTGGTTTATACCCCTAACATGCTCAGGATAGGTGCATATAATTGCAATTGATTGCTGCGAATGCCTTATTGATAAATCTTCCCCTGGAATAGATTCTAAAGTCGTCCTTCGATTCGTTCGAAAGTGATATCTCCCAAAGCTTAGCCAAAGCTTGTTCCTACCATCTCCGAGGGATTTCTCTCCGTGACCCCTTTGGCGCCCTCGGCTCACTTCAGAGTATAGTTATCGGTGCGAACCTGGAAGACATCTGTCCAATTGTTGAGCGAAGTGAACTAACGGGCGATGCCAAATTGATAATGAATGAGTCATGTTGAGACCACCATCTGGCTTCCTTGACACGAGTCTCCTTAGACACAGGGACAAGAAGCCGGCGCGACCAACACACTTGTTGCTAACAAGTGGAACTCAGTAGGCACCTTCAACAATGGTATATTCACTATGCATCCTAGTTCAAGGCATGTCTCAAACTCACCCACAGTTCGCTTGATGGTCACCTTTTCTTCGCTTAAGGATAAATCCGGGAGGTCGATCGACCTGCCCGATGGTGTTCTCGGAGAAACCGCTCAAAAAACCACGGCCACACCACATGATCCCAGTTTGCACGGTCGGAACACAACTCTCCCGCTTGCATCTGACTCTCCAGAGACTGCATTGCGCGCATAGCGGGATCAGCCATCAGTCGATCACCGAGCTACCCCTAAGCGATCAGCCCAGAGACACATAGCTGCGATTGCACGAAATTTACCCGAGGTCCCTTGGGACTATTGATTTGCACGGTGCAAATAGCATAAGTAGCTTCGGGGTTATTGCACTAGTCCACTGGCGCCAGTGAATGTCTTAAATACTTTAGAGCGCCCATGATTAGCTGCTGCGAACATCTATATATGGATTGTGTACTGGATAAGACATTTTCAATGGATCGGAGATTAGTTTAGGGGAATTACCCCTCGGGGTTGACTGCCTAGAGTGGATTACGATTACTAATCTCCGGATCGACCGATCAAATCTCCAAGCGCTGTTCAGGGGACAGGGGCTTACAGCCAGCGAACCATTCGAAGCTATCCAGTGGCTTGGAAGTATTCTTCGCGCAGAAAAGGAAGCTCGACAATCCGAGAAGGCGTGGGAACTGAAGTGAAGCGAAAAGCAGGACACCACACCTCTTCTGATTGTGAACCTCAGCAAGTATCTTGAAGAGAAAGGTTGAGAATCTTCACCCGATTCATGATCGACGATCGCAAAGTAAAGACATGCATTCGTTGATCCGGAAAATAGATTTACAGGGGGAAATGAATACGAAGTCGGCCATTCAAGGAAATGTGCAAGGCGCAGGGACTGACTGCAGTGACAGCGCGAACACGGAAAAGGAGTCGGCTAATCCGGGGATCGGACTCGCGCTTGTCCGCCGATGTCCAAATTTATCTTCCTGGCATATTCTAGCCTTCACGCGTGGCTTGGAGGCTTCGATGGTAGGACTGCCAATCGAAAATAAGATGATGTCTTTGGAAATTCTCTCCCCCTCACTCATCTCATCTTCAAACTCCTCCTCGACCCCCGATAGGTCAGGACCGATCGCGAGGGCTGATGGCATACAGCACCTCAGTTAGAGGGAAACCATCGTCGCTCAGATCTACCCCTAACAAGGAACTGCTTCACCGAAACTAGGCTCTGTTTGGGTTGGCCAGTAATCTTAGCGCTTACGATTGTGGCCTATCAGAAAGGATCCTCGCCATGTGACATCTACTGCCTGTTGCAAAGAAGCATTCGTATGTGTCGGAGATGATAGCGCAGCACGCAGCCTGAAGGTCTATGGGTCAAAGAAGTATCTGGCGTCCGCTTTTTACATGGTTGACACGCTACTAGCGAGTTGGTCATTTGAATGCGTTTCGAGGAATGAGTTAAACTTGATTCATCAATTCACATCTCACGTATCACGAGAACCAGGACAACTCCTCGGGTGGCATCTCTAAGATCTTTGCCCCGCGTCGACACTAGTCACCTGGACCTCGTTCTCCTGGCTATGTCTGACGAAGACGTCAGACTGGACAAAGGCACTGTACAGCACATGCAGTAAATATGGGCGGCTATGCTGCAGAAGGGCTACAGATCCGCGGCGTGATTGCTGCCCAATGCGCCTTCCCTTTCGAACTTCAACCCGAACCGCCATCTTAAACCCTTTCGTGGTTCGCAAAGTCTGATTACCCACTCCTCCTCCTCATCGTCATCATCTTGTGAGAGCAGGATGAAAACCAGGAAGAAACGCCTATCACATAATGCACATACAGTCGCGCTCCTCGCTCCGCTGGAAGTTGAGCTCAGCGCAGTGAGGTACATGCTCGACGAAGAACACGAGCAGCTTCCGGCGACAAAAAATAACCTAATCCGCTACGTCCCTGGACAACTGAGCCAGCATAATGTGGCTATCGCATCCTTGCCTGCCGGCTACCGAGGCACCATCTCGGCCGCAATCGTCGCACGAGATCTAGCACGCACCTTCCCGTCGATAGAACTGCGACTGCTCGTGGGCATTGGAGGCGGCGTACCTAGTGCTACTGCCGATGTTCGCCTGGGAGACGTGGTGGTCAGCGTCCCATCCGGCACGCAGGGTGGTGTTGTGCAGTACGACTTGGGAAAGCAGACTACGACCGGGTTTCAACGCAAAGGTTTCTTATGCCTGCCCTCCTCCTAATGGGCACGCCGATGCACGAGTTTGTGTCCCATCTTTTAAAGCCGCCACAAGTTATCATTACGACGAGACCTCGCCCGTCTGATCATATTGATATCGGGGCCGTTGATCTGGAGCTGGAAGCTATTGGATTCCGCTTCAAGCAGGTGGAGGAATACATTCGCAACACAAAGATAGTACTTGACATCGGCGTTTCAAGAGAGATTGAGCCATTTCTACAGGATCACGCTCTGCTGCAAAGCCTCGTCCGAATTCTGATCCAGCAAGACGCGCTGTGCTACAGCTGGGAGCGAGGTCTTTGGGGCGACAGACCGCAGACAATGACCAGTCTCTATCAATCAATCGTCTTAAAGCTCTGGAGAAAGGATTTCCTACACCTAAGTATCCGAGACGATCAAGGGCACCGGCTCACGGAAGGGGCAGTAGAAGACATCCACCAGCTCGACATTGAAAATTTCGTTGCGAAGGAAATTAACCTCATCGAGGGCCTTGCATTTCATGGACTTGTTAATGATACCATTGAATTTCAAAAAGAAGACTGAGCATCTATATGCAGACTGTTAAAACAGCATGAGGAAGGGCTCCCACGTATGAGCGAACGTGTACTCCGCAAAGTATCATTCTTGCGCACATCGGAAGACAATGCTCACAATAGCCGACACAGCTTCCACTTTCTGCATCTGACCTTTCAAGAGTACTTCGCGGCACGTTATTTTGTCAGGCACTGGATACGCTACAAGCCTCTTCCCTGTTACTGTTTGACAAGGAAGGACCCTCCAACAATACCACCTCGCCTCTTTCTGCAGACAGAAAAGTATAATGCACACTATAATATATTCTGGCGCTTCGTTGTGGGTCTGTTGCAGGACTGTTGGCAGCCCAAGGCGTCGAATGGGGAGTTGGTCAGAGGGGTCTTTCAACAATTCGAAGCTGAACCACGCGACTTGGTCGGAGCAGCACACCAGAGGCTTATAACGCATTGCCTCAGTGAATGAGCTGTGAGCAGCAGCGATTCTGCCTTCTCAACGATAAGATCTCAATTTGAAGATAAGCTACTGCGATGGGAATTACTCTAGTGCAAATCTCGCTTGGTCCCTACGCTTATTTCTGATCCAGAATGTCCAGGCCGCGTGATAGTAACACTCCTCAACCCTGAGCATGAACAGTACCATGAACTAGTTCTCGAGGCACTACAGTCAGGCAAAAGGGAACTACCTGTAGAGGCTCTCAGATACACAGTTCGGTTGCTTGAGCAATCCAACCGTGTACAAGTAAGGCTTTAGGCGACAGAAGTGCTCACACAGAGCCAGGGACCTATTCCACAGGATATTGAGTATATCCTAGTCCAGATTCTTCGAAGTAACCATGTCGAAATGAGAAAGGCCGTCGCCGAGGGTTTGCCCCGAAGATACATCTAGTGATGATCCCTTATTGGCTGCCTCATTGCTGTCCTCCAAATCCCCTGTTTGTCTAGTTTGCACCCTCCTGCCCCCACTTTGTGGAAGATTCCATTGCATGATTTTGGCATGAACAACATGCAGAGATCCCAAATTCGGAGTTTTTACGACTGTATCTTGTCTATACTCCAGCCCCGAAATACATCCTCTCAATCGATTTCACAAACCACAAACCATCCTGCCCACCATGATCCCCAGAGTAAGCTAGTACACAAACAACCCCCGGTGAACCCCACTCAACCTCGAACTCCAGTCAGATCCATGATCATGGATTACATAAAGCCCTTGCCCCCCCCCACAAGCCCAACAATGGCGTCAACCAATCTCGCCCGCCCGAAAACCAACCCAGGTTTTGACATCGTAACCCATTGAGCCGCAGCTGAACCACCACATACACCCAACACCCTGGATTTCTAGACTAGACCCCTCTCCGCTCCAGACAAAATGCCCGACAAGGACGCAGGTACCCCCCGGGTCTTCCTCTACCGCCACGGTAAGTTCATCGCCCCGCTGGGCATAAGCCCCCCCCCCGGCCCCCTCCACCTCCCCCTCTACTCCCAACCAACGGCACGACAAACTAACAAACCAGGCGAAACCGAATGGTCCAAAAGCGGCCGCTACACCGGCACCAGCGAGATCGAGCTGACCGCCGACGGGATCAAGCAAGTGACCGCGTCGGGCAAGATCCTCGTGGGCGTGGGCAAGCTGGTGGACCCGGGCCGCAAGCTGGCGCGGGTGTTCGTCAGCCCCCGGCGGCGGGCGGTGCACACCTTCGAGCTGGCGTTCCCCGAGGCCGACAGGCAGGCGCTGCGGGCCGCCGGGAAGGTGCAGGAGAACGACGAGCGGTTGGCCGAGTGGGGGTATGGGCTGTATGAGGGGTTGTTGACGAAGGAGATCCGGGCCCTGCGCAAGGAGCATGGGTTGGATGGGGAGCGGGAGTGGGATATTTGGCGCGATGGGTGTGAGGGGGGCGAGTATGTTTTCCTTCCTTATGTTTTTAGTCTGGGGAGGGGGGGAAAAGGGATGGGGTGCTAACGCAGTGCGTGCAGGTCGCCGGAGGATGTGACGGCTCGAATCGATAGTCTGATTGCGGAGATTCGTGAGCTGCACCGTGGGAATATGCATGGCGAGCAGCCTGCCGATGTGGTGCTTATTGCCCATGGGCATACGCTGCGCGCGTTCACGAAGCGCTGGTTGGGCTATCCCATGGAGTTTCCTTTGTCTATGATGTTGGAGCCGGGTGCGGTTGGGGTGCTTAGGTATGTGTTGATGAGGTGGTGGGGTGGGGATGTTGGCTGACGATTGAGTGCAGCTACCAGCATCATAGCATTGATGAGCCGGCGTTCTTGGTCGGCTATGGGTTCCCCTTGGAGCAGTGAGGCTGCGGCTGCACTGGCTGGGTGGTATACCTACCGATTCACACAAGAAAGATTGCAAGTACTTGAGGGATTCTAGATCATATGTTTTGGCAAGGAAAGCTGGATTTGGGAATCCAGGGCTACAGGTAGACTAAAAGAAAATAGAACTAGATTTCAATGCGATGAGGCAGATGGAGTCGCTTGCCCAAGCCCAAGTTGGTGGATCACAATATACCGTGCATATTTTGTCCATGGATTGCCGCAGACGGATGGGCTTGTATGGTTTAGCATGAGCAGCATACGCAGGCCAAGGCCACAATTTGCTCCGAATAATGGACATACATCAGCTAACATGATGGAATTTAGCCAAACTAACACAGACTTCACAAATAAGCGAGCAGTCTATTCGGCGTAGGTGTACGGAATCAACCTGCAGATATAAGTAACATAAATTCCGCTGTGCTTCCCAGAGCCGGATGTTGTACTGTACCTCGGCAGCACATGCTCCAACCCACCCGCAATGATGCGACCATCCCCTGGCACATTCAACAGGACCACCAACCCCATTAGGGCTGTCCCGAGGCACAAGTAAGCAAGCACAAGCCTTTAATCTATATCCACCCGGCCAACATGCGGGGTGGGGATCTTATCACATCTGTCACATATTAGCTCGTCCGGATCCGGCAATCCGGGATGCCAATCATCAGGGTCCCTGCGCGGGGGCGACCTGGGATCGGCAATGGCAATGGGCAATGACGGGAAAGGTACCCGTTCGAGAAGATGAGAAACGAGGGTTCTGGTTCTGCATGAGGTGCTGCCTGAGTGAAGTGGCAATTGATGTCCGAGGAGGTGGGTTTCTGCTCGAGCTGACGCACTGGGATGCAAACCCTTGAAAGATCCCTGTCTGTCGATAAAAGAGGGGTAGAATGAATGAGCTAGACAATGACACCATTGCCCTAGATATAAGGGTCTTGCCAGCCCTGCTCGTGCGTGTGAAGCACGCTTCAAGCTTCACGTTTCAGAACCTCCGCTCTTCCCACCTCAAGTGCAACCAACCCCTCCACAAGAAGCCAGCACCACCAACAACCATGCTCAAACTCACCCTCCCGATCATCCTCCTCCTCACCCTCCTCCTCTCCCCTCTCCCAGCCACCGCAACCCCGGCCTTCTCCCAACCTCAGCTGACCACACGCGACGCCTCCTCCGTCCTCGCCGCCGTAACCACCATCTCCACGCAACTCACCACCCTCAACACGACAGTAAGCGCCTACCCCGGCGGCCTCGAGGGCTCGCTTAGCGCGCTGCACATCCAAGCCGAGACGATCCAGCTGGAAGTCGACCTGAAGGCGGCGGTCGTGGCGGCCAAGCGGTCGGCCAATTTCTCCGACGCGGAGTCCCTGAGCGTGGCGCAGGCGTTCGTCGCGCTCGAGCCCACCATCGCCTCCACGCTCGCCAACCTGGTCGCCAAGAAGCCCGAGTTCGATGACGGGCTGCTGGGCGTCGCGTCGCTGAGCTTCCTGGTGGAGTGGGACCTCGAGCAGCTGAGCTTCCTGTCGAGTCAGTTGGGCAAGGCCGTGCAGGAGAAGCTGTCGGCGACGTATGCGGCGTTGGCGCCGTTGGTGCTGGAGCAGATCGCCGCGGCGTTTGCGAGTGCGATTCAGGCGTATCAGTAGGTGGGAGTCGGGATGGTGGAGTGCGTGGGCTGGGGGCTTTGTTGGGGGGGCGGTGGTTGTTTGCTGTGGGGTTGTGCGGCGCGTGTCGAGAGAGGAGAGGTATGCAGATGCATGATACCGAACTCATGGAAGGCTTGGGTTTCTACGCGGGAAAACTACTACGGACTGTAAGAGAAACGGATTACAATCATGCTAATCAACCGAGCAGAAAATTGATGGATTAGGTATTTATCGTATTTGACCTATATAGTTCGTTTCCATTAAGCAACACCCCATTTCCCTTACAATGGTTTATGTTTATCATGCACAAAACAGCCTGCTTCCCAAACTCCGACCTTTCTAAACCAAACGCCCCTCTAATTGCGCAGCCCATTGGGGTATCCATTGGCCGCGATCTGACGGAACCCGTTCATCACGCCGTCGCTGAACACGTTCTTTTTCTCGTCGACCACGCCATTGGTCTTCTTCTCGCCGTCGGCCATCTTCTGCTGCGCGTGGATCTGCGGATCCACCGGCTGGTTGTTGATCGTGTAGCCCGTGTCGCTGGCGTCGACGTAGGCCTCGATCCCCGCCCCCTGCCGCGGGTACTCCTTCATCAGCTCCTTGTGCCGGCGCAGCGCGGCGAACATCTCCTCGTTGGTGACGTCGTTCAGGAACTTGCAGCTGCCCAGCGGGCAGGGCACGGCGGCGCGCAGCAAGCCGTCCCGCGTCTTGAGGATCGCCTGCGTGGCTTTGTCGAGGATCTCCTCGTTGAAGAGCTCGTGGTCCATGGACAGGCCCGCGCGGGAGAACAGGTTCAGCAATCTCCGGTGCTCGGCGTCGCTGAGCAGGCCCCGGAGGTTGGCCAAGGTGGCCGAGTAGGCCATGTCGATGGAGATGGCGTGTCCGTGGCGAAGGGGGACGGGAGGTGCCAGCTGCGAGGGCACAATGTTAGTCAAACTGTCAAACACTCTCTTTCTGCTGGCCTCGCCAGGCCTCAAGGAAATTCTCACCTCGTGTAACGGCGACCAGGTGTGCCCGTATGCAATGACCCGGTCCAGCCCGATCTCATGCAGGTTGGGCGACTCGAGCTTCAGCATCTCGAAGATGCCGTTGCGGTTAATCTCGTCGGCGGCCTTGCGCACCTCGCCCGTCTCGTCCTGCGACCGCCCGAACTTGGTCGCGATCAGCCGCTCGCAGAACTCGTCCAGCAGGTCGAACGTGCGCAGGTGCGCGCAGCTCGAGATCTTGATCAGCTCCGCGAACCCGTTGCGCACCTGCGCCTCGGGCAGCGTGCGCAGGAACCCGAAGTCCAGGAAGGTATGCATCGGCGCGTGGTAGGCGCCCAACCGGTTCTTGTAGTTGCCGTAGTTGACGGCCACCTTGATGCTGACGCTGGCATCGATGAGGCCGATCACTGTGGTGGGGATGCGGACGTAGTTCGTGTTGCGGCGGTAGGCGGCACAGGCGAATCTGCATGGATGCATTAGCCATTAGGTCGTCATGCTTATGAGTTGGTGGTGACTCTTACCCGGCAACATCGGTGACTAATCCTCCGCCCTGTTGACCGTCAATGAGTAAAATGCGTTAAAATGTCTAGAATCTTGGATCGGACATACCACAACCAATACGGGCTCCTTTCGGATGATCCCGAAGTCAGTCATCGAATCGACAATCTCAGTAAAAGTCTCCAATGACTTGGCCTTCTCGCCAATCATGGTCTGGTGGATCTTCAGCTCCAGACCGTGGTGGTCAAAGTACTTCTGCATCTGCTCCCCGTAGAGATCATAGATGTTCTTGTCCATAATGGCCAAGCAACGACCCCAGCGCTCATAGAGGCCCGCCAACTGAGTGTTCTGGGGATCGAAGACGCCATCGAGGAAGGTAAAATCATACTCGATCTTCTCGTAGCCCTCGACGTGGAAGCCGTTCTTGGTCTCGGAGACCGTAGCCTTGAGGTCGGACATGGTTGCAGCAGTGTTGAATGAAGCGCAACTGAGAAAGAGGAGTTGAGGGAAGTTGATGAATTTCCAAAAATTGACACGGAGGTTGTGGGATATATAACGATTGTTCGCCTGCCACTCAGGTTGCCGGGTGGAACACGTTCCCCTCGGACTGGCCCTCTGCTTGCGACCAGACCACGATCACGTCAACGGAGCGTACCAACCTCAACCAGACACTAACTTCAGTGAGGAGCATCGATCGATCGGGTTCACTCGGGGGATGGGACTGTTCGGACCAAGTCAGGCTTGGAGTCTCATAGGTATGTATGACATAGTCATTGAAAAGCGGGCCCACTAAGCCAATTGCCGCAAGAGTAGATGCCGCTTCCGGCCCTTAGCGTCCGCTTCTGCAGCGATAAGGTTACACCACCAGGGGGGACCCGTAGATCTAACCTTGATAAGCTTGATATTTTCCGGGAGTCATTGACGACAAGAGAGTCAATGTACATAATCCTCCCCACGTCAAGATTTGGTAACCACGATCGGGAGGGCTGATCGATTGATCGGGGCCCACGCCGATCCTCCCTCCTCCCTCCCCCCCTCCGCCCTGCTTTCTACCACCTCCCCTCTCTCTCACCCCGCCCGGGGCAGATTCCGGCCACTGGAGGAGGGCCTGGAATGCCCGGCTTTTACCCCTTGCAGTCTCCCGGCGACAGTCCATGACTCGAGATTCCCTGGTTTTCCCTGTTTGCAGACTGAGACCCTGCCCCCATCCGGCTGGCTTGGCAATTCTTTTCTTAGTGCAACGTGCACAGCACACTAAATTTATCCCGTTGATTACAACACCATCGACAGCTTGGATCCAGATGTTGTGGGGAGATTTCCCATATAGGCGCACGATCACCGGGTACAATCATGGCCCATCAAGACACTGCGAAAATGACTAAATTCGACCAGGCCAAAGCATACGCACCGCAGGAGGAGGGGACGGGGTTCTTCGACGACGGTCGCGAGATCGAGCTCCTCCATTTTGTGTACTCGCACCCAGACCTGGAAAACATTCGCGGCTCCCCGGAGAAGGTGCTCCAGGCGATCGACGAGTATGGGCGCACGAAGAAGTACCTCATGAACGTGGGAGAGGACAAGGGGCGAATTGTTTGCGATCTCATCGCAGAGGTCAAGCCTAAAGTCATGGTATGTCGATGGTGCGACCGGCAGCGAGAGTGAATTGTACTGATTCTTGCACAGGTTGAACTCGGTGGTTATGTTGGCTACTCCTGCGTGCTGTTCGGCAACGCAGTGCGGAAAGCCGGCGGCCAACGCTACTACAGTCTGGAGATGAACCCGGAGTTTGCGGCGGTGATCATGTCGCTGGTTGATCTGGCGGGTCTCTCGGATGTGGTCAAAGTGGTCGTCGGCTCCAGCGATGCCTCCATTGCACGCCTGCACGCCCAGGGTCTACTTAAACACATCGATCTGATGTTTCTGGATCATTACAAGCCGGCGTACACGACGGATTTGAAGCTGTGCGAGGAGCTGAAGCTGATCACTCCGGGCTCTGTCCTGGCTGCTGACAATGTCATCAAGCCTGGAAATCCACCGTACCTGGAGTACGTCCGGGACAGTGTGGCGGAGAAGAGGCGGAAGTTGGGAGCAGCGGTCAAGAGCGAGAGTCTCCCAGGAAAGACCGTGAATCAATATCAGAAGAGGTATGGGGAGATGAAGTTCAACCAGAGTCCCGGTAATCCGGATCTGGTATACGAGAGCCGGTTGGTTCACAGTTTTGAGCCCACTGGTGTGCCGGTAAGACCACCTCTTCCTAAATTGAGGAACATGCACTGATGTCAGTCTAGGACGGTGTGGAGATTTCACGATGCGTAGGCGAAGAAAAGCAATAGTTCACGTACTACAATAGGAATGAAAGCGATGTTCAGTGTGTGTTCTGTGTCTTCCGGATACATTATCCGTAGGGTCCCTAAATGCCTCGCGTTGCACCGGTCGCGGCCATCGAAGAGCCATCGAATTCATAAGAGTCACGATGACGTGATATGTATGTTCCGTAGCAAGGTCTGGAGAGTGTATCCCAGGTAGTAGAAGAGAGTATATGAAGAAACCCCATCCGCTACCCTCGCATCGAGTCGTCTTCCGCACGCGGCCAACCTGCCCAGCCACCTTCCCACCATGGCGATTTTCCACCGCCACGAGCCGAAGAACATCCTCCTCATCCTCCTCAGTGTTCTCTGCCTCCCAATTTCTGCGACGATCACTCTTGCCTCTTTTCTCTACATTTACGTCTCTAAACATGAAGCCACACGGCCACAATTACACACGACCTCCCGCCGCAAAACCATTCTCGTGACGGGGATATCCATGACCAAGGGCCTGACGATCGCCCGTCTTCTCGCAAAGCACACCCCGCACCGCATCATCGCCGCCGACACGGAACCCATCCCATTCACGTCGCCAGGCCGCTTTTCTCGAGCGATCGCTCAGTTCTACCGTCTCAGCTCACCACAGGGCGCGAACACGAAGCCATACGTTGACTCGCTGCTGGATCTGATCAGAAGAGAGAACGTGCACCTGTGGATCAGCTGCAGCAGCGTCGTCGGCGCGATCGAGGATGGCGAAGTCATGCGATCGGCGCAGAAGGAAAGGGGGAGACAATTTCACGCGGTGCAGTTCGACAGTGACGTGGTAAACAAGTTGCACGAGAAGGACGCCTTCATCGAGTACGTCCAGAGCATCGGACTGCTGGTCCCGGAGTCTCATCGCTGCATATCCGCCGCGGAAGTTGAAGACATTCTCACCAAGTCCACCTCACGGAACGGTACCGAGAAGCCCAAAGGAGGGAGCAAGAGATTCATCCTGAAACCGATCGGGGTCGACGACAAGGCTAGAGCCCAGATGATGACGCTGCTCCCTTTGTCCGCAGGACCCAAAGCCACCGCTTCCTACCTGTCGACGCTGACCATCTCCCCGTCCAACCCCTACATCCTCCAGCAATACATCACCGGCCCGGAGTACTGCACACACTCCCTCGTCGTCGGCGGAGAGGTCAAGGCCTTCGTCTCCTGCCCCTCCTCCGACCTGCTTATGCACTATGCCCCTCTTCCTGCTGACTCGACCCTGAACACGAAGATGCTCGAATTCACCAAGCGCGTCGCCGAGGAGGGCGGCGAGGAATTTACGGGTCATTTGAGCTTCGATTTCCTGGTCGAGGGTGAAGGGCAGGATGCAAGACTCTACCCGATCGAATGTAACCCGCGTGCGCACACGGCAGTGGTCCTCTTTCAGGAGACGCCAGCCATGGCGGAGGCGTACCTGTCTTGCTTCGAGTCGGAGCTGAGCCTGCGTAAGCCCTTGGTGGTGCCGGCGAAGCCCACGCATAGCTACTACTGGATCGGGCATGATCTGGTTACTCTCCTGCTCATTCCAGCCCTCACTCTTTTGTCTGGGCAGGGGAGTGTGGAAGAGGTAAAGAGTGGGCTCGAGACGCTGTGGCAGCATCTCGTGCACTGGCGGGACGGGACCTACACGGCCTGGGACCCGGTGCCGTTCTTCGTGTTGTATCATGTGTATTGGCCGAGTCGGTTCTTGGAATCATTGGTAAGGGGGAAGGAGTGGAGTCGAATCAATGTTAGCACGACGAAGATGTTTGCTTGCTAGTGATGATGGTGCATCTTCAGGCGTCTCTTCGGATTTGCATTGAGTTTCTCGTGACATTCGTTTGAATCGTTCGCCCGAGAGCTCTTTTGTAAGATAGAGATCTTCCGGAGGCAGTTGAAATACACATTGGAGTTATTCTTGAAGCTGTTCGCACATCCGGGATGAGCTTGTCATACCAACATTCCAGATGGCGAACCTCTAGTGCAAGTCGGCGCCGTGTGCGAGGTTCGACGGCGCTTTTCCTCCCGCACGATGCAGAACATCAGTTTGGACTTAACTGTGATCAGAACGTAGATTGATTGCCCTTCTCATGCTGCAGAGTATGTGGTCTTCATAGCAGGTGAGCGACTTAAAAGGAAATTCGAAAGCAACTGTACAGTCTTCCCTGAGCATTGCGACCGCAGGCAGTCAATTCAGGATGCTCGGCCTAAGAGACGCGATGGACGCTTGATCCACACTGCGAGAGTGGTCCGCTGCCGATGCATGGGGCTTCCCACAGTTACTTGGACTTAATACGACCCTGCATTCTATTTTCCAATGTCTCGCTTCTTCACGGAAAAATCCAAGAGACAAAAACAGATCTCAACAAACCAGTATGAGCTAAAGCTTGCGAGGAGCAGCCTGCCGGCGAGTCATTCGGTTTGCGCGTTGTTTGTCATGTTTGCTCTCGGTGGAGGGGGTCGCATCAATAATGCTTGGCACCGTGACCGTCCCGTTAGGACCCACCAGTACAGTAATGTACACAATCAACCAGGTAGACTCCTACTCCCATCCAGATTAGAAGTGGGTTGCCAGCACATCGGATCTGGCATGTCGGCGACTATCCTCTCCAGGATCGTCTCTCTCGATGCCTTGATTCCTCGAGTAGTAGACGTCGGACGTGAAGGTACACGGGTTCCAGGGGTTGCGGCGCTACAATTGGGCGGTTGGATTCAGACATCACTGACGTATACCTTCAGAGAGGGACGTAGAAAGCTTGACTCCCTGGGTCTTTCAGCACACCAAAATTGCGCAGGAAGACTGCTTGGACAGCTGGCCCGACGAAGACCTGACGTCGTCTATGCTGTTCGACGAACTCTTCTCTTGCCATTCGACCATCCGATCCCGCTCTTCCCTGCATGACGAGAGAGGAATCGAGAGTGCCCTGAGCCCGAGTGCGGGTATCACGTTGCCCCTGAAGAACTGGGAAGTCAAGGCTGCACACGACCACCTGGCATTCACCCGGGCGCAAGGCATGATTCTACGGATGTTGATGAAGACCGTGTATGCGAGCCTGGACGACGTGCGCAAGCAAGACCCCGAAGTCCGGTGAGCAGCTCGCCAGATGTATGGACTGGATCTCATTTTCCTAATCCCTGCGACCGACCGCAAAGGTTCTCAATTTACGCCTCGAAGATGAGATACGTGATTGTCGATACAAAGTACAGCGCCAGGTCGGAGGGCGAGGTGACTGTCGGTCCTTGAGGGAGGAGTATCCCGATCATCTCTTATACTGGCGTATGTGACTTTACCTACTCTTCCTAATAAGGCTGGTAATAACTTAGGCTTGTGGAGCAGTGGTGGATTGGCCAAACATGGGATGAGTTTCTGCAGGAGACTCTCAGTGTGATGCTCGGTCAGCTCGCGCAGAACCTTGGTGTGGGGAAGGATGATAGTCTGTTGGAGGAACAGGAAGTCTTTCTTGTTGGGTTTCATGGTTATGGTATTCATATTGCTCGTGGGGCCTTTACGAGGGATGCTGTGGGCAGGGTTTATTCGCGGGGTTGCTCTGGAGATGAAACCTTTGAGGTGCAGTTTACACGGGGTTACAACCTCTGTCAGAAGGAGGAGTGGGATGACGCTATGCGTGCACTTACCCGGCTGTTTCGGTATCTTTTGAGTGGAGGTGCGAAGGTGGGTGGGCGTTTTGGCACACACAGTGGGGAGACCCCCCACGGGATGACTGAGACTTGAGATTCCTGTAGTCAAAGGTTATAATGTTGAGTCAGAAGCAAGAGTTACAAACTGGAAAAGGTGATGGATCCAACACCTACACATAGTGGTGTCAGTCAAGACAGCGTTTGGAATGTACAGCAATGCGAATGCGGAATGCGATTGCTCGAGCGTTGTTGTGGATGTTTAGCGGGGACAATCGGAACGCTGGGGAGATATCTGATGCAGGAGATTCTGCAGAGAAAATCTGGGGGCGAGGGGGGGGTTTATACTCCGAGGCAAGGTGCGCGCCTTCCCGATTCGGCTCCGCCGATGCGCCGCGGCGCGGGTGCCCAACAGTCACATTCCCCACTACGATGCGGTGATATAATTGTAAGACGACCTCCCGGACCGAGACCAGCACCCTCACCTGGAGCGGTTCGGGCGCTGTACCACCCGGCCACTTGTACAAGGTCGACATGCTGTTATCAAGCCGCGTACGTCGCAATCGACTACCACGCGCTCGTCACCTTCTACCGCAACAATGGAACCCAGCACACCTTCAAGCGGCCCGGCCAGTCCCAGTGCCTAGTGGCTCGGATTGCCAGGATTGTGGCCAAGGAGCTGGATTATCAACAAGAAACCCCCGGGGAAGAGGCAGCGATGAAGCACAGTGGTCTATGTCCAGCAGACACGTATGGCCATCAAGCGATGGTCTATCCTCTCTCTTGATATATTAAGACTAATCTCAGCCATGTACACGGTTTATACTTCATATTCTCCGAGCCTCATACAGAAGACTCTTAGCATTACTCTCTCCCCCTGGGTTGATCATGTTGCCTCAGGCACATGCGAGTCCAAATCCCTAATCGCTCCCAGGTGCCATGGTTTCCACACTCCTACGGAGAGTTTCCATGAAAGAGGATCCAATATTCAATGCACTGAACTTGGGTAGGTGCTCAGCACCTGGTTGTGATGGTCGACTCGCGACCTTGAGCTGCCCTACCGGCTGGTATCCGGTCGTGGAGGGCATTTTGGAGTCTGACCTAGGACGCCAGTCATCGGGTTTTCTGATTTGCGGTTTCAATCTCGTGGTGACCTCGTGTGATACGAGTGAGTGGTGAGTGATGTCACCATCAAGCGACGCTTGACTCATCGTCGGAAACAGGCATTCCCCCAACGCATTCATAGTAGACGCCCATCCTACCAGTAACTTAGAATAGCAGCACACGGTGAGTGCACGTGGCTGGACATCGTGATCATCTTGAACCCGACCGGCCCGAACTCAGCCACGAGGTTTTGAAGGCCCCAGCTCTTGAAACCGAGACAACCCACTTTTGATATCTGCATTATGTTTATCATCGACTACCGGAACCGATGATCCGCGAAACCCCTAACTCAGCACCGTCATTGCCGAGTCCTGCTCGGGCTCATAGTTCACGAACGAGACCAACCGCGACAGCACCGCGAACTCCAGCTTCAACTTGATGGTGTAGAAGAAGGTCTTGAGCGAGACCTGGATGATGTAGATGTTGAGATACTCGAGCACGAGCAGGGACATGTCCATGAGGATGATGGCGGCGTTGATGCCGAGCAGCTGGTACATGATGAGGGAGCGGCGCTTGCTGCGGTTGGGGTAGAGGGTGAGCAGGCGGACGGTCTGGACGAGGAAGATGGCGGAGATGATGACCTCCTGCGTGAAGAAGACGGTCATCTGCAGCTTCTCCCAGATGGTGTAGATGCGCATGTAGCGGCTGCCGGAGTCGTCGGCGATGACGCCGTACGAGAACACGATGTGCGGGATCTGGATGATGACCGCGTCGACGACGATCATCGTCAGCACGCTGCGCAGGACGGCCGCGTTGCGCACCACCAGGTGCAGCCGCGAGTACAGCACCACCGACTGGCCCGTCACCATGATCGCCCACCCGAAGGTCGTCAGCGTGACCGACAGGTAGATCGGCGCCAGCTTGAAGTATTTGAGGAGGAGGCCTAGCGACTGCGGCACGATGCCCAGGCTGGTCGAGATCAGGAGACTCCAGAAGTAGAGCCCCGCGTAGTGGTGGAAGGTCACGAAGATGAGCAGCACGAGTTCGAGGGCGCTGTACAGGGCGCAGCCGAGCAGGGTCGCCAGCGTCGCTTGGAGGGCTAAGCTGTCGCCGGTGTAGTGGCCGGCGATGCCCTGGATGGGCGCGGAGTCATTGGCCATGGTTTGCGAGGGGGGGAGGGTCAGGCAGAGGCGCGGAGCTCGAACCTCTTCTGCTTGCGACTGTCCATTCTCAAGGCAACTTGATTGCTGCGGTCAGTTTTGCAGCATGGCAATATGGCAAGTAATAAGGAAATGAGGTGAACCGACGAGAGAAGCAAACGTGCGGAGGTTGAAGAAGCAGAAATTCACCGGGAGGGACTCTCCGCTCAGGTGACCAGCCCACGATCCATGGACCGGCCAGCCAGCCAGCTCGGAAAAGACGTGCGTGCAACACATCCCTTCTTCCCAAAATTGTGGGGTGCGTTTGACAAAAATCCGGGGCGAAGGAACCTAACCCTGCCAGGGCCGGCCTAATCTTTTAGCTTGCATTTTGCCGACCGATTGGCGCCGATCCATACCTGTCCAGTCACCTTCCTTTCTGCAGCCCCCGATCTCCCTCCGCGTTCGGACTCCCACAGCTACACTCAGGGCTGTCTGTTTGACAGCCCAATTTTGGACTTACTGGGACAACAAACAAGTGGTCACCAGAACTCAACGTGAATCTGACAGCGCAGCATTTCTGAGGGAGGCTGCAGCACAGGGATCAAGCGATGCTTGGCAAACCATAGCCCTGAGCTTCATCCACAGAACTGACTTCTGATGGGCACTCTGATCAAAGTTAGTTTCTGTCTGACAGTCCAGTCCTATACCTCTATCTCTACCACTTCCGCAGAGAATTAAGATTCTAGTCGATCCATCCTGCTGCTGCTGCTGCTACTCCTCTTCTTTTGGAGGACTCAAACTTTTTGTACGCCAAGCATTATGTAATCACTGTTCCACAGAAGTGGTTAGCCGTATTTTCGAGCGGCCATTCTCACGCCTGATATACAAGGCATCAACCACGTACAAGTACGAGCCAGCCTACTCACACAACAGAGTGGCAATGTAAAGTGGAATCACCGATTACCATCCGTAGAGCTATGTTGCATACCTAGATAGTTCACTAGGCGTGCTATTCCGCCTCTACTTCGAGACACTCACAAAATATCCATCCGTGGCAACGACCTCAATTAACTTCAGGCCTCCCGATGGTCTATCCCTACTGAGCAGAAGGAAGCGAGCCAAGAATCCACTGCAGCAACCCGAGCACCCCCTTTACCATTTCAGTGGCAAAGTCAATGCAGCAGCCCCAGCACCACCGAAATTGACCAACAACAGCATCGCACACCCGCCGTGGCCCGTCAACTGTCCTGTCGATCATCTCATGGATCCCATGGACCGATGGCTCGCTGTCCTGTCAACAATTCCGCAGTATCATTATCCCGCACTAGAAAGATGTCCTCGTGGCGGACTCCAAACTTGTCTACCAGGTACACACCCGGCTCGGAGGTGAAGGTCATCCCCGCTCGGAGAACCGTCTCATGGTTACCCTTGTTGAGGTATGGACTCTCATGCGCTGTGGATGTTAGTCTCCGCACGCTGCATGCGGGGAAGTTGAACTTACCCTTAATGCCAATCCCGTGTCCGACGCGGTGGGTAAACGCATCGCCGTATCCCGCTGCACTGATGACAGTACGAGCGGCAATATCCACACTAGCCGCCGTGGCATTGACGATAAATCGGTCGATAGACTTGGTTTGCGCTTCGAAAACGATATCCCAAACCTGTTACGGTTAGTGTCATGCAACCAAAAGAGTAAGGAAGAGTCAAGGGAGTTTACATCGAGCTTCTCTTTCATCCAATCTGGTACAGCAGCATCAGATACCGGTCGTTCTAGGAAAGGAGGAAAGAATGTGCGACAGATGTCAGACGAATAACCCATCAGATGGGCCCTGAGAGCGTTAGACTATTTCCCCGCACCGCGGAGCTGAATACGAACCCAACGTCTATCAAGACGAACGTCTCCGCGCCCAACACCTTTGACCCATTGGTTCCACCATGAGGATTCGCGGCATTCTCGTCTATCGCAGTCATCAGCCCAAGTCCATGTTTCCATCGGTGTTCTTATTTCCATACCAAATAACACAATGTCGAAAAATGGTTCCAATCCCGCGGAAAGGAGAGTCTTATCCAATACGCGTGCGATCTCGCTTTCGGTCAGCCCAGGAGACAGACCTGTGTCGACTTAGCATTTGGATTCTGTGGCCAGATTGAATTCACTCTCCTACTCACACTTTCTCATTTGCCGGACCGCCTCCACTGTTCCTGTATTCACTGCTCTCAGGATTCCAATCTCCTTCTCCGATTTGATCTGCCGCACCCGCTCCACCTCGCCCTGGAGACCAACCACGTGGAATCCAGCCCGACCGAGCCCACGCTGAATGAAATCCCGCATCTCTTCATCGACCATTAGACGCGGTGTGCCCCGAAGGCGCGAGAATGTCTCGGCAGTTTTGAGCGTCTCATACGGATTCCAGTGCTCTTCCCACGGGATGATATCGATCGCCTCAGCGAATGGCATCCCTAGAAGTCGTGCCCGCTCCGCTTCGAACGACGGACAGAGGAACGACGACTTGGCTTTGACTTTGCCCGAGGGAAGATGCTCTGGTTGCACCACGAGCAGGAAAGGGCGCTCTTCTGGCTTTAAGGTTTTAGCGGACCGCAAACACATGGCAGCATTCAAGATTCATGGCACACACCTCCCAAACTTCCCATTCAGGTTGGCTGATGTTGGCGTAGTATTTGAATGTGTATCCCGGCTCAACCACAAAAGCATCCACATCGTCGGCCACGAGGGCCTGCGCCAAGCGGTCGCGGCGATCTTCGAAGTCTTCCACCGTCATTGGAACAGCGGTGTCAAGGAAGGGGTATCCCGTTCCACGGAAATTGTCAATCGAGCATGCCTCAAAGTCGTCCAGTGAGGTATTGCGCGCGGCTGGTTGCATTTGTATTATACCAGTGAAGCTCTATTTGTCGGTCAGAACGAATACTTGGGGCCATTCTGGGGATCGTACCCGGAAGAGGGAATAGGTGCCCATCCCAACAAGAATGAGACCCATTACTGCACGCAGCCATCGTTGACGATGCAGCGGCTTCGCTCGTTCCCGCTCCAGGATATAATGACTTGGAAAATACTTCTCCATTCTTGTGATGCGTGGGGTGGAAGTGGCAGGAAGATGCGACCTTAAGTAGGGGCGGGGAAGATGGCCGAGTTCCCCGCACGGCTGGTCTCCTCCAACCAGAGGCCTAGTCGAGCTTATCAATAGGTAACCTGAAATGTTCATCCACAGCTCAACACCGATAAACAACGGTAACAATTCTTAACCATTAGCGCTGCACTGATACAGGTCACGTCGGACGCGATTTGGCCGACGCCAGATTCCAACCAATCTTCCAATGCTCCGCCTTTCACTGGTTCAGCTTCGACTGGTGTTTTTTCATCCCTCTCACATTCACGAGCAATCTAGGTTCAGATGAAACGTCACCTTGGGAATGCTCCTGAAAATTGTCAATAGCCTGCAGTTCTTGCTTCATCCAGTTGAGAGACACGTCTCCAAGCAGGTAATCTGTCATAGACAGTGCCTGTTGAACTCCTGTTCGTCTACCGATCTCTTCCAAGCGACTCGTAATCCAGGCTTTCATGCGGGGCGTGCTTCCAACACAGTCGGATGCAACAAACAACGTCCAGTGTAGACGGATCAATCCGGATGCCTCAGTTAGCAATTTGTTAGAGCGAGCCGAACCGAAGAAGTAAGGGACACCGGCGCATACTTCCTCCGCTAGCTGACGGGTAACTGCAGCGCTCTGGCGAATGGTCGCCCAGAGTTCGTTGTTGTTTCCTCTCGATCGCCTCCACAGTCGCTCGCAGACAGCAGCGATCACCTCATGAATAACGATCCGCGTCAATCTATACGTGTTCCACATGACAGCGATGCCAATCTCAGGATACTCATGGTAGTAATCGCCGTAGATATGCTGCTCAGAAGGCTTGTTGTCACCGGCGACTGCGGCGTCGAGCACCGAGTATTGCCAGCCTGGACCGACGGTCAAGGCCCATGCAGCCAGCATAGCATCCAATTGCAGTGCCTCCTGAACAGTTTCATGGGGGGTCTTCGCTTTACGACCCACTTGTGCGCACAGCTCGCTGACCTTGGTCAGATACTTGAAGAATGGTTCCATAGAGGACTGGTGTGGTCCCCGCATGGCGACTGTCTCCTCTGACAAGGCCATCAGCCATGCTGGAGTCTCCTTCTTCCGGTATAGATTACTCAAAGTCTGCACGGTCGGTTAATCATCAAAATCATAATCGGTAGCTCACGGAAGGAATAGACTCACGTATTGGCCGCGCAACTGTGTGAATAGTTCGAGTCCAACCGGGCTTCGTAGCTGCTCTGAGCCGCGTAGCTTAATAAGAGCCATCGCACCTTCAATGTGATCTGCCCAGCGCACCATCAAAGAATGGCTCTGGCAGGTTATGATCTGGAATCAAGGTCAGCAAACGACAATATGGAATCGATACAAAGCTAGGGGGGCGCACCTCGTACAGTCCCAAGACAAGAACCGCGGCGAGTGTGGCATCAGACTTGGCAGTGATGCTATCTTGCAGGGCAGTATTTGTCTCCGATAGCGCGATAGTATACTGCTGGCGTGCCGCGCGGATAAGGTGAGGACTGCCGTGGATATTACCTAGTGCTGCCAGTCCCATCGCATTTATGGACGCCATGACAGCAGGACTCGGCTCCTGCTGCAATAGGGAGGGTAAGAACGACAGGTGCCCAGACCCCGAACGAGGAGCCGATCCGACATGATAGGTCAGGACATAAGTAATGCCTTGATCGACTATTGGTACAGACACGGGCTGTAGTGCGAAAAGATCATAAGCACTTTCGTCGGAAGATAATGCAACCTCGGACGCATTTGCCTGAGGTGATGCGTTGTATTCTGATTGCGGTTCTGGACGACGATTGGCCTTCTCGACCACTTCAGCAGTCTGATCGTGAAAACTAAGAGCGGCTACATCGCGGTATCCAGTGCAGATCCGCTTGGCTCGCAGACAGGAGGAACACGAGGGGCGTTTCTGATCGCACTACAACTCTCTTAGCTCCGGTAGAGGGGATGGTTGTGGAAGGTATACCTTGAGCCGGCGGGCCCGACACGAGGAACAGGCTGCACTGGGTTTCCCACGGTAGACCATGGCGGGACCGAAATGGTTTCCTAAGTGAGCAATCCGCACGACAACCTGTTAGAGAGACTTGGCAAGTCTTATACCCGATGCAAGCTCAGGAAGATGGAGGACGGCTGACAAAAGAAGATGAAGGGATGCGAGGATCGAGAGAAAAAGAGTCGACGTGCCCGTGATCGCCGCTCTCCCCGCCGCGGGGCCGCGGGCAGTCAGCGCTCCTTCCAAATTAGGAGATATCGAAGTGGTTTCCGAATTAGGACTAGTGCTGACTTTGGGACACGACGAACGCTAAGCTTTTCTTGGATTGCAAGTGGGCGCGCCCTTCCACTCTTGCACTCAGCCTTGTAAACAACGGGCTTGATTGTAGTCTACATTCTACTCCGTACACTGACCGGACACGCCGACTTTGGCTAGGCAGCCATCGTGCTGATTTCTCTCTACCATACCCTTAAACTTCTGAGCCCTTGTCAAGTCCCATGAACTAATTCTGACCAATCACATCTACGGAGGTCCTGAGATGAACGAGGCTGTGATTTACACTTTGCTGGCGAACCAAATTGTGGCTGATCAAGCTTTGTAGCCAGCAAAACACCTGCACGATGATGAAATGGTAGCGAGCTTTCAGGTGTCCAAGCCACACAGCCCTGAGTGCAGATGAAGCCCCCGCAATGTATTCCTGACACGGTAGTTGCGAGTGATGACAAGGGGCTGATACTTCAGCGGGCTGCCTCAAGTGAGTCGTTTCTGGAGATGATAAAGCTGCTGGCCGTCGAATTTAAATACCACCTCTGATCACAATCGATTATAGCCCAGACTTCGAGCCAGACCTTCCTTTGCAGCACATTCTCCACGAATCTATTTCGTTGTCAAGCACGATGAACGCCATCTTTGTAGCCGATCTGGTCCTTTACCTGTTGCTCTTGCCTTTGGTCTTTTACATTGTCTGGACGCGTCGCTCAGGTGGACTTCTGGCATGGTACTATCTGAGTGTCTTCTGCATCGCTCGTATCGTGGGAGGTGCGATAGGAGTACACGATAGCCAGAGCCTCGCCGCGAATATCATCGTGGGTGTGGGCATTTCGCCGCTCATCCTAGCAATCGATGGCCTCCTCCATGAAGCGTGAGCATTCCTCATCTTATCCACAGATCAGTCATGAGCTCACAGTCTCTCGAAACAGACGAGCCTACCGCAACCCCGGAAGACAATGGGTCGGCTGGGCGGTGGTCATTCTGGCCACAGGGTTGATGGCAACAGCTCTTGCGCTTGCCATTGTGGGTGCCTTGAACATCTATGAAGGCCATCCTAAGCCGGACAGTCTCGACCACTGGAAGACGGGCACCGGATTGATGGTGTTGGTATGGGGGTTGGAGGTGATCTGGGCGTGTTTCCTGCTCTTGCCATCGCAGCGACGGAAGGATGCCTTCTCGTTTCATGCTGGTACTACGGTGTGTAGCTCTTCTCGCTTAGGTGGATTCCTTACTAATGCATGGCGGGTGTTAGCTCCTACAAGGCTCTTTTCTGGCGCTGTTCTTCGTGGGAATTCGGGCTATATATCAGTTGATCGCGGTGTGCACGCAGCGGAAAGACCTCAGCTCCAGCACTGGAAGCTTGGCAGTGCGGGTGCTTTTGGTCTTTTTGCCAGAAGCGTTTACAGTCTTCTCGATGGTGCTTGTAGGCGTGCAGACGAGAAACGTCAGGAAAGGTTGAACATGCAACGCTTCCGTGACCAAAGATAGTATTATTTTTTCTCTGATTCACTTGCTTGTCTGCGGCATGCGTCTGATCTTTTGTCGATAATGTACCATATTGATTTTATAGACTTGCATGTTATCAAACCCAGTTAATCTAATTCACTCCTGTCTTAACCCAACGAGGATTTATCTTGCGGGTGACTCCCGCTGGTCAAAATTGTTCTTGAAGCCCCTAGTGAGCCCAGTGCCCTTGTTTACACTTTTTCGAATACCTTTTCCAATAGCCTGCTCACGTACCTTTTTAAGAACATCCGTGTGCCTTCTATAATGGCTCTCAAGTACATTCTAAGCATCTTTGAGTCAATCATATACACAATTCGAAGAGCAAGTTTGCATGTATAGATCTACAGCCTGAATCTTCAGGCTCTCAACACTCTTCCATCAGAAAAGCTCCAGTCATGTGACTACTTTCAGAAGCCAATCAAACCACTTGTTTGGCGACAGATGCATATCATGGATCACCATTGGGCACCCTGGAACAAGCCTTCCTCGAGTTGCGAAGCTACCTGATAGCGCTTCACGAGTATGATTTACGACTGTAGACGCTTGTCTGGGAGTGACAGACGGAAGTTTCGCACTGTCAACAAGGCTTGCTGCAGCAAGGCACACTATGACGATGAGCAGGTACCCTACCACCCTGAGAGTGTAATCCCTTCCCCAACCGCCCGTCACTTCCTTGTGAAATAATTCATTGAAGATATCGGTCTGTACGCACAATCCAAATTTCCACTCCACGTGGTCGCGGATCGTCCGTCCGACCACCGAGAAGGTTACCGGATTGGGCAAGCGGCGAGTTGGGCCGGGGCCCGCTGACTGCAGAAGGGCGCGAGCGCTGCGCCCCAACAGACGGGCTGGCCGGCCTCCAGGCTGAAACGTTCAATCTGCTTGCCGGGACTACCTGAGACTAAGCTTCAGCTTCCACGGCTTGGGTGTCAGCACAGACCCCACAGTTGTTGCGATGAGGCTGACAACACGGGCACTTCGCTGTACTGGCGCCCACCAGCCAATCAGAGTGCCGGCCCCTTCGGTATCGCCTTGATTACCCCAATCGGTAATCAGTCAGGGAACAACAATATAGGAGTAATGACTGTGATATACGAGGGGTCTATAGACTGATCATTCGAATATATAAGTGTCTATCCAGGGGCTACAATTACACGATTAATCCATCAGCAGAACAACCTCCCCATTCTTTTGCCTAGACGGCAATCCTCTCTTCACAAGCACCTCCACTGGTCCAAATTCTGCCTTAATCATATACTTCACCCGATCCGAGTACAACGACATCGATCATCCGACCTACCCTTTGACATCATGTGTCTCTTGCTCCCTTTTCTCCTCAAGAAGCGGTCCAGTTCCCGCAACCAAGAAACAACGCGCGCAGGTCCACGACTAGTCAAATCTGGGCGCGAAATGACATCAAACTATAACCCCGGACAAGAGGTTCCACTATCCTCATCGGACAGGCGGAGCTAGCACTAAGGTGACTGACTCTCTGGCAGATTCCGAGTCCGTGAAGCTAATGATGGAAATAGGCCCCGTCTGACTTCACACCGTCGCAGTGAAATGTATAGTGGGTGATGCGAACTCGGTGGGAGGGGGGGGAAGAGAAAGTCTGGGGCCAGGGGTGATAAGGAATTTGGTTTCCACAATAATAGCATTTGAGTATAGACTCTTAACTCATGATACTTTCTGTCATACATTCAATCTGTAAAAGCAGTGCCCGCCCCTAGATTACAATATAAAAGCACATAATCATCATTGTATACACCGATTCAAACACCAGACCACGATCCCCAAACCCAGTCAGTGGGCAACACCTACAACGCAGCGGAAGCTGCCCCCCTCAACGCCAGCTGCTGCCCCAACACCGCCTCCACAATCTCATCCTGGCCCCGCCACTCCATCCCCAGCACCCGCTCCGCCGTCCGCGTATCCACCGTCCACCCCCGCTCAAACGGCCCCTGCAACCGACACCCCACCTCGGGATACTGCCTGCGCACCAGCTCGGCCACCCGCTCCCACGACCCCGGCGTCGGCGCCGACAGCAGCACCTCCGTGCCCGGGGCCACCTCCCGCTGCAGCGCCCGCACGTGCGCCGCCGCCACGTCCCGCACGTCGACCCACGCGTTCGCCATCCCGGGCCTCTCGGCCTGCAGCGTGTTCCAGAAGAACGCATTCATGCCCCCGATCTCCTTCGGGGTCGTCTGGATGAGACTCTCGCCCAGCACGAAGGTCGGGTGGAAGGTGATCAGCGTGAATGTCGGGTGTTGGGTGGCCAGGAAGCGGCGGGTCGCGTCGTGGGCGGCGACCTTGGAGGCGCTGTATTTCAGGCCGTGGCCTGAGAAGCCTTCGGGGACTGGGTCGGGGAGGTCGATTGCGATGGTCTCGTGGGTGTTGTCTGCTTTTGTTAGCTTTTGCTTTCTTCTAGCATAGAACAGGATGGGAGGGGGGAGGATAGGTATCTGGGGGTGGGGAAAGGCACGGACATACCCGTCACGTAAACCTCCTTCTCGCGGAGGGCATTCAGGGGTGTTAACGCCAGAACGGAAGACATCACCACCACTTTCTGGATCTGTGGGAACGCTAACGCGGAGTACAGGATCGACTCGGTGCCCTTGACGGCCGGGTCGATGTAGTCGGCCTGCAGGTCGGACCCGCGGCCGGGCATGGGCGAGGCCAGGTGGAAGATGTGGTCGACGCCATCGAGGGCGGGCGTGAAGGCGTCGCGCGGGGTGATGTCGGGGATGATGCAGGTCTCGATCTGCTGGGGGCTGAAGTCGGGGTAGCGGGCGCGCAGCGGGGCCTCCTGGGAGGCGTGGCGGATGGACAGGCGCACCCGGTATCCCGCCTGCAGGGTCGCGAGGACGACCTGGGAGCCGATGAAGCCGGTCGCGCCGGTGATGAAGACCAGGGGGGCGGTCATTTTGATAGAAGATTGATGATGATGAGTTTTGAGTCGGCTAGTGTAGCTAATGAGAGGTATTAAATATCACCATGTTTGTGGTGATGAAGTCAACTGAAGTCTTTGTGCGATCTATTTACATCAGTTCACTAATCATCCCGCTGAGACGGGGTGACCCCGACGGACTGGTTCACTAATCACTAAGTCCGCGCCAATCACCACATCCCCAACCGCATTGATCGGTGTCGATCACTAATCTTACATATCAGTTTGAATACCAACATTAAACTCAAGAGTCGTCAGCCACGGAAACCTCCATCAGATAAAAGACCCCATCTCACATAACAGTGAGCAGCTTATCGATCCCCCCGCCAGATTGCATCCTCCAACCGAACTAGTTCATCACCCCATCTATACTCAAAGAACCCAAATTGAGCCAAACCACCCACTTTCAGGATCCAGCCAGCATCGACTACAAAAATGCCTCTTTGGCAGATCTATTCTCCCCCCGGGACATTCACCCCGGAAGCGAAATCCAGCTTCGCGACCGACATCACACAGCGATACACCGCCATTGGCCTGCCCGCCTTTTACGTGGTCATCCAATTCCACGAACTCAACCCGGGGGATGTCTTCGTGGGAGGTCGAGTGGCTACCAACGCCGAGCGGCCCTTTGTACGGGCGGTCGTCACGCATATCGCGGTAGTGCAGCTGGACAGCGACGCCGCGTATCGTCGCACGACCAATTGGCTTGACAAGGTCTTCAAGGAGCATGTGCTGGATAGAGGGTTTGATCTGGAGTACCACGTGGAGGAGACGGAGCGGCGGCTGTGGAAGATCAACGGGATGATTCCCCCTCCGTACCGGAGTGAAGAGGAGAAGATGTGGGCGAGGGAGAACCGGGCGGTGGAGTATGAGGGGGCGTTTGCCGAGGGGGGAGAGGGGAACGCGGGCGGGAAGGCAGCGCTTTAGTTGGTGTCAGGGCTTGGTTTTCTTGGGGTTGATGGATGTGGTTAGGTTCTAATAGGAGGAGTTTATGGTATGCTATGGATTATTCCGTGGATGAAAGAGTGCAATGGTTTATTTTAGTGTCTCTATCGATGATCAAGTCTCAGTCATGCAGTCATGGTTTATCGTAATCGTTCCCCTGTACGTCGTCTAATCACTTGCGGAAAGGCACCGGCTCGGGCAAGGTGGCAGGAGTGTCATTGCGAGCCCGCCACTGAATCAGATGATCGAAGGAAGGCGCATACTCGACACGAGGGGTGAAGGGCTCGAAGTCCCAGAGATAGCCGAGAGTGCGCAGGATCGACGAGGCGGAGTACGACACTGTTTCGCCCTCAACGTCTGTACCCTTCTGCTCGACGTAGCCCTTGCCCACCCACGGGGAGATCAACAAGGTCGGAATACGGCCGCCCAGGCGGTTGAAGGGGAAGGTGTATTCCTCGCCGCTAGGAGTGGTAGCGGTGTAGGTCAGGTTGTCTGGCGCAGGAGCCAGAGGAGGAGGCACATGGTCGTGGAAGCCACCGGTCTCGTCGAAGCTAAGGATGAACAACGTGTCTGACCACTGTGGGCCATTGCGCAGGGCCTCGTAGACCTTCTTGATCAGCTTCTCTCCATCTGAGATGAGTCCGCTGGGGTGCATCGAATTGGTGCCCACGCCGCAGCAGGATGGGTTCAGGTACGTGAACTCGGCGAGATCACCCGCCGCTGCGTCCGTATAGAACTGCTCCAAGGGCTGGACCTGATTGGTGCGGTTGGCAGTGTAGGTCCAGTCGTAGAACTCGGCATCCGGACCCGTGCCGCCCGCGGTATCATAGTAGTTGATCCAGGTGTGATTTGTCTCGCTCAGCTGCTGGAAGATGGATCGCTGAGGGAAAGCGTGTACGGTGAAAGCATCGTCATTGCTCCCGTGGCCGTAGGAGGTTCCCGAGGTCAAAGCCGCCCGGTTCGGATCGGTAGGCTGCACGTGAGTTAGCATTGCTGTATTGGGTATGCCGCATTGGATGACTTACACCTGGGATATCGGAGTGCCAGTGATTGAAAACAACATAGTTCTGCACTAGCTGGGTGAGAACTGGCACCTGGTCCTCGGTGTAGTAGTTCATAACCTGGGTGGACAGCTGGGTGCGGTTGGCTTTGCCACCGTATATCCGCAATTGCTCGTGCACAAAGCCCTGTTGGCTAGGAGTCAATGCGCCCGATGCGATCGCCTCATTGTCCGGCGTAAACGTCCCGTAGAACTCGATGTTGTTGCCGTACACCGCGTGGTCAGGGTCGTCGGTGACCGAGTCATAGTCCCACGCCGCGCTGCAAACAGTGCCCTCGGCTGGGTTGCTCACGTTGTAAGGGTTGCAGAAGGGGCCGTTGTTGATGGGGTTCTCGAGTCCCTTGATCGTCTGTCCACCAAGAAGGTTATCGACTGAGCGGTTCTCCATCACCAGCACCACGACATTCTTAACCTTGTCTTTGAGGTTGCTGATGGATGAGTGCGAGTGGGCGTGCCGTGAGGAGGCACCGGGCAGGGCCGAGGCAGCAGCCGCAAAGGCCAGAAGGCCGACAAGGGCACTAAAATGCATGATATCTAATGTCTAATGGTGACAGTGACAGTATGATCAACATGAAGGAATATGTCTTGCTATTTATCCTCGAAGGCAACCCGTCGCGGGTTGAGGAATCGCAGCTGTCCCTCCATGATTCTCCCACGTGCCTGCCTGGAATGCATGGATGGAGAAGGCCTCATTGCACCTGCATCCTCCGACGGACTATCGTACTCACCTGCATCGCGCAGAACGGACAAAATCCGGGTGTCTGGAGAGTGTCAACCCCGTTGACAGACGGTCCTGACACCAATGGGAGAATTGCTGATGACCACGAGAATGGAAAGTAGAGACTCCGGCCGTTGTCCCTGGAGATCCCTGCCTTTTCGATGCAGGAGATCGGCAAGCCCGTGGGCCTCCCAAGAATGCGTATTGGCCGGTTGGAGCAATCCCGGCTGGATGCATGTTGCTAACAAATGGACTACATCAAGATGCCAAGATAATGTTCAAGAAATGCAGAAGAGAAGCTTGAATCAAAAGGGCAAGTCTGCGTGGATGTGGAGAAAGAGCCGGCGGGAAATGGCCGATGTGACACTATAGTGGGGTCGCGTCAAACCAATCTTTTTCACGTCAAATACCACCATGCAGCCTCTCAATTTTGGATTTGTCCGTTGCTGTCTCCCACCAAATATGTGATGTGGGTTAAGTATTCTTGGAGATTCTAGAGCTGTGTGGCTCCGATACAGGAGAATTGTTGTCATCTTGCAAGGAATGTAACTTAACTTACCTCGGCTGAGTAATCTGTCTAAATAATTGGTAGGTTACCCCGCACTGCACTCAATATTGTGGACAGCGCAACAATCTCAACATTTACGGGTTACACACTTTTGAAGGAACCTCAGGAACAAAAATTACATTGATAATCATTAAAGATCCACTTCTCTAAAGTCGCTTTCCTCACTCGCATACATCTTTCTCGCCAATTATGAAACGTGCACCAAGACGGACGCTTATTTAAAAGCCAACTGCTGGTCGATCACATCTCTCACTTGTTCTTCCATTCCCTTCCATGTCAACCCCAGCTCTCTCTCGGCCTTTGATGTGTCGAGCACATAGCTTGGTCCTTCTTGGGCCTGGATACCGATGGGCAGATCGGGATAATGTTGACGAACAAAAGCCTCAACATCTGCCCATGATCTCGGTGGTGCGGCCAACAAAAATGACTGCAGTCCCTGTACAGAGCTATCCAAAACCTTTACATGCGCAGCAGAAACGTCGTGAACATGAACACCCCGGTACTGAGTAGCGAATAGCTTCCCCGTTGTGATTGCCTGGTACAGCATGCCACAAGTGCCGCCCAGCTGATCGGCTGATTCCTGTGCGTGATTGTGGCCGAAGACAAAGACCGGATGCAGAGTAACCACATCAAATTTGGGATGTTGGTCACGCACAAAGTCCAGCGTCGCTTTGTAAGACGCGATCTTGCTGGCGTGATACTGATCCAATGGGTTCCACGAAGCAACCTGGGCTGGGTCGACATCTTCAACATCCGTCGTTTCTACCACAAAACGTGTCAGTGGGACTAGTGCTCGAGACATCTCATCGGAAGAGAGCCATACCTTTCACAATCAATCCATCTCTAGTTGGCCCCAACGGAATGATTGACAACGCCGAGGCAGTCACGACAACTTTCTTGATGCTTGGCACCTTGAGCGCGGAATGCAGGATCGAAACAGTTCCTCGTACAGCAGGGCTTAGGAGATCATCCCCGGCACCAGGCAATGGAGAGGCCAGGTGCAAAGCATAATCCGCTCCCTGTAGTGGCTCGTCGAAGCATCCATCAATTGTCAAGTCGGGAACGACAGCAAACTCCAACTCCTTTGCATAGCGGTCATAAATCCGCTCGAGCTTGGTCGCCTGCTCGGCACGACGGACGACCAAGCGCACGCGATAGCCAGCTTTCAGTACATCCCAGACCACCTGGGAGCCGATGAAACCGGTAGCACCGGTGATCAGAACAAGAGACATTTTCTAAGACGAGGCAAGGAATTGAAGTGAATTGAATTGAATCGATGTAGATAAGTCTGAAGCAACTACTTCCCATTGCCGGTCTACGAGCCTGATATACCACAACGATACCTCCAGGGCTGACAAATGGACGGGCGAGTTTCTTTGTATACCAGTAGACAAGATCTGAGAGGGATTAGTGATCAGTACCTCGGCTTCCGGTACATCTGATTTGATTGGCTCCAAGCAAGAGTTAAAGGTATTCTAGCTCCGCTCATCGATAGCATTTTACGAGTTGCAGCCAAATACTATACGAGCCTTAACGAGGATGCTGCCGCGGTTGGTCAGGCATGTCTGAAGATTCGATAGAGGTGATTGAGCTAGCTCTTGAATCCCTGACGTCATTGATGGCTGCCCCGGTCTCGATCATTATTACTCTAGTATATTCAAGTGGCAAGCGTGAGAGGATTGTCATTAACAAGCCTCTCAATTACATTTTCGAAGATTTGCATGATTTATATAAGAGAAGCGTCTTAGTTATGCATCTATCTGGAATTATGGCAACGAATCTTTGACGCCGGTGAACCTCAACAGATTCCCGGTAAATCCGCGCGAATATGTACATTAATCTTGACATGAGGCCTCGCAACAAACTAGATGTAGTTTTTTTTGGACTTAGTAAGGAGGTTCCAGATATAATAAATAGTCTTGATTAGCTTCAAGAGCAGCATAAAGCATTATCAGACTTACAAGAATGAGCGGGGGGCCCTTTGGCCTTCCCTTCGGGATTTGTAGTGCTGGGTTCGAGTAGTCTGAAGCCGGCGACAGTAGAATGGCTGCAGCAGATGCCGCAGCGGCAGAATACCCGAAGGCGGTGAAGAAGTGTTAAAAACAGAACCAGAGGCCAAGTGGAAGTATTTAGACATGGCGAGACCACTTCTGTGGCAAAAATGTTATGTTGAGGGGTTGATGCCTGATCCACATGGCTGCCAAGGCTCCGGTCGCAAATCCTAGGATGTCAAAAATAGGATTAGCGCGAAAGGCGGATTCCCCCCCTGGTTTCTATTTTTGATCCCGAGTCTTCGTTCGCTCCTGGCGTCCCTGGGTCAACACCGGCTATCGGTCTGACAGACCGATGAATCAAACGCAGATGAAACCTCAATGACGCATCCTTTTACTGTCACCACTTGATCTTCTCTTGACTGTCATCTCGCGAGGAAAGAATGTCCCCATGATCTCCCCGCTTGCCTCCTCTAAGGCCGGTCCCCGCTGGGTTCCCCGCCGCCGATATGGGTTCCGCCGACGCGTCGCCCTCCTCGTGGGCCTCGGCTTAGTGATTTGGACAATGCTCCAGGTCCTCTCGATTCACCACCATGTCGCTCTCGTGAACGCTCGCCCTCCCCCCCCACTACCCTCCGATCGTATCTTCATCGCCAGTACTCATTGGAATAACGAGCGCATCCTCCGAAGCCATTGGAATGACGCCGTCGTTGACTTGGTCCGGACCCTTGGCTCTGAGAACGTCTTTGTGAGCGTGTTGGAAAGTGGTAGCTGGGATGACAGCAAGGGAGCTCTGCGCGAGCTGGATACAAGACTAGATCGACTTGGTGTGCGACGCAACATCACTCTGTCCCACACAACACATCAGGATGAAATCTCCGCTCCGCCCGGGCGTGATGGCTGGATTAAGACCCCGCGGGGACGGACAGAGCTTCGACGCATTCCATATTTGGCTCGGCTACGCAACTGGACTTTACAACCATTGGAAGACTTGGCGCGACAAGGGATCACTTTTGACAAAGTGCTTTTCCTGAATGATGTCGTGTTTACGGTATGGCCTACTCCAACGCTTGCAGCAACCGACGAGTGTGTGACTTATGGGTGAAGTTTTAGGTCGACGATGTAGCGACCTTGCTAAATACCAATGACGGGGTCTACGGGGCTGCTTGCTCCCTGGACTTCTCCAAACCCCCTCTATATTACGATACCTTCGCTCTGCGTGATTCCCAGGGCGATGAACACGTCATGCAGACCTGGCCATACTTCCGCTCTGGCAATTCGCGTAGAGCACTCATCAGCATGGAGCCAGTTCCAGTCAGAAGCTGCTGGAATGGGATGGGTAGGTGATACATCTGCGCCTGGTGTTGTACCAGACTGACTCTCTTAGTGGTAATGCCCGCCACGCCTTTCGTGTCCTCTTCACCACTACGATTCCGTGCTGTCCCTGACTCCCTCTCGCTATCTCACCTTGAAGGCTCAGAGTGTTGTCTCATCCACGCTGACAACCCTTTGTCACAACTCCACGGAGTCTACCTTAATCCCCAGGTCCGCGTCGGGTACAATCCAGAAGCGTATGCTGCGGTGCATCCGACTCGGGCATGGTTGTCCTTGCAAAATCTTGCCGTGGCTCTCTGGGAGAATCGGATTCGACGCTGGACAACCTCTTCCTATTTCAAGATGCAAGTTGTTCGCAGTCATGTCGCAAAGTGGGAGAAGGATCATCCTCAGCAGCGAGAAAGCGGTGATTTTTGCTTGATCAATGAAATGCAAGTTCTGGTCGCCAACGGTTGGGCGCATGTCTGAGTTTGCAGCATGTGTTCCACTTCAGTTGAGCAATCATTTGCAATCCCATCCAACCACAAGCTATTGTGAAGAAGATGGGCTTGGTATGTTGTGTGAGCTCGAATTTGCGCCTCTCGGCAATAGCCACGCCCTTACCACAGAGACTCAATGATCGGCTGCATCTCGGCTCACCAAGTTCTTAATTAAGAAAAATCCCCCAAAGGATTGGTCGGCTATGTCTTGAAGAAGACAGCTGGTTTTAGTCAATGCCCAATTTTGATTTAGACCAGTCCACGAATGCGTGACTTGTCCCGTCCCGTTCATTTCGTTGCATATTAGGGGCTTGAAAAGACAGTGTAGGTTGGTGGACAGCGCAGACATTCCCAAACCTTTAATCCAAGCCCTCAATCGGATCTTGTCTATTCAACCGAATCACAATCAACCAGTTCGTGCCCCACTGAGGAGGCAAGATGAGACCTGTGGTTCAATCCAATTGAATTTCAAGCTCAAAGCTATATTAAGTTTAACACGAAGTCCAACAAAAACATCGCCTCAATAAAATTTCAAATGCGCGGAAACCGATCGCTTCAAACATGATGAAACCCCTTCCTGTCCCAGAAAGAAATAAATTTCTTCAACAAGTGCGCGTCAAATGGTCGAAACTTGATCTCTGGATTGTCACTGAGAGCCTTAAGTGCGTTGTCGCACCGATAGACCGGACTGTACTGGCTAGCTTCCCATCGCGTTAAATGCCCCAACACCCGCTCCTGGAACAATGGCATCAACGGCGTCAATAATCCGTCTGCATCGCTGTGGGTCACCCTTTCAACCCACTGTTCAAAATCGAGTAGTTCGAGGGGATAGCCTGCCTCCTTGAGCACGTCGCAGGTTTGTTCGACCGTGACAGATTTGCTGACATCCGATGACAGCAGGCTGTACGAGCGTCCCAAATTCTCATTGCGGGTCGCAATGGCCATCATCGCGTCAACCACGTAGTCGACTGTCACGTACTCCAGACGTTGATCGACCACTCGGGGAAAGGCACCGACCTTGATAGAGCCTATCAATAGGCGGGCCACGAAATCATCCGGATTCATGGCTCCTGTCTGGCTGTGGCCAACAACAAAACCTGGCCGGTAGATGGCCACCGGCAAGCCACGGTCCCTCATCCGGCGCACCATCGCCTCCGCTGTCCACTGGCTCTGCGCATAACCCAGGTCATACCGAAGGCCCTGAATGTGTGGCTGAAGGGGATCGTCCTCGTAGATCTCTTCTGTTCCCAGGATGTTCCCAGTTGGCCCCCACACATCAATACTGGATACGTAATGAAAGCTCTTACGACGACCTGCGGCGGCGAGGTGGAGGATGTTTCTGGTGCCAACGACGTTTGTCGTGCGGTGCTCTCGGTACGACTCGCAAAAGTTGACTTTGGCTCCAAGGTGGAAGACCACTGATGCCCAGTTTGAAAGCCATGTGAACTTCTCCTGTCCGAGGCCTAGATGCCAATCAGTGAGGTCACCTTCAAGCACGAGAATCTTCTGCGTGTATTCAAGCTTGTCAGGCCACACGTCGTATCGCTCAAGAGCTTGCTGAACCCGAGCCCAGGCACTTATGTCTTTCCTGCTACGCGCGAGGCATGCAATCTGCTTCACTCCTGGTCGTTGCATCAAGTTAGACAGAAGGTGGGCGCCCACAAACCCGGTCACACCGGTGATGAACACACGACCCTCGCCCTCGGCCTCCCATTGAGGCACCATGTCAATGTCGTCAACAAGAAGCACATCTTGCTTCCATACCCGAGTATCGTCAGGTGCTTTGTTGTGTCGAGGCTCGCTAGGCTGGATCAAATCTAGCATCTGCTTGAATTGAGAGTGGCCGTGGAGATCGTGCATCGAAACCTGAACGTCAAATTCCTGGCGTATCTGGCTAATCAACGAGGCAGCCTGAAGTGAACTGGCACCTAGAGAGATGAAGTCGTCATCATCAGACACCTCTTCGGACAGATGTAATAGGTTTGTCCAGAGTCTCCGAAGTTTTCCTGCTTTGTCATGTGGCCCTTCACCGTTGGGCACTGTGCTCTCTGTCTTGCCTTCCTTTTGCTTCTCCTGCAAGGCGTCAAGTCGCTGCTGAGTCAGAGCCTTACGATCCACTTTGCCATTAGGTGTCAGTGGAAAATCGCTCAAGAACTCAATTGCGTTGGGAACCATGTAATGTGGGAGACGCTCTCGAGCGTAGTCCATGAGCGATTCCTCGTCCACATCTTTAGCCGACACAAAGGCAACCAAAGCATGGCCTTCTCCCTCTGTCAAAGGTGGCTGATGAATCAGAACTGCTGAGTGAACCGCATCGTGCGACATGAGCGCTCGCTCAATTTCGCCAAGCTCAACCCGGAAGCCTTCATGCTTAACCTGGGAGTCGTCCCGGCCAATGAAATCCAGGCAATCGCTGTTCTCGCGCCACTCGGCCAAGTCTCCAGTCTTGTACAGACGCACTGTGCCTTCGCCAAGGCCCAAGTCCTCTCTGCTCATATCCACAAATCGCTCTTCGTTATGCTCTTTTCGGTTCAAGTATCCGGGCGTCAGTTGTGGTCCGCCAAGGTGGATTTCCCCTTGCTTGCCGCTCTCATGCACGGGCTGTTGATCTTCGTCAAGTAAGACGAGCTCCAAATCCCCCACCGCCTTACCGATACCAATGCGGTCTCTGCCAGTTTCTTCAAGTGTGACTTCCTGCATAGTAGCCAGGGTCGCACACTCTGTTGGCCCATAGGCATTCCAGAGATGCTCAGGAGCGCCCTTTTGCAGCACATCTTTCATGGCACGCACATTTGCCACATCCCCTGCGGTAATGACATGTCGCAGGGACGAAAATGCTGTCGGGTCCTGAGTACTAGTGATAGTAAATAGGGCAGTGGTGATGATCATCACGGTTAGCCGGTGTTTTGAGACTGTTTCAGCTAATGCACCCGCGCTGATGGCCGAGTCGCGCGGGATAGCGACCACAGTGGCACCTGAAATCAAGGTCACCCAGATCTCATACAAGCTCAAGTCAAATCCCGGGTTGTTGAACTCGGCAACACGGTCGCTCTTCAGCAAGGGGGTCGTTGGTGTTTTGTTGGCAAGATGCAGGATGGCCTCGGCTTGGATCTGAACCGGTTTGGGCTTTCCAGTCGATCCAGACGTGAAGAGAATGTGGCTGCGTTTAGACGGGTCCTTGAACCCTTTGGGGAGCTTCTCATCCAGTGTTCTTCCGCCGGTCACTTTTGGGAATTGAATGAGCTTTCGGTCGGGCCAATTCAGCGAAGAATCCTCTTCAATCAGGATCGTTTTGACCTCAATTTCTTCCAAAAGGTCCTTGATGCGCTGTTCTGGGATTGATGGCTCCAGTGGGACACATGTCCCCCCAGCCAAGCGCACCGCCAGCTGAGCAACAACCTGGTTGATGCCAGGGCCCAGCACAATACCCACAGGCTCGTCGGGGTCAAGGTCTCCCAGCTCGCACGACAGATGACCTGCTTCTCCGAGCAGCTCGGCATAGGTCAGGGATGCCTGTGCATCTTCAACGGCGACAGCATCCGGATTCTCCTGAGCGTGGTCATAAATATTTCTCTCCATGATGGTTGTGCTGGTGGCTCAAGATCAAGTGATATTGTAGTAAAAGTATGGTTGTTTTGATTGTTCGGGGTTGTTATAGTCTTGTGCAAATGCTAATATCCTTTGAAGAGTTCTTCGTCGGTGATTGTGCTTCTTCCTCACTTTCGACCGCGCTTGACACGGCTTTATATCCTTGAGCCTGGTCTGTCCCCATACCAAAGGTCACTCTCCACGATCCCCTTCAGATCGACGCAGCACGCTTCCATACAATGACGTATGTGACCCTACGGAGAACTTGCTATCTCGGCGTCTAATTTTCAGCTCTCTGGCAATCGAAGCCTGGAGGGCCACACTCGAAGACAGGAGACGTCACTCAATGCCAGAAATGTTCACGAGCATGAACCTTAAGGCAGACTATAAACAATGACATCTGACAACCTGCTTTCCCTACTGCAGGGCGAACTCGACTGGATGGCCAATTGCACCGAAGGTGCTATCAACAGGGTGTCAAACCAGCCTGTCGGGACTCATAGCTGTTTTACCGCAAATAGCGGTCGCTTCAGTTAGTCGTGACGCTACACCGCAGGTGACCTGCTGAGAAACCTCCTGGGGGCGCGCGCGGGGGCAGTATCCGATGAATGACTATCTCTTCCCCAATCACCCTTACCGAGAAGTCCAGAATAAGAAATCGCTCACATGACTCAGATTGGCGCTTTCGAACCACACTCTGCACGGGCGAGAACACAAACAGGGGGAAGGTGGTAACGGCTCCTTACAATCAGCAAGGGGGCGTGGCACAGACATTCGCATGTAGGCTGATGTCATTCCACAATCAACACTAGTTTTCAGGCTGTGAAGAACTTTGAAGAAACAAGATTTTGAAGATGACTAGACATGATTCGTCGGTTGACCAAACTCTGCAGCTTCTCGACAATCTGTCAACCTTATCTTGACGCAACTTCCCGCCAATCCTCGCCACCAGGGTCTATTGTGGTTCTGGTCAAAAGAGGTAGATGACTTCAATCATACTCAATGGATGTGTACTTGCAACACAGAAACTTCAGTTTTCGATGCCGACCACTAGCCGGGTTAGAGTAGGCGAGGGGTGGGGTCCTCTACTGGCGGCAAAACCATATAAACCCACTCGATCTCATGGTGGACTATAGAAGAAACCACCAACACAGAATCACTCACCGTGAACAGTGAAAACATCACTTCCCACCTGAATACCTGAGAACATGTCCGGCGAAAAGGTCCTCATTTCCAAGCTCCAAACCCAGTTGGAGCAGCGTGAGCGCCAGAAGCGCCTTATGCAGCCTCCGACGCCCGGTTTGGTCAACCAATTGGTCGACTTCGGGTCCAACGACACCCTATCCATCGCGACCTCGCGGGCGCTGACCAAGGGCTTCCTGGAGCAACTGGACGCGCACCCCAACTTTATTGTGGGCAGCACCTCGACGCGCATCTTCGAGGGCACAACCCACTACCTGGACGACATCGAGCGAGACCTGGCCCGCTTCCACAAGGCCGAGGCGGGCCTCTTCTTCAATTCCGGCTTCGACGCCAACGTCGCCCTGTGGTCGACCGTCCCGCGTCCCGATGACGTGGTCGTGCATGACGAATACATCCACGCCAGCATTCACGACGGGATGCGACGCGGTCGCGCGCAGACCCGGTCGTTCGCGCACAACGACCTCAAAGAATTCCGGCGCGTGCTCGAGGACCTTCGCGATAAGCAAAAGGGGGTCAAGGGCGGCAAGAGCGTGGTCTTTGTGGCCGTCGAGTCGTTCTATAGCATGGACGGTGACGTGGTGCCCATCCAGGAGATGCTGCGCATTTCCCAAGAGGTGCTCCCACAGGGCAATGTGGTGTATGCCATGGATGAGGCGCATTCGAACGGGCTGATTGGACGGGACGGATCCGGGCTGGTGTGTCATTATGGATTGGAGAAGGAGATCGGGATCCGGGTGCATACTTGCGGCAAGGGGTTGGGGTCGACGGGGGGTAAGCTCCCTTTTGGTTGATCACTTTGAGAATTTCACTGACTGGTTGTTGATAGCTGTTGTTCTTTGCTCGGAGACCATGCGTATGTCTATGATCAACTATGCCCGCAATATCGTGTTCTCGACCGCGCCATCGTTCGTCACTGTGGCGGCTGTGCGCGCGGGCTATGAGTTGGTCGCAAGCGAGGAGGGCGAGCAGGTGAGTCTTATCCCCGCGGCTATCTCTACCATCAGCACTAAGAAGTGCAGCGACGCCGTCGTTTGCAGCAGAACACGCGCTACTTCGAGCGCATGGTGACTCAACACAAGCAATGGGCCGAAGTCAGCAAGCAGGGTATCATTCAGATTCCCGGGTCCGAGAACTGGGGGTCGGGTCCGTTTGAGACACCCATCTTTGCCTTGATCACCCCGGGCGGCGAGGAGAATGAGCTCGCGGACCATATCCGGGGGAACGGGTATTGGGTGGACTCGGTGCATTATCCGATTGTGCCGAAGCAGCTGGGACGCGTCCGGCTCACGGTGCATGCGGATAACACCAAGGAGCAGATTGAACGAGTGGTCGGGGTGTTTATGGAGTGGGCCGGTGCTAGGGTTAAGAAGAAGGGGAGGGGGGCGAAGTTGTAGCTTTTTGCCTTTGTTCTTGAATACTAGGTATTGTCAATAGGTGTGGGTGGTTCTATTGGTTGTGCTTTGTCTGATTCTTGTCTTTCTGGTTTGTATTGTTTCAATATACGGTATGTCATTCCTGCACTGTTTGCTAGCTGGTAAGAGACCTTTCTGCCAAACCACTTATATCATTCATTATATTTTGGAAATAGATCGCATAGTAAATGTATTGTTTGCATAAATACGGTATTACTTGAATGTGTAAACTCTTATATAAATAAACATGGTATAAGAGTTGCCGCGTGGTGGTGGACCAGATCAGTGTGCTCCTGTGGAGTCGGTTGACTCAGCACTGACATCCCTTGAGCATGACCCTTTGTTACAGTACACCATGGCTGAACTTTGGAATCTCTACCAAGCGACGACCACATTGATCGTCTTTCAGGACAAAATATCAGCCCTACAGGCAATATCGGCACCCCTAAGATCTACACCATGCAATTGCTTCCGGCCTGTCACTTCAATGGCAGAGACGAAGTGGAGCCCCTCTTTTGCCCAAGTGGGTCTTTCGTGCAGCAAAACAAACAAAATTCTCCACTGCACTTTTCAGGGGCCTCTTCCAGAGAATTCTGCCTAAAATTATCACATGAAATGTTGAGGTGCCGATACAATTGAGCTGAAACCCACATGCGCCGACCAATCCAAATCAGTCGAATGAAGTTTTGCAAAGCGCGCTCTCCACCAGCCTATCCGACCCAGAGCGACTAGGGCATCCCCACTCCAGAATCAGCATGCCTACCTCCGGCCCCTAAAAGCTTGAATCACCCCAGCACCGTCTTCGGTTCCCAGCTAATCCTACAGGCAACCGTCCCGGATCAGACAATTCGCCATGACAACAACAAAACGAGCGGAGGTGGAGCCCCTCCCCAAAGTCCTCCTCCCCCTCCACCACCGCATCTACTGCTTCCTCTGGCTCTGGGGCCTCAAACTCATCGCGACCATACACGCAATCTACAAGGACCTCATCCACCCGCCCCCGCCCAGCACCCACCCAACCCTAACCCTGCACCTCCCATCGCGCCCGACCCTACAAACCCGCATCTTCTACCCGCCCACCTACACGCCGGGCCAACCGACCCTCCTCCCAACCTATATCAACCTGCACGGCGGGGGCTTCGCCGTCCACACGGCGCGCTTCGACGACCCCTTCTGCGCCTCCTGGAGCAAGCGCACGGGCATGCTCGTCCTCAGCCTGGACTACCGCAAGATCCCGCTGCACCCGTTCCCGACCGCCATCCACGACGTGGAGGCGCAGATCCTCGACCTGCTGGCGGCGGACCCCGCCGCCCTGCCCATCGATCCCGCCCGCGTGGTGATCGGCGGCTTCAGCGCGGGCGCCAGCCTCGCGCTCGCCGTCGCCCAGCTCCCCTCCCTGCGGCGCGCCCTCCGCGCCGCCATCTGCTACTACCCCATCGTCGACTTCAGCCACTCCCCGCCGGACAAGATGCGCGCCCGCCCGTACCGCGACTACTGGCGCGACCATCTGGGCGACGCCGGCTGGTGGATCGACTGGGGGTATGTCTGTCCCGGCCAGGATCGGAGGGACCCCCGGCTCAGTCCGTGGTATGCGGCCGCCGAGGATCTGCCCGAAAGGGTGTATATGGTTGCGGCGGAGTTTGATTTGTTGAGGCTCGAGGCCCAGGAGATGATTCATCGGTTGGCCGGGTTGGAGGGCAGGCGGGATAAGGAGGAGGCGTTTGAGGTCGGTGGGTATAAGTGGACTATGGCCAGAGGGTGTAGGCATGGGTTTACGCATGGGCAACCGAAGGGGAGGAGGTCGAGGAGGGTCAGGGTTAGGGAGGAGATTTGGGAGGAGGCCAGGGGGTGGTTGGTTAGGGGTGGGATTCTGGGGTAGGGTCATGGGGTTGTCTTGGAGTTGGTTGAGCTGTGATGGGGACGTGGTTTTTATTTTGTTGTATATAGATTGGAGTGTAGAGTGGATATAGATTTAGAGGGCTGGATATAGAGTTATGATAGAGCTGAATGTAGACTGCTGGTGGATGAAAGCAATTTTATGCTATGTTCCCGACAAAAGATACATTGTAGTAATGCTTTGCCTCCAAGTGTTGACACAGACTACTGGATGCTTTTTGATGTCAATGCATCTGGTTCTCAATGTTATGGACTAGGGAAGTTGGCGATGGTGATTGACTCTGTCGCAGTGTGGCGATACCGGCCGGTGCTGATCAGGCTTATATTTGGCTAGAGTGTGGCTGGTGCAGAGTATGTCTCTTACATATATGTATGTGTCACGTGGTTTGTGGCTAAATGGCTGTCGGCGTGTCAGGCGGTTGCACCAAGCGTAGGGGCTCATCTGGGAAAGTCAAATAGCCACAAGTGCCTGACCGTTGGCCAAGCCAGCTTAAGACCAGTGATAAGATTCCTGACGTAGCTCCAACTCCTGCCAACCAACCACGTGATGGTAGCCTGATGAGGCTGTGCAATCTCACTCTCCATGTTGCGACCCAGGCCGCATGATTCCTACATAAGAATAGACATCTGCCATCGTATATGATCATCGCTTTCTAGACATTGTAAGCGAGTATCTGTACCGGAGTACTCCGTATTATTTTCAACAATTTCAAGCACCCCACCAAGTCCTGGAATGGCTCCAAAACAACCCTACGAGGCAGCCCCGCCCTACCAAGAAGTAAGCCCCCACTGCGCCATCGCCCCTGCCAAGCTGACTTCACCAACTCCTACCCCACAGTACTCGGAAGTCGCACAAGCAGACCAGGATGACCTGGAGTCACAGCCCTCGCCCTCCCACCACCACGGAGACACCGACGCGACATCCCCTATTCCTCTCGTCACCTCGGTGATTACCACGCCCCATGAGCACTGTGAGGCCTGCGAGAGAATCATCGCCCGACGAGAGCAGAGACAGAATCAGCTACAATGTTGTGGGATGGTTGCGATTGTTTTTGTGATGCTGTTCATCTGTGCGACCATTTTTGGGGCGGTGTTTGCGAGGGCCAAGGCGCATGATGATTGAGAACTTTTATGACCACGGCTTGATGGTGAACCTGCAAAGATGTTATGAGCCTGTAGTTCTGGTGTTGCTCAAGAACTTGATACGATACGGGGGCCTAGTGATGGACAGCTAGACTTATGGAGAAGACAGCGGCTAGTCGAGGTACTTGCGAATGTTCGCAAGGTTAAATATAGCCGTTACTCCGTACCGTGCTGCCTCGTTCGTCGTAATCCAGGGCGCCTCCTCTCCCTCGGAAAAATAGGTTGGCGCCGCTGTCGGCGTCACGGTCCATTGGTGGTCTTTGGTATACCCGTCCGTCTCGAAGAACTGTCGCCAAGCTATGCGAGATAATTCAGCGTCATCAGCGCGTCTCGCCGCGAAAGCAGTCAGCGTAGAGTGGCTCTGTCGCCATGTGGCTGTAGCAGGGAACTCGAAGCCGTACTCCCCGCGCTGAACATCCGCTCCGCCGTTGTAAGACCGACAATATGTCAGGTAAGCCTTCAGGAACGCATCCACGGTCGCCGGATGTTCACTTTCAGCGTAGTTGACGAGCTCCGATACCAGTTCCGGGAAGCCGAATAGCATCGACAAGTGCGAGATGGCATACGGTCGCGTGGGAGGCGGGCATGCGCGCACTTCTCCCGTCCTTGTGTCGAGTAGAATTGCCTTTGTAGCGATTCCATATTCTAGGCCCGCGATGCCCTCAAGCATTGCCAGCAGCCGATCTCTACGCTCCGTCCATCCCGGCTCCCGTCTTTCCCATGCGGTAAGCCACGATGCTGCTAATGCGCCCCCGTCAAGACAGATGTCCGTCAGTGCAAACCCTTCCGGAATGGCACCGTGCTGCTGAACTTTCCGATGGGCGTCGAGTCCCAGCAGCGCATGCTGGCAGTCCTGAAGCTCAGCGATCAGATCTCCCATTCGTTCGTCCCCGGTCAAATAGTAGTAGAACCGTCGATACAGCACGTTGGAGATCCGGAGCTGTTTGCAGCTGTCGCTGAAATGCTGCACTCCATGACGCGTTCCGAAACCCTTGAAGCGGCCGGAATGGTACACGTCCACTTCGCTCGTATGGCGGGTCATGGCCTCGGCCAGTCGAAAGACGTCCGCTCGCCCGGAATGCAGGAAATACAGCCACAGCCATAGGTCTGTGGACAGCTCGCTGTTGTCCCAGGCAAACCCCCCGACATCGTAGCGCCACGCGTGTCGGTGCGGGTCGTACGTGTGCTGCACGTCGCCGTAGTCCCAGAAGCCGTACCAGCGGTGTTGCTCGACCTGGCGCTGGTAGTGAGTGAATAGGGTATTAAGGTTGTGTTCAATATTCAGCTCAGTGGCTCTGGGGCTAATGCCAAGGAGGCGAGTGTCCGGGGCCCATGTGCCGTGAAACACGCCAGCATTGTATATGGTCTCTGGGGTGGGGAGCAAGCGAGGGGGGTTACGGACCAGAGCCGAAAATGCGCTTAGGTCGTTGTCGGATGGGGTCCCGTTGCTGTATGGTCGGAGGAAGAAGACTGCCGTTCGGCCGATTCCGTTGGCCGTACCGAAGCCGGGCTCGTAGTCCTCGTATGTAGCCTTGAGGGCTTTGAGCTGTTTCTCGTAGGTGTCCAGACCTAGTCCGTCGTGATAAGGACGGGTATCCAACGGTTCTGCAGCAGGTGAGTATATCCATATCGTTATCGATGCTCTGTCGGTGGTCAAATTGCCGAGATCGATTTGGGTGGGGTACTGCTCCCAGAAACCAGTCATACCCACTGCCAGGCCGCCGCGCTGCGCCGAGCCAATGTATGCAGTGCCAGAATATCTGCTCCCTCCTGTCACCTTCACCCATGAACAGCCTTGTTTCGTTCGCTTCTTTAGCATAAAACCGTCAGGGGATAGCTGACTGAGGGTATAGTCGTTCCAGGACGGAACATAAGACAGCCACGGGGCATCTTTAAGGGTCACGGCCTTTCCGGCAGTCTGGTCGATACGATCCTGCACGCTAGTGCCATGCCACAAGCCTGATAGGCCTTGCACTTCTTCCCTCAGAACCCCTCCTGTGGGACCTAGGAAGCGAATGTGGCGGTTGTAGTGTTGGATATTGCGAAACGGTACCGAGAATTTGAGACCGAGTGAGGTCAACGGTTCCTCAGGGTCGAGGTCATGGATGAATGAGAAGACGACTTTGAGCGGCTGCGCATCGGAGTAGATATATACTCGCACGTCGAATGGTAGATGCTCCCTTCCCTCATGTACAACAGTTCCGGAGGCTTTGACAACTGCTCTCGCCCAAGTGAGGTTTTCAATAGCACTCTTGTGTATGACTGGTGCATATTCTTCTTTGTTAATCGACGCGACGACAGTAGCGGCGGAGCACACTTGTTGTCCATCCAGGGAAATGTTCTCAAATAATGTCGTAGAACTTTGAGTCAGGAATCGCACACTCAGTCCAATCTTCGTGGAGATAAGAATATATCCAGGCGCTGTCTCAGCCTGTATTCGAGGTTTTATCTCCTGCTCGGTCGCAGCCTTCACGGTGTACCCGCTGCTATACCCGACATGGCCACTGATGGAATGCGCCGTCCATTTCAGAGACCCGTCCGCCCAGTATGCCAACTCGCGGCTATCGAGGGGATAGCTTTTGCCGTCTGTCTCGATTGAGAAGGTCTGGTTTCGCTGGTAACGGCCTTTAGGCCATGGCATGGTGAATGAGAGTCCCGTGGATAGAGCGTCCGGGTTATCGCTGGTTAGCCATCGGAGATTCGGTGTGGGCATGGCGTGCTTTTGGTGCGGGGCACGCAATACTGTGGAATAACGGATCGTCAATTGAAACGAGGTAGGAATCGGGAAGTGAAAAGCAAAGCAGGAATGGAGAGGTGACAAGCAGTTTAAATAATTGGAGATGGGGAAAATGGAGGTGCCCACTGGGTTAGGTTGGGAAAACCAACCCGTGACCTTTTGTTGCATGGCTGCAGAACGAACACCAGACATGATGCAGCACAGATTCAAAGAAGCGCCAAACATGAAATTCACATCGACAAGAATAAGCTTGGCCATCATTTCGTCAGACCCATATCTTCTATGCGCTGATTCGTTCCAGGCGGGTTGGTTTTCTTAAAGTTGCGCAAGTAGTCTCCTCGCGCAGCGGTATCGAATCATAGCAATAACACACTTGATAAGGCAATCTCTTGAATACAAAAGTCAGAAGTAAGAAAGGAGAGGATTGAATAATTGCCTCGCAGTACCTTGAAAGCTTCAAGTAGGTTGGGTCGCCTGCTTCCTGCAGGCGTATGTATAAGTCGAAGGATGGCTCGTTAGGCTTGGTATAGAATAGATTCAGTAACAGTTCAACTTTACCTGTCGAAAAATACAGGTAATAACAGATGGAGACTGTGACCAGACCGAGAGTCTTTATTCATGTTGTCGGCGTTTGATAGACCAGATCACATGATGCGTCACTCCTGCCGAACGTCTTTACCTCCCACACACAGCACAACAAGCACAACACCAACTCAACCAATCGTTCCTAAACCAACCTGGATAGCTTCCGACCACCATGACATGATCATACCATCAGACATGAAGTCTAGTCCTGAAGTGTCACCTCGATCCAACATCTTCGTGCTAACAACATCTCACTCCAGCAATTTCCTGGCCTTCAACTTGTTGGCAACCTCATTGACAATGGCTGGGAATTGGTCTGGTGGCTTTCCCTGGCTCTTCTCCACGGCCTTCTCAAACACATTCCACACCTCGATATACTTATTCCCAGTACTCTGAGTTGTGCCAATTGCTAAAAAGGCCTCACGCATGCGCTCATGACGTTGGAGGCCCCCGAAGTGATCCATCTTGCCAGGTTGGTTGATAGCCTGTGTCTGCACGAAGCTGAGTTCCACGCAATAGAGAATCAGCGCTGCTAACCCAGATGCAATAGCAGTGGCTACCGAAGACCCCGTCAAGGTCTGGCATTTGTCGATCGGTGCGTCGTTGGGTCGCTCTTTCACCACTTTGTGGCCGGGAAAAATGAAGTCGACGGCCGCCGCGTCTCCTACCCACTTCCATACCGCGCCAGAAGCCTCCGCAGCACCGATCTTGAAGATGTTCTTGGTATTGGCACAAGCAGCAGGGAAGCTGACATCCAACGCCGCTCCTTGATCATTCGCCGCACAAAACATGAGGATGCCTGCGTTAGCAGCGGCTCCGATCGCGGCTTCCAAGTCTCGAATGTCGGCCGCATTCTGTTCGTTGCGTTCGATCGTCCATGACATGGAGATGATGTGAACCCGTCGGTCAATCGCTGCGCGAACAGCCTTAGCTGCACTCTTAGTGGGACACACCCGCCAGATGAGGCTAGCCATGACGGTCCCATGCCCACTGCCTGACACATAAAAGGACCGCTGCATTTCTGTGCATAATCCCTTGGGCAGAAGCTACGACCGCCGATAATCTTACCTCGCAGCGTCTTTTCTTCAATGTCGACACCATAGTCGATTAAGGCCACGCGCACGTCTTCTTTCCACCCAGTCGGAGGCCGAATGTTCTGAATGAAGTCCGCGAAGTTGTCCATGCACGTCAACCAACGGTGACGATGCTCGACTTGTTGTTCGCAAACTCCCTCGACGGAGGCCCCTGTCTGATTAGTGGATATATCTGGCCGATGTTCTTCCAGCTTAATGTGGATGTCTGGTCGTAGTGCGGCCAGCCTGCTGCGGAATTGATTCACATTCCGCTTTGTCCGCTCAGCCGTTTCAAGACCCTGTTACATGTGAGATTCAAACCAAAGATCCGTTCATGCTCTCCACGTACCTGGTTAACATGCAGGTGCACAGTCCGCAGGCTTTTTAATTGTGCCAGACCGCTGTGATCGCTCCATCCACGCAGCACCGCGTTGTTCCCACTCCAGTACAAATACACCTCCCGAACATCCAGCGCCACACTAATGATCGTGTCAAGAGAGATGTCAATCTTGCGCCAGTCCCACAACTCGACCCGAAAGCCCCCCAGCGCCTGTTCGATTGCTTCATCGTTGTGCGCTGGAGAGGTCGTGTCATCCACAATGACTCGCAGAATTCGTGATACTCCCTTCTTTCGCAGAAAGTCAAACATAAATACCATATCGCGCCTACCCTCACCATCAGGGAGCGAATTCCTCACCCGAGCAAAGCGCGAATCGACGGACTGCACCTTTTTTGTCAATTCGAGACGCGGAAGCGCGACATATTGCAATGTGTCTTCGAAGCATAGGTACTCTAGGCCACGACTGATCCAGTCTTGGTCGATGTATCGTGACGAAGACTCATACAGGTCGAAGTATAGATCTCTGGCTATAGCTCGTTCAGTATACAACTTCTCTATCGGAGCAGCTGGAAGCATTGTACTCATGTCGGTCTCGTCCGTATAGCAGTTCGATCGCTTGGCCGTGATCCCGCGTCCTCAGATAATGAACTTTCAGGTAATCTCGAATTGTATCCGCGGTCTGTTTCGTGACAACCATGTCCTCACTTGCTTTCTTGATGGATGTCTTCCTTGACTCATTAGCCGTGCCGTCTGCAAGTTTGACAGATTTGTTAATAGTTATAGGTTTGTCGTGCACTGCCAAAGCTGTTACAAAGGCCAAATCTCCTATGGATCCTGATTGATCCTTCGGTGACGGATGAAGCTCACTCAGGGTATTGCTTCGTCGGGGTAGGCCTAGTCATCGGATGGTAGTTTGTGATCTGGCCCAGGCAAGCTCATCGGTGCTAGGCTAGGAGGAAGCATAACGTTATCCTTGGCCATACTTCCCTTATTGACTGGCAAACTGGCTTCCTTAATACCTTGGGGCTGTTGTTGCTCCACGTGTTTGCGTCCAGACGTCTTGGCCCCCGCTTCCGCCCTGGTAAACAGATGATAACGATATGGAGAGAGTCGATTTGTGGTACTGGTTTGCGCATCCAGTGCCTTATCACAGAAATCAATCAATGCCTTGACAACACTCAGCCCTGCATCGGTGCATCGCTCGTATGCAACTGCCAGATGTAACGGGGTATTGCCTTTGTCGTCCAAAGCCATCAAGGCCTCCATATTAGCCTTGCTGATTAGCTCGAGGATAAGAGCTGGCGCTGCCTCTTCGTGAATAGCCACGTGCAGGCAATTCCGTGCATGCAACCCTTGGACAGCAATAACTTGACTGATTTGTGGATGATTGGCACATATGCACCGCACAAGGCTAATGCGCTTCTTCTGGATAGCCCAAGACAAGACAGTCCGTTCTGAATGGTCTTTTTTCGCCAGGAGCGCAGGATATCGTCGCACCAGATACTCTACTAACGGCTCATATCGATTAAAGCGCTTGTCTCGGGCACCTTCCACTAGGTAGTGCAATAAGGTCCCGTACTCGACGATCTCGTCGAAAATATCCTCATTTTCCCGCACGAAGCGATGAAACCGATCGCGGTCGGTCAACGATATGGTCTTCTCTCGCAAACTGTCCCGGATATTCTCAAAACGGCGCTTGACGCTCGTTGATGGCTCCGCTTCTGAATCATCTTCGGAGTCTTCATCGTCTTCGGAATCGCTCCGTGGCTTTTCCAAATTGAACTTCAAGTGATCCTCCGGCGGAGAAGCCACGATGAAAGGTTCGTCATCTAGTGGAGAGGTGGGCGGGCTTACCGTCAACATTCTGTGAGATACCGGACTGGAGGGCAGTGCGTACCATCAGAAACAAATGCTCTGAGATCGAGTCTTTCTCAACCGCCGACAGTCATTATGCTACTCCGTTTCTCCTGCAGGGGGCGAAAGAGGCGGCTGAAGTGCGTGGTAATAAACACGGGCCGCGGCAGGACACTTAGTTATCGAAACATGCGAACAATTGTTGTCTGTGCCAATCAAATCTTCAAGTCACCATCCGCAGCACGCTTCTGTGGCATTTGGGTGGTTGATTTCAAGTTTTCAATTCACTAGATCAGACTAAGTATTCAACCTGCATATATTTTGACCATCCCTCGTGTTTGAAGTGCTCTAATTGGGCTGGCAGAGAGTCTAGTGCTTAGGTGCGTCCTGCCAATTCCGCTGGTGCGTGACCCTGCACAACCCCTCCAAATCGACCTGCCCCAGATTGTAGACATCAAATTCCCGCAAATGATTTGTTGGATCCAGAAGGGGGTCGAACAGAACAGGATCATCCTTGGGCACGCGTCCTTTGCCTCCCCATAGCCGTTCCCGCCAACCGGTGACAACATCAGCCGTGAGCTTGACCACGCACTCGAATGGCTGCTCATCCTCCCTTCGCAACAGAATGGCTGTGCGTAGTAGAGATGGAACGCCACTCTGGGCGGACTTCTTCTCCAGGAGAGTCCAGGACGCACTGTTTGCCGATCCCCAGTTCCGGCCCACCAAGTCCCGCGATCCTACCACAGTACAATGGTCCTGTCTGTCGCGGCTGACAGTCTTCTCCCAACCGACTGTTCCGGTGATGCTCAGCCCTCCTACCGGTGCTGAGGCTCCTGCTTGGCCGGAAACCGATCGCTTTATGTCCTCTCGTTGGCTTGTGGGGACAAGGCTGAAGTTACCATCTGGGGCGATTTTATAGACTTCAGGACCGGCCTCGCCTGCCTCCCGAGCCCTAAATTCGAGGGCGATCTGGACCCCTTCAATCCGCCGGGCGCGTTTCCGCACGTCAAACCGAAATTCAAGCACGAGCAGGGTTGCAAATCGATCGGGCCCGTGCTCGTTCATTATCCCATGGACCACGTCGAGACAAGAACAACGGATGTCGATAGTACCTTTACGCTCGATCACGTTGCTGCGCTGATAAGGCGCACGCGGGTCATTCTGCACGCGAAACGAACTCGCTGCGTCTCCAGCAGGGGCCAAGCCGAGATCCCAGCTCAGCCCGCCCGAAGCAAGATCGGGGCTGTTAACGGCGGATTCGAAATCCCCGTCGGTATCCTGATCGTGCTCGTTTGCTGTATCACCCATTTTCATGCAAGGCTTTTTTCAAGATGTTTCTGGGAAAAGTGGGATTCAGCAAGATAAGCCGGAATTTATGGGTGATTCCACGCTTCTTGGCGGAGCTGACATGCGCCCCTTGTTTTCGACTCAAACGCACTAAGGGAGGCACCGGCTAACTGCCAGCTTCGAGACACGCACCCACTTGAAAGAGGAACACTGCACACAATCTTGCTCACAACCTTTAGATCCTTTTGGTTGTTGAATCTCGCACATATTGGATAGTTACTTAATCTGGAAGGGGCCTGTGAGCAGCGGCGAAGTGCAATATGCAATCAGGCTTTTGACATCGGACCTCAAAGCCAGGCAAAAAGCCACTTCCAGCATTGTGAGCAGCCTCAAAGCGCAAGAGGAAAAGCGGGACTTGGATGAGGAGATACTACTCTGGGTGAACAGGACATTGCGACCTTTGACTGTGTGGGAGCTGCGCCGCGCGATATTGTTTTCTAGTGTCTCACACGGGAAAGCTGAGATATCCCGCGAGACACTCGACAAGCTGTTCGACGGCATGCTAGTGGTCAAGCATCAAGAGATCCACTTGGCACATCCTCAGCTCTCAGGGGTTCTACAAGACCTCGGGCCTGGCTCCGGCACTGTGGAAGCTAGTACGAGAATTCTTGTAGCCTGTCTAAAATATCTTTCGTCCTCGGAGTTCGGGAAGTGGAAGGAGGGGCCGAAGCGTTGGGCTACCCCTGAGTTGCAGGATGCTCGATTTCTGGACACAGAGTTCAACTTCGCGCAGTATGCGGCACTTTATCTGGAACAGCACTTTGGGTCGGTAGTGATCACCGAGGCTATCAAGTCGCAGGTAAAGGAGATCCTGACCAATCCCTTGTCGTATCGACGCATTGCCGTTGCCCGGTGGGCTGCATCAAATCTCTTCGAACGGCCTGACCGATGCCACCCCTCTGTGTTGCCGCTCATGGTAGGCATGCGACTGCATACATGGGTATTAGAGAATCCAAGCGCATTTCCAAAGGACCACACCAACGATATGAGCACAGTAGTTTCGGCAGCATGGGAAGCTGCGCGATACAGACAAAGGGATCTGCTGAAGGAGCTACTCGACCATTAAGAGCGACTCGACTCGGTACGTCTGCTCCTGGAAGCCGGTGTCAATGTCAATCATCAAGGCTCCAAGGGGCAGACACCGTTGCATGATGCAGTACGACTCGACAATCCTGCCCTCGTCCAGCTCTTGCTGGAGTTCCTCCCGGATGTGAATCACGCCCAGCAGGAAGGGTTCACGCCTCTTATGTATATATCACCATCTACGCGTATGGAAACTGTCCGTCCGCTGATCAACGCCGGGGCAGACCTCGAGGCTCGCAATCGTAAGGGCCTGACAGTGCTGATGTGCGCGGTCGCTTATAAAAACGCCGCAATGGTCAAGTATCTGCTCGCCCGCGGGGCTGAACTCAACACCGTGGGTTCCATCCGGGGTGGTCCGCTGCACTATGCGTGCTGGGACTCGTCTATAGACATGGTAAAGCTGCTGGTCGCTGCCGGTGCGGATATCAACCTCGTTGATCCGCAGAGTGGGTCGCCTCTGCACTAAGCAGGGTACCGCGGCCCCTTCGGGGAGTGGGAGCACCAGAGCAAAATTTGCAATTATTTACTGAGCCTCGAGGAGCTGGATGTCAACAGCACAGGGAGCATGCGAGGCTCTTTGCTGGGCTGAATCTGTGTCACAGCGCCGAAAGATATCGTGACCTCCCTGCTCGATAAAGGCGCCCGCGTTGATCAGCCAGATATCCAGGGCCGCACTGCAATGCATCTGGCGGCGGCCAACTCCGTCAGCCATCTGGACCTCATCTTCGAGCAAGGCGGCGACATTGAGGCGCGAGACTATGTCGGCCGCACGGTCCTGCATTTTGCAATGCTCAGCGGATCGGCCGCTCTCGTCGAAAGAGTTCTCAGCCTCTCGCGCGAGTTGCTGGATGCTCCCGACGACGACGGCTGGACCCTGTTGCTCTGGGCCGCGCGAGGCTGGACCCGCCTCAGCCGGACCACCACCGCGAGTGTGCAGGAGGAGATCATCTCCATGCTGCTCAACCGCGGTGCCAACCCCTGTACGCAGTGGGTTGGGCTCGGACGGACGTGGACAGCGGCTAAGATCGCTCGGTACCATGGCCATTCCGACAACGTGGTAAGACTGCTCGAGGACGCGTATCAGACGGCGCATCCTCAGGCCGATGCGTTAGAAAATGTTGGTATTCATTTCAGCCGCGTGGCTGCTTCGTTCAGTGGTACATGCGATGGCTGCTTCTTGGTACGTTCCTTTCTCCTTCCTTTCAGTGTTCTCCTTTTCATCTTTGCTCTGCGTCTCACGTTTCAATTACTCCGACTAATGCTCTGGGGTTAGGGCCTCTACGGGTATCGCTACAAGTGCCAAGTCTGTTTCGACTTCGACTTCTGTTACAAATGCTTTCTCACAAGGCACAAGACGCACGATGGATATGCCTTCTCGTCGACGGAAGCGGAGGAGGAGTATTTGGCGGAACCCGAGGAGGAGGGCGGAGGGGGTGGAGATGCAAACTCCACGACCCATGGTAGTTCGTCAGATGTACAGGAGAGTGAGGGCAGTGACTCGGATAAGGACTCGGACGGGGATTCGAGTAGTAGTGATTAGGATGCCGTGCATAGACTTTCTAATATGGGGCAACAGACAATGCCGATCACCAGCTGTGTCGCAACTCTATCCCGCTCAGCACTGTTGGAGTGTCTTGATTTAAGCTTTGCCAATCACAGTTCTCGCTTAGGTGTTACGAGTCAGTGAGAAATAGTGTAACGCAGGTACTGCATACGCCACCTACCGTGGGCTGTACAATTATCTCACAAGAAGTATCTACCCTAGAACAGTGATCTGACATTTTAGCATAGGTGCTGTACTCCGGTCTCTGCCGCATCATGGAGCATATGTGTGGTTACAGATTGCAATAGGTAGGCTCTTGGCATTGATCTAGGGGTCGAGCTTGGAGAGAGGCATCCGTACCTGATTGCCAGACCCCAGGCTTGAGTGTGTCACCATTCATTTTCTTTTTGAGTACCGAAGGATCGGTCTCGACCAGATATAGTCTTTTTCGTTGAAACAAGAGCCATCCCCTAACAGAAGTGACACACCCGTGGTAACTATTATAGTGTATATCAGTACTCCGGTGCTACAGAGGTTCAATTAACATCGCATGCGAGCTACGTAATCGGAGCTGTGGAGAGCCATACAATCCTTCCGATAACACTGCAGGACCCCCCGTCTCTGCATGGTTTCTTTTCCGCTTTGCATACTCTGCCTAATTCAGGGTTCCGTATGTTTTGCTCGGAATGCTATCTGTGCTTCACTTGTGGTGATTTTGTCGGGTAATTGTACAGTAGTGTCTGGTCTAGAAGATGCTTTGAACACCGGAAGGATAGAGACGGAAGTGCAATAGAAGCATTAAATCTACTGCCTATTGTGATTATGGACTGGAGAGAGCTATAACGCCTTGTATCTTTGATTCGCTGGATTAGTCTCTGAAGAAGAAGTGTTGTTGCAGACTATCAGCTAGAGAATTCATACAACTCGAGCAAATCCCAATATTCTGAGTTTGGTGTGTCATCGATTGATCAGTTGTGAACACACAGAACAGATACCTATAGGATGAATCTTCAATCGCTAGGGTTGTTCAAAATTGAGAAATCTATTAACCAAAAGTCATCGACGGAGGACGTCTAGCAAATAGCCTGCATGTGGGCAAGGCACACAGGACCAGCTGACCTTTTCTTATCTCCTTTCTGCGCTGAAAACCTCGAGTGCGCCGACCATAGAATGACAGCTTCGTAACAAGCTTGAGGACCGTTACCTTGCTTGACGTTGTAAGGAGCTCTGGAAGCCGAAAGGGGTCTCTCGAGGCATGTGGCGGTGTATCCGGTGTCTTGTTGGAGCAAGGTTCATGCAAGGCGCGATGGCGGGGCTTTCTACCCCTTAACGCTCGAGGTACATGGTTCCCCTGGACAAAAGAAAGGATAACGACGCTGTCATGTGGATTGATCTAGTCACGTAGCCATAATAGAAAGGAACATGAAGGGATATCAATTGTTGTTGTAATGGCGGATGGTGGTAAAAAATAGAAAAAAATGAAGGATCACGGGGCGGGAAAAGCAGAGAACCTCCATCTCACAGCTGCCGGTACTAGAGGAAGGTGAAATACGCCAAAAGCCCGGTTAAGGCAGCCAGAGGGGGATTTGCAGTGGACAGGTGGTATGCAGCGCCTGAGTCTCCGCGTGACCCAGCCCGTGGTCATCGCGCTTGGGTCGCCGTGTGAAGACGACCAGCATATCGCGCAACGCCCGGTCGGACGGGTCGCATGCATTCAGCTGCGTGACACATCGCTTGTAGTGGTGGTCGGCGAAGATCAAGGTGTCGAGGAAGTCGCGATGCTGCACCCGCGCGCGGATCAGGGCCGGGTTCGTCTCCCACAGCGGCGCCCCCGTCGTCTCCAGGTTGTCGTGGAGGTAGGTGACCGCGCTGTCCGAGCGCATGTTGGATGACCCTAGAAACACAGTCATGGTGTGGTCCGACCCATCGGAGTGGACGCCTCCGGGCGCCGGCTCGCCCTGGACCCCCTGGCGATCGTCGGTGAATATGCGCACGTTCAGCATGGTGCACACCCACTGATGCGACGTATAGTCCAGCTTCTCGCGCGGCAGGATCGGAACCTTGTGGAAGACCAGCGCCTTGAACAGCATCAGCGCCTGGACGACCGTGTTCCCCTGCATCTCGAGCGGTGCCTCCTCGAACTCTCGTTGAACCCCCGGGTCGTAACGCTTGTAGGCCTCCTCTGTGCGCGGGCCGCAGGGCACCTTCTCGAGGCGCTGGATGCATCGCGTCTCGACGTCGAGGCAGTAGCGCGCGGAGGTTACGGTGCGGTATTCGAAGGTGGGATCGGGCCCGGTGGTGTCGCTGATCTTCTGGATGAGTTCAAAATCCTCGTCTCTTGCGCCGAGACCTTTGAGGATCGGCACCATCTCGTTGCTTTTGACGAAGATGATTCGTTCTTGGAGGTAGGTTTTACGCAGGGCCATGACCTTGGCGACGGTCTTGTAAAACTCCGCGTGGTACCGGCGTTGGAGCACATTGAGATTGTGCGGTGTCGAGCGCCCGGTGCTGCTAATTTGGCTTTGAGGCGGTAGAGCCATGGGCTCAGCAGGTATTGCGGTTCTTTGGGGCTCCTTGGTGAAGGTTAGAGAAAGGCCGTTGGGTGATCCTGCAGTTTCACATACGCCGGAAGCATTGATACTTATACTCTTTGATTACGACAGGTTCATTACTTCATCTCGCAGCTTTCAAGGCGACGGTTCATCTATGTTAATGACCACGTTGTCGTTGTCGCCAAGGCATTGACTGCAGCTCGGTCCGGAAATCAGGTTTATGTCAATGCTGCCTCCATCCCACAAATCTGCTTCTATGTTGTCTCGCACTTCTACAGAGCTGTACTCCTTGGGCCGCGCATGTGTATCAACAAACATAACGGTCCAACACAATGCAAGGGGCGGTGTTTAGTTCCAATCATTCATAAGGATTCCCCTTTTGCTTACCGTAGGTACGGTAGGCAGTATGTAGTATCTTCCGTCCTATCAGCACCGAACATCGTGCGCGAAGCAAAATTTATAACTATTTCCACTTTTTCACCTGTTCAAGCCCCTGTTTATCTCCGATTAAACATTCGGTAAACCTTTATCTTTGTTCCCTTAACTTTCAGTACCGGCGCATAAACCTAAGCCAAGGCAATCGCCCCCGGAATAGTTGAAGATATAGCCTTATTTACGAGGTGTCAAGAATTGATTCGCCTACGTGAGCCAATCATGATTTCACATCGGTCACAGTACCAGACCTCACTTGGTATCTTACTCCGGATAAATCCGTGCTTCCTGTACGCATCCCTGACAGGCCTGCTCGGTAGGTCAATCAGGGATGCGTATTCAGCTTGGATCTGATTGACGAAAGGATAGTGGCCGTGTAAACACGGCCCTTTGGGGCTCAGGTACAAGTTGCAAAAGCCTAGTCGCATTCCTCTTGTGCAGTTCTGAGTATAAGTCGGGATCTGTCTTCGGTATTGCTCGGCGAATTGTCTAGGTTGATCGGTCTGAGAAGAAGTGGTCAAACTTGACAAATCCCGGCGAGACAATGGCAGTTATTGAACCATCGAACGGATCGGGTGAATTACCCGGGGGCGGTGACTACAGCCAGCTAATCAGGATGCTGTGCTGTCATCCCGAGTGTGCAGAAGCAGCGGCCGACTAGGCCAAGCTGGGAAGACAAAGGGATCGTCCCAGAATAGATCACGGTCATGTATCATCATCTTTCCTGAGACAAAGTCTAATGATGTTGGGCCATGATCGCTTTGTAAGCTCTGACAAACTTGCCTCAGAATATCCACTTCAAGCTAAGACTTGCTGTGGTGAAAATGTGCTCAGACGAGGGACAGAACATCTCTCCTTCCCTAGACTACTCGGTTATGATGGTTGGAGACAGGATGGATGTCTCTTATTACCTATTCACAATTCGCGATACTGCAAACTTTAAATGCTAAAGATATCTGTCTCAATGTAGATACACAGACATCTTGTCTCACCATCGCCCTGGCAAAGAATCCTGGAGGTGAGACTACCACAATTAGAGGTACAGGAAATATCTTTGTCTATTAACCCAGTCCGACCCATAAGTTCGGGAGAAAGACTTGCTTGTCTTTCATTAGCTGGTTACAAAGAACCAAGACCTGTTCCTGTGTATGGTCAATGGCTCTAATCAAGCAGACAAGGAATTGCTTTCCACCAAAACGATGCATTATCGATGCCTGGGATATCACCCCCATGGGATTATTCTTTGCGTCCTGAATTGGCCCAACATGGGTTCAAAAAGCAGGATCCGAGTATGCTGCTCTGTTCCAGGTTCCTGCTAGTCTCGGAAAACTTCTTCTGTTTGTCCTCCTATCTCTTCAACTGCTCAATCCAAAATACCTTACCTAGCAGGTCTAAGAAGCCTATAAACAGTCGTTCTGGTTGGTTATACAATCGTATACCCAAAGCACAACTTTCCTCCTCTATTTCTCCATTACAGACAGCCCAATCCAAGTTCACCACTGAGGTTAATCATTTGTGCCTCCCAATTGCAAGAGTCCAAGCCGCCCGATTCTTCCTCTGTTCTTATTGCCACCCTGTTGCAATGGCAAGAAAGGCCGAATCCCCTGTCCGGCCGCCTGGCAGTCCCAGACCTGACGAGGCTGACAACCAGGCTAGTGGGTGCGATTCGACCAACAGTGAATTCATTCCTGCCGGGCGAGTGCGCGGCCCTGCCGACTTGAAATTAGACCTTCTTGGATTTGGTGAGCAACAGGCATGGGGTAAGTGGTATAACGGCTCATCAACCCGCCTCAACTGGCAGCTCAGCTGGCTGATTTGATCCCTCAGAGTCAGGTCATGTGTACTTCAACCCCCCACGCGATGGATGCCTCCGCCCAGTAGACTCTGGGCTTCGAGCCAGAGTAAGCGGTCTGGGCCATGTCGCATTCCGGGGCGCCCTAAAGGCGGCTTATCTTTGTTTCATGGTTAGGCTGCCTGAGAGTGTCATGGACACCGAATACCTGATTCGATTCGACAATTCCCCGGGCCCGGTGCTTCGGAACCGAAAGCCATCCGTCGTCGACCAATGCATCAATCTCTATATGCAACAGTCCTGGGCGGAACTTTTATCGCTACTAACCCTCCATTGCGAACCACTTTTTCTGTCGACGGCAGTCGCTCCCCCGCAAGATCTGGAGTCATACCTGATGCGTTCACGTCTTTGCTTCCAGTTGATCCCGCAGAGGAACGATACGGTCACATTCGAGCCCTGCCCCGTCCCACCGATGTTGGCGCGTGAAGAGGTTGACTGGGATGCAATGGAAGATGAGCTGCGGGATACTCCCGTCTTCCGACTCTCGGAGGTCGAGCGGTTCCGCGACGTCGAGCGCGGTAAAGTCTACGAAGTCGATATCCGTGGGGCGACATATGCCTACAAGATGACCCATGGGACCGAGTCCCTGCAGCGCGAGATTTCCATGCTACGGAAGATGGAGCAGTGCAGCGAAGGAGGACGCTCGCTCCGGGTGCCCGAGCTGGAAGGAATCATCGGCATCGGTACGCAGTATGCCGGTCTCCTGATGACTTACATCCCGTCGCCGGCTTCCCTGGCTGACCTTATGACGGCCGACATTGGCAGTGAGGTAGCCATCGCCGAGCGCCAGAAGTGGTATGATCTGATCGCCGACGCGGTGCATACACTTCATCGGAACGGGCTCGTTTGGGGGGATGTCAAAGCAGCGAATGTTGTGATCGACGGTGTCCATCGCGACGCGTGGCTCGTGGACTTCGAAGGGGGCACAACCCCGGGCTGGGTGGACGATAGCATATCAGGGACGGAGGCTGGGGACTTGCAAGGATTGAGCAAGATCCGCGCGCTCTTGGGGTTGGAGAGCACTAGGCCATCGCAAACGGGGAGCCGGCGAGGACTAGACCCGCCCTCACTTTTCTGTTCTCTTCTATGTCTGATACTTGTCCTTGTTCCTTTCCTCGCCTTCTCTTTCTTCCTCTTCCTGTTGCTTATTCTTTGTTCACCTTTCATTTATTAGGTTCCAATCTAAACACCGAAAGCTCATTTCTGGCCAATGAAGGTTCTTCGATACTTCTAGTCTCGATTGAGTGCCTTCTCGGTCGTAGGGTCGAAGCCTCGGCTGCTTCAAGACCGAAGTATCCATAGTTGTGATAACATATGATGAAACGCGGCTCACTACTGGAGGTAACTCTCCTCTACGAGAGCGTGCGCGAGAATCGGGTTGCATGATGAGTGTCTCGATATGATTGACTAGTTTATGAGGCACCATCGGAGCAGATATATCAATCCGAATCATCCATGTGGCAGCGTAGGAGGGAAAGAAGTTCATTGACAGGACTACCAAGGGAGATGGGCTGAATACAGATAGGCATCTAGTCGTTACTTTTGTGCACATCCACTACCTCCGATCCGAAGATCCCGAATCCACCCCCTCTTCCATCCGAGCACCCGACGGCTGAAGTTTGCAATCTCGGCGACTCGGATGCTTGCCTTAACGGCAAGGGTACATATGAGTGACAGTCTCCGCGAGACTCTTATCGTCTGATTTGAGGTCTTTCTGATTGTCAATCTACCTGCATGCCCTGGTCATCTGCGCACCCCTGTGCGTGCGGGGTCACGGTTGACCGGGTTGGTGCTGCCTTCGCTTGCTTGGCATCGGCATGAGCCAGGAAGCCATATATATAACCATGTGTATCTCAGGAACTCAGATTATGCTCTGAACTCCAGACCTTTCTCATCCCTTCATCCAATACAAACATCCACCACAGCCACAAACCAATAAGTCCAATTACACCAGTCTAAAATGCCCTCAGTTGACGCCCTACGCCCCGCACCACCCACAGTGGTAGGCCCTACCACCCAAAAGGCGACTCGTCCAAGCCACCCCCTTCCTCAATGGCTCATCGATGGCGCTCGTGTGGATAAGCAAGAGGTCTTCGACGCGAGACGAGACCTAAACTTCCAACCCCCGAGCGGCATCACCACCATGCGGGAGATCGGTCTCGAAGGCCACGGGATCTCTCCGGTGGCAGCCTCCGAACCATTTCCCCTCTTCACCCCCGAAGCCATCAGACAGATGCGGGCGGAGATCTTCAGTGAGCCCGTCCTGAAAGATTGTCAATACTCGTCGAGCTTCGCCAAGAATATGATCCGGGGCATGGGTCGAGAGTTCGTTTGACCGCGCCATTCCAAGTGTGGACAATGAGCTGTATCTCGCAGACTGACTGAATTTCCGGCAGACGTGCCCCCTTCACCTGCGATGCGTGGAGCTCACCCGAGCTGCAGCGCATTGTATCCCAGGTCGCTGGGGTGGACCTCGTGGTCGCGTTCGACTACGAGATCGCCAATATCAACATCTCTGTCAACGAGGATGCGTCGACTGTTGCCACGGTCAAGGAGAACCTGGATACCTCGGCCTTTGCATGGCACTACGACAGTTTCCCGTTCGTGTGCGTGACGATGCTGTCGGACTGCAGCGACATGGTCGGCGGCGAGACGGCTATCCGGACCCCAGCGGGCCAGATCAAGAAGATCCGTGGACCGGCGAGGGTATGTCGACACCATGCTACCCTATGTTTTCTTTGTTTCATTCCCTTGTTTGGTTCTTCTGTGTCTCTTCCTTTTTACTTTCCAGCTGATCGAGTCTCCCAGGGCACCGCAGTGGTAATGCAAGGCCGATATATCGAGCACCAGGCGCTGAAAGCGCTGGGCGGCCGCGAGCGGATCAGCATGGTGACGCCCTTCCGACCGCGGGATCCCTCCGTCCGCGACGAGCTGATCCTGACCGGATCCCGGGCCATCAGCAACTGGTCGGAGCTTTACCATGGTTTCACGGAGTATCGGTTGGAGCTGCTCGAGGAGCGCATTCGCTTGAAGTTGAAGGAGGAGCGAGGACGGGTGGATACCAAGTGTCCGTTCAATATTGCCGGCATGGCGGAGTTCTTGGCGGAGCAGAAGGACTTCCTGGAAGCGACGATTGCGGAGTTGACGGTGGTCGAAGAGATGGACTAGTGGTCAGGGTAGATTCTGTAAGATCTGGGTTAGGAGCTGCCCAAGAATGCCAGAGGAATGAGATACGGACCTGCCAATGATTTTGAAGAACAGAAACTTCTGCTTCTACCCGGTGGGAAGTTGCTGCTGTCGCGTCTCGTGCCAGTAGGTTAAGATTGTCGGGCACTCCCGAGCCCCGCTCGGGATCCTCGGCTTCCTCGGCCGTCAATCGCGCCGATAAGGTGAGATATGCGGGGTAAACACGTATGAGATTGTAGCTATACATTAAAATTCAATGTGGAATGAGCTATGTAAATACAGAGGAAGATCCCCTTCAAATAGGGAGAAATGTGGTTAAAATGTGAATCAAAGTGCCCGGGAGAACAGGAGCGAAAGTTAGAAAGCGATGAAGGTTCGATGATGACCATAGCTAGCGGTACAGCAACCTCCCTGCGTGTCACATGTCCATCAGTTTCTTGTTGCTCAATCCTGCGGCAACCACGGTACTTGATTAGAAGTATTGAGGAGGTTGTCGATAGATAAATATGCCTTGGAGTTGACCTGTGACTAGACAGATGTTCATCTTTGGGAACCCGACTGCCAAGCATGGTTCCGGTGGTGGCTGAAGACGGTTGACGTGGCAGCTGCAAATCGCTGGTCGGGACGAGCGATTGAGGTCAGTTCGTGTAGCTACTCATGGCAGCTTCAAGCCGATACGAGGTACTTTGATGCCTCTAGACGCTCTGCCCGCAAACAACCCGACCTCGAATACGAGAGATACTGAACCTAGACCCAATGACTCCCCTTGTGGCGGCCTTTGGCTATGTGCATTGAAGCTGCGTTTTCAGTCCACTTAATCCAGCAAGCATGCTGTCCTCGTAGTATATAGTCTCGTGCATTTCTTCTTGTGAGAAGACAGGAAACTACAAAAGTCGTTCCCGACTTTCTCCTTATCTTGCTTTCGTCCTATAGTCACCACAATGCAGCCTCTCGCTCTTCCAACAATTGCAGTAATGCTGCTCGCGACCGGTGCATATTCAAAGTGTCAGATGGCCGGCTTCAACGAATGCAACTGGTGGGGCAGCTCCCCATTCTGCGGGTCCAGCAAATCCGCCCCCGGCGACACCGACTCGGACGGCTGGCTCTTCGTCGCCTCGACAAGGACGAAGAATTGGGATGTGCTGTGCAGAGAGATCTCCGAGTCGTGTTGTCGGGACTACGGAGACGGGTGCCTGAGCGGGTACAAGCGATTGTGGTGTCATGATTCGGGTATGTCGGTCTTCTGTGGTTCTATTGCCTCAGGAGTGGACTAATTCCGAGCTGTAGAGAGTCTAATGGACGATAATGTCGGTGTGGAACTGTGATTATAGGTGTCATGGATTTTGGCAAAGGGAGTCTCGAGTCGGGCTTTTCGTCTTATGTTTGAGATGCTGGTCGTGGCTGCAGGAAATCGTTTATGTTTATGTGGGGGCCAGCTGCGGCTGACATGTCAGAGCTCTTGGCCCCCACAATAGGTCAAAATAGTGGTGAGGAAATTGGAAGTTTGGATTTGTTCTTCGATGTCGAACTTGTTGCATTTTTTGAGATCTTCAGTGTAGGGGAATCCAAGGACTAAGCGAAACTGAAGTTGTGGTGAGCTGAGCTAAGTAGTGTGAGTGGTTGGGACGGGACAAGTACATGGTTTGAGGAACCCGTCACCCTTTTGGCAATAATAGTGTCAACCTTAGGCCATGTCTGTGTAGTCTGTATACATATTAGCTCTGGAGCGACTGAAGATTTTCTCTTAATGCCAGCCGACAATCACGAAAACCGCAGGGCAAATGGCTCCGGAACCTGGAGGACAAGCGCGTATGCCGGAGGCAGCACCTGGCGGCGGCGGCGGGTCTCACCGCTTTCTGCTCCGAGTGTTGCTTCAGAAGATATTAACGTCGTACAGACTCTTGGAACTGAAAAGTGTACTAAACACTTGTTGGAAGGCCTAGGCGGTGGCAGAAAGACAACACCGCCCGGCGCGCCTGACCATCCTGGCAGTCAACCTACGCTACGCTCCTCCATACATAATTCTGTGGCAATACAGCCGACCCGTGGTGACTATGACTACAAGTGTTTCAGTACCCATCACGTGGTACTGATCCTGCGAGCTTAGCGCGAAAATCCCTCGATAACAACAGTGTCAGCCTCATCCACCATGACTTATCAATCAGTAATCACCTCCTGAGATCAAGTCATCCCCTATAGCGTCAGCACCACCATACCCATGGCACCAGCATCGACCCGAAAAACAAGGGCCAGCAACTCCAGGTCCCGCAAAGGATGCATAACATGCAAGTATGTAGCACACCCGAGTCGGACCCGCTGCACCAATACAACCCCTGACTCACGGCTTGATATGACAGGATCCGCCACGTCAAGTGTGGAGAAGAGAAGCCCGCGTGCAGCCAGTGCACACGCTCCGGGCGCAAATGCGACGGCTACACCGAAGCGTCACAGACGCAACTTCGCCAAGCCCTGCTTCAGTCCACGCCTTGGCGCCACGGCTTGAGCCCGACTTCGGATCAGAGGATTGTGCTCGTGCCAGGTACGCGGGAGGAGCGGCAATATGTGCAGTTCTTTTGCACGCAAACTGTGCCCGCGCTGTCGGGCTTCTTCCCGTCGCAGTTCTGGAACCAGTTCCTCCCGCAACTCAGTCACCGCAACCAGGCGGTCCGGCATGCCGTTGCCGCTGTGGGCGCGCTGCATCAGCGTCAACTGGCAGGCTGGTTTGAGCCTGCACATGCGACTGATGAGTTTACGTTGCAACAGTACAACAAAGCCATCCAACAATTTCTACGGCAGATCGGAGACCCGAAAGAGGGGGGCTTTGACTTGATGCTCATCCAATGCCTCTTGTTTGTCTGTCTCGAGATGCTCCAGGGAAATTCCAGGCAAGCGATGAATCACGTCCAAGGCGGCCTGGACATCCTCTCAAGGCAGACTACCGCGTTGGATACCATCAATAAAGACCTGTTCCAATTCTTCTGCCGACAGAACAATCAGTTGTCGTACTTTGGTCGACCGCTCATGCTAGCGCTAGACATACGGTCGCCCGACTCTTCCCCCCTCCGATCGAGTAAAAACCTCAGTTTCGACCATATAGACCAAGCGAGGGATTACCTGACGAGCATGATTACTCGGTGCTTGTCCTTTGTCCGTTTCGCCCAGCGTCACGTCCTGGCCAACCCACCGCAACCGCTCCATCCGGAACATTTCCATCAGCAAGGGGCCCTACTAGGCGAATGCCATGCATGGTTCCAGGCCTTTGAGACACTGCGGAAAAAGCCCGCCAAGGCCAGCGGGATCCTCGATCCGCGGGCGCCCTTGTCCATGGCATGTCAGTACCACACCGCGATCACGTGGCTGAGCACCTGTACTTCTCTAGATGAGATGTTCTTGGACAAGTTCATCCCGAACTTCTTGGCTATTGTGTGTGCGGGTGAGGAGTTGGTGGAATTTTGTGTTGGAGACGAACGCAGCTCGGCCGCGGAGCAGTTTTTCCTCGACGCTGAGCTGATACCTGTGCTATATTGGACGGCCCAGCGGTGTCGACACCCGATTCTGCGGCGCCGGGCGCTTGATCTGTTATCGAAATATCCAGCTCGGGAAGGCTTGTGGGACAAAGGGCTGCATGTGGCGGTCGCGAGTCGGGTCATGGAATTGGAGGAGACGGGGCTCGCACATCTGCCCGTCGCGCAGCGGACTCCGCTGGCACGTCAGCGCATACACGATTCGTCGATAGTAAGTGAACGGGAGTCACGGGCGAATCCGTGCCTGGTGCTTTTTCGCTCTAAGCCTCATGGCCTGGACGGGCCTTGGGAGCTTCGATGGGAGAATGTGGGCTGGTGATGCGAGACAAGGCGTTCTCTCGAAGGATCAACCTTGTCTAAATAGATCTACCTACACGACATTTGCAGGGGTTGTCGGAAAATTTTGTCCACATGTTTCATGCTGTCGTGGCCCCCACCGGGGTGATGGGATTACGATGTGACCAATCAGACTTCATTGCGATATAAGGATCGCACTAAAGATAAGCCACGCCGTACATTTACGAGCCGTTCAATCACAGACAGCAATTGCCTGGTCCTAGTGCTTGGCGTGCGGCTGTGGATAAGATTAGAGATCCGAGGGCTGTCGATCTTTCCGAGAGCCGCCCCATGTATACTCCGTATCTTCGCTGCCTGATCCTTGATCCTTCAATCATAGCTAGACTAGAAGGCTGTGTAGGATGTGATGTTGTGATTGGTCTATGCGTCAACTTTATGCTGATGCCTTCACCATCAATTAAGAGCTTATGTTATAGCCTCGCAGTGTATCCCTCATATATAAATGGTCGAGTTGTCGAATCTGTGAACAAACAGTAGATCTTACACTTTGATTCATAGCCGAGGACCTGCTTTACTATTCTCTACCACATCAAATTGCATCGGCCCAGCACCTCACGATGACATCTACCGAGGATAATGACCTTTACATAGGCTGCAAAGCCTATGTTGAGGGTGTCAGTACCTCGTACGGCTACATCCCCTCCGAAGGCGCCGGAATTGCGTTCTGTGTCCTCTTCGGCTTATCCATGATCGTCCACATTGCCCAGTTCTGCTGGAAGCGAACATGGTGGTGCAGTCTGTTCAGCATCGGATGCATGGGTATGGATGCCACCGAAATTCCAAATCGCAAGGAAACTCAGCTAACACCACAGCAGTGGAAGTCCTCGGTTGGGCCGGGCGGACGTGGGCGTCCCAATGTCCCTACAACTCCACCGCATTCATGCTCCAGATCTCAACCCTGATCATCGGTGAGACCTACCTTTCCCCATCTCCACACACGAATAAGTACCCACGCTAACACCCCAAAGCACCGACCTTCTTCACCGCCGCAATCTACGTCCTGCTCGGCCGACTCATCCAACTCTTCGGTCGCGAATCCTCAATCCTGTCCCCGAAACTATACCTCTGGATCTTCTGCACCTGCGACGTCATCTCACTCGTGGTCCAAGCCGTAGGCGGCGCGCTGGCCTCCACGGAATCCAACGATGTCAACGGCAACACTGCCCCGGGCACCAACACCATGGTCGCCGGTATCGTGTTCCAGCTGGTCTCCGTCACGGTCTTTGTCTTCTGTGCGGTGGACTTCTTCCGCCGCTCCCTGCGTCTCGGGTACTTGCAGGGTCTCCTCCACGGCCCGCTCGCCTACCTCGTGGGCGCCATGGTGCTCTCCGTGGTCTGCATCTATATCCGGAGTATCTATCGGACTATCGAGCTGGCGCAGGGCTGGACGGGTTACTTGATCACGCATGAGTCTTACTTCGTTGGGCTGGACGGTGTGATGATGGTGATTGCGGTCGGGGTTTTCAACGTGTTCCATCCCGGGTGGCTGCTGCCGGCGGATCATGTGCTCGCCAAGAACCAGACCTGTCTGGAGTCGGGGGAGATTGAGACGCATCAGTTGCAGTCGACGACGGAGTACACGGGATATGGGCATCAGTGAGCGGAAGGATGGCGGTCTTGTTTGCATTTTGTTTTTGTGTTGGGCTGGTAGCTGTATTGTCGTAATATGATGAGAAAGGGCCCAGGGAAACAATCTGTTTATCGTCTTCGTCAAGGATAGATCTTGTGTGAATATGACACGATTCCTTCGAGCATCTGCTCTCTTTTGTAAGCTGGGTGGTGCTATGGTCGCGGAATTGCTAGTGGTAGGTACTACATATGACCGGCTTGTGGTAATGACTTTGTAGTGCAGCAAATACCTATCATTAAACCTGCCTGCACCCCTTCTGAGCCCAGAATTGCTTGTTGGACCTGCGCAGCAGCTTGCGGAATGATAGAATATATAACCACACTCCAAAACAGGCTGTCTGGGCCTAAGCTGCTTTTTTACATAGAGAGGTTGTAAAGAAAAGAATAGTTTAGAGCTTGATATTCGTTATAGATAATATGCGGCTTGCTAGCAACAGTGTTAGACCAAAATACTACGGCCTTAGTGGCTGAGTAGCTATGATATGATCGAAGCTATTCGGGCATACTTAGGGCCTCACGTCACGTGACACCAGCGACCGCTGGTCCCCACTTGCATTTTAGGCGGTGAGCAAAATGACCAGCAGTCGGTGGACTACGGAAGACCATTGATTTTAGGGCTCTTGGGGGGCGAAGGTATTGTTATCAGGGTTCTAAATTGTGGCCTACCTTTTATCATTCTTTCAATTAGGGTGTAGGGATTATAGTATAGGTCTCTCATCTTCTGCATACAATTTTGCCGGCAGATGTGGCCACAATGGTCTTCCGTATTTGTCCCCGCATATGATCCCGGAGGCGGCGGCTGGTCTCCACGTGTAGGCGGGGCGAACCTTATCAGATGTCTTATCGCGGAACTATGCAGACCGCAGGCCCTTCAATGGCAAGAACCTACGTTGGCTGGGTCAGAGGTGACAACAAACAATCTCGCAGTTAGGGGGTTTTATCCGGAAGGAATAACAGTGAGAATCATTAGAGATCTTGTTCCGTCAGGATTCTCTGCTGATCTGACCTAGTATCACGCTTTTTGCCATTGTCCCTATTCCGCCTCCAGACTTGACATCGCTCTGAAATCCACTTTTGCGCTCTCGATGCTCTTTTCATGCCTATGCATTACAGTACGATTGGCCACACCACGCTTTGAGTTCTCCATCACAATGAATCCAATTGCACACGAATCTATTCGTTTCAGCCTCTTGCCTATGTCTGACGCAATGCTGCTGACTACACTGCCCACGTGACCGAAGCCCTTAGGTTAATTTCGCACACTATTCATTTCCTTAACCGCACCCATGAAGGTTCATGGGTCGCTCCAGACAACCGTCCGGAACAACATAATCGCCTAAGTCTTGCTTTTTCTCGTGCCCACGCGTATATCCATTGCTATCGTCGCGGTCCGGCCTCCGAAATTGTCTTGCACGCTGCATATGTCTTCATGCACTCTGGCTTGCGTGTTCTTCTCATCACCCCATCACCTTACCCACCAAAAAGCCTAAGCATCAATGAAGACCACCGGGACGATGCGGAAGGACTCGATACATCCAAACTCTCTCCCACGTGACTCATCGCGTCATTAAATAGCGCGTCGCGAACCCAAACACGACGCTCCCTTAACACACATCTCATCTCTCTTGAATCATCAAGCCGTCCGCATCATCCTAAAGACCTACGCACAGAATCCTTCCCCGTTATCCTTTCAGTCAATCGGCGGATCACATACACAATGCCAAGGACTCGTGCTCAAAAGCGACCGCGTATCAACATCGCCGGTGACGCGTGCAATCGCGATGTTTCTCCCGCGAATTGCCCCGGCCCATCTGACGCGACTCCGATAAAGGACAGAGCTCCCACACCCGAGTCTCAAGGCAGAGCTGCTGTGCAGGAAGTACATGTGCCGGCCGAGCAAGCGATACCTGCGTTACTTGAGATCTGGGCGGATCGTTATCCCAACAGCGATCATGGACCTCCGCTAATGCGGGAGATCACCAGATACATCGATGAAGTCATTGATCGGGGCAGAGATCCTGATCCGCAGATCCATGAGCGCATCAAAAAATCGATGTGGAGACTTGGGTCCAGGGTCTCTTTTGCTCGATATCCCGAGATGGTCTCCAATATACTTGCAGTCAAGCTCCCTGACATGCACCATCTTGACACGGAGCGCATGGTCGCCACTGTGGCGAGATATATCATGAGCCTCATGGATTCGATTCTCTCGCAATGTGGCCCGCTGGCGAGCGAGGTTGCGAAATTGGACGGTCTTCAGAGCCTGATACAGATTGGTTTGGCTCTGACCTCCATAGACGCAGGGCCCTCTCGTGATTCCTGGATCGAGTTCTACTACTCAGAAGTATTTTTCATTCTAAGCTCCTCGATGCACATGATCATCGCTGGCATGCAAATTGGAGAGCCAGCGGTCTTGGCCTATTGTGGCGAAGTCTTAGTACTACAGGTAGAGAAACTGCACAGGGAAATTCAAAAGGTGTACGGTGCTTGGGGAAGCTCGTTGGATGAAGTTTTGCGCCTGCTAAGGAGTCATCTGGACAGTTCTGTACGACGGCCCTTCTACCTTTGACAGTGAAGCCCCCTTTCCCCGCCCCTGGAGCGACGATGCTTCCCCTGAAACAGAGAAGCTGGTCTAGGCATCCTGCTTTGGTCGGAAGCTTGGCAATCGGATTGGGAATCCTTCTTACCAAATGTGCCAACCTGGAAGTGATCTAGTGACGGAAGTTGGCCAAAAGCCTTGCGTTGTATCTCAATCGATGTTTCCTGTATCTGCTTGGTTCCCTTTCTCTTTGTATTTTCTTATCTTTCTTTGTCTTTCTATGCTTTTGAATTGAGGTTTTGGAAACAGAAAGGTTTGTCGCGACGCGGTATAGTTTAAATTTGACGAGGCTCAGAATGTTACTTTATCTCTCGGGTAACTTGTATTTGGGATTGTCTGCGTTGAAGGTCATCAACATCCCTCTATATCTCAGCTCTCGTATCGATAAGTAAGAAACAGGCTAGTGATTCGCATCTATAGCAGCCTTAATGTCAACTGAACTATCAAAGAGTATAGAATTGAATCCGCGTCGTAGGTTGCCGATGAGGTGTGCCTCTAGATCAGGGCAGCAATTCTTTTCCCTGCGTGTTCATATGAACCGTATACTGTGCGGGACAAGCGATCAAGGCTTCCTATTATGAAAGCTAACAGAACCGCATCACGGTAAGTACCACAAAAGGTACATGGTGAGGGGCAGAATCAAGGAGGACGTCAAGGCAAGACGGAAGGGGAAGGGCAAATCGTCTGGAAAGGCAAGCTCCGGATGACAGACCAGTAGCTAGCACTCTGTGCGCGTTGCCATACACGAACGTCAGCGCTACCAACCTGAGTTACAATGCCTTGTCTTATTGTCATTCTCTTTTTCTCGCTTGGTCGAAGCAGACACGAGTAGATATCATTTCTTGGGGCAAAGAAAAATTAGGCCCCCCCTCCTGGCTAGTGTACTGTACAGTATACCATGAAATATGGCAGCTTTCTCGTATCGGATACTTCCTACGCACTAGATTGATGTCACGTAGTCATCATTTTCGTAGTTTAGCTTCGCTTGGTCGATCAATTGATTAATCTACAGAACATGGACAACAATTTGATACATCAACTCCATCAACCGCACGTGATCTGTGACAGGAACTAGCGTGCCGTGATACATAAACAACAAAGACCCCACGCAACACTCTTCCTCGTGATTTCCCCCTAAATCAAGATCAATTACTCCTTTTCTCTTCTTACTGCAAGTCCACCAGAGCAAGACACGCCACTCACACTAGAAACCCCCCTAGTCACTTGCGCCATGTCCGATTCTCACGCTTCCAAACGGTCGCGCACCGACCTCGACGGCACCGCTGTGATTCGCTCGGTCGAGCCCGACGACCGGAACGCAAACGGCACTGCTTCACCCCACCCAGGTGCCGTGCGTCCTTAACATCCTGCATCCGACCCGCGGCCGCGCTCCTGCTCCCCAATGCCAGAGCTAGCCGAGTACATCCGCCAGACCATCGACGAGGGCGGCCGCGTGAAGCCCAGGGTGCATGCGCAGGTCAAGCGGGCACTCCGGGAGCTCGATCGGCCGTACTCGTTCGACGGGTACAGCGAGCTGGTCGCCAAGAAACTCGAGATTGTCCACCGCCGCTTGAACCGGTGGGACAGGGAAACGGTGTTCATGGAGATCTACGCTTATCTCGAGGGCGTCATGGAGGTGCGCGTCGCCAAGTGCGCTCTGCTGGCGGATGACCAGATGCGCTACGACGGGTTATCCGTGGTTCTGCGCATCGGCCGCATGCTTGTGGCGGTGGACGAAAAGCCCGGCGACGTCCTGCATGGTATCACAGAGGCCGTCGCCGGTGTGCTTCGGCGCGCGATGCTGATTATCCTGGCCGGTTTGTACGTCTTTCCCCTGGAGGATCCCGAGTCGTCCTGGGAGAAGCTGTACGAGGAGGTCAAGGATCTGGACGAGGCGCTCGTCCGCAAGCTGCATCGGAATTACGGCCTGCACCGGGTACTGCAACATCTCGAAAGGACTTTTACGTGGATTAAGCATCCGCTTAGTCCTTAAGTCGCCGTCTGCGGACATTTGGAGAATTTTCTGGGAGGCTTGACGCGCCCCGGAACCAAGTCCCCGATACCTTATTGGGAATTTGCCGCTTTTGACACCCGCATTCCATCCCGCATCTCGTCGAGTGTTTGCGCGGACAAACAGTGACGCAGGCAACGACTGGGCTGTGTGCATCTGTTCTGGAAATTAGATGGAATGATCTCAACGGACATCACTGGAACGAGCCACGGGATTGTCTTTATCTTAGCATAGTAGTGAAAGGGTGGATGGAAAGTATGGTGTGGAGAGGGCATCATCTTCGTTAATTGCGTTTCTTGGAGCATCGGTAACGCCAAGCGGACACAAGGTGGTCGGGAAAGAAATGGAGCGGACGAGAAATTGTCGTGATGACGCTGAGGAAGTGAGGATAACATAGAAAACAGGAAAGCTGTTCTGAGGCGCGTCATGCATACTATTGCCGCTTACTAAATGCCATTGAATGCTAAATCAAATTGAATTACAACTGCTGATGAGAGTTAAGATGCTGTGGTGCTATCAGATACAAGTGCAGACATTTGCTTGCAATATGTGGCACAGAGGCGTACACTCAGACATGAAGAAATCAGAGAAGAACATATGAGAATACAGGTCGGTGCAGAAAACAGCCACAAGCATAATCGAAAGAGACTGAAAACAAATGGGAGTCATGGCAATCAATGCCACAGTAGATCTCGTACCACCTCGTAGCACCAGTGCACGAAATCTGCATGCAAGTGCCCGATCGACTTCTGGGATATGAACAGAAACTACAGGTTTTTGTTCAACACTTTGCGGCAGGAATTCTCCCCATTCAAATACGCCCACCCGGTCACATAGTGATAAGCCCGAACCTCCATTTCTTCTTCATCCGCTACTTCCTCATCCCAAATTGGAAAGTCCGCGAACCCCATCTCCGCCCCTTGGAGGTCATGCATGTGTACGTGTGGGTCCTTTTTATGGTATTCCCGAGATTCAGTCACCTTCTCGCGGAGAATATCAAGTATCGGCGCCCACCACCCGTCAATAAGCACGATGCGTAGCAGGAAGAGTGCCTCCAAATGGGGTCCAAGCGCCTCGCACCACTGCGCAAGCTCGTTTTCAGTCAGCGAGGTATCGGTCATTTGGAAAACTCTAAGGCGCTTCCACTGGATTCCTTCTAGAAGCGGGCTCACACTCAGCTCATCCCCTTCGAACCGACCTGGAACCTCCCCATCCCCATTCAAGGAGACGAAAACCTGTTCAAGCTCAGACCCCGTGAACATAGCCTTCAAATATTCCTTGAAGTGAGAAGTAGTGTTGGCCGCCGGTGGTGATGGTGGCACGCTCATATCCTCGTCAACATCCATGGGCTGATTCAAGGTAACTATTTGGAGGTTCTGGAATGTCGTTCGTATGTCAGCCCACAGCCTCTGATCCGAGAATCGAGATATGGGACCCTGAACTGGCATCATGGCAAACCTGTCTCCGGACGGAAAGCAGCCAACGTGTAAATTACGAATCATCTTCCCAGCCCGCTGAATAGCGATTGGTAGTTCGAAGAGAATCTTGGCGGGAACCAGAGGGTTACAAAGATGAAGCTTGACCTCATCCCACCTGAGAGGATGACATAGAGCCTCCAGGAATCGATAGCGGTCCAGCAAAGCATACCGGTGAGGAACTGGTGACTCCGCTGCGTCGCAAAACCCCACGGACTCTGCTCGTGGCATTCGAGCAAAGCACGCTGCTAAAGAGGAGACAAACGACCCCGACCTGACAAGCTGCACCTGAAGGGAGCGTTTCCTGATATTCTCCTTCTGGGCTTGGCGGAAAGTGGCGCGTAGCTCTCTGACAAGTGATTTATCAATCGTAATTTTATCGTTTTTCTTGGTGAATATGTAGGGCTTCATCGCGAGTGACATGTGGTAAAAGTTAACCTCGACAAGTCCGAGTGCGGTAGGTGGTGCCAGTAGCTGTGCGTCCAGGGTGTGGGAAGACTGTGCAGAATCCAAGTGTTTCACATTCATCTTCCAGGCTTCGAGTTCGCTTGCCAGTATGTTGTGATGATGTCTCGCAAATGATTCACAATCTGTCTCGTGATCTTTGACCCGAAAGGCGAGGCCGACTTTGATGCCCAGAATTCCTTTCGCCACGTGTGGACATCGCGACAAATGGACGGCTCTCTCAAGGGACTCCTGGTCAAGATTGACAAATAGGATCGGGCATAGTAGCGGCGACGCTAAATCATTGAACACATGACAAACCAGGCGGATGTCCGATATTGTTTTGCGGTATATCTGGGCCTGGACTGGATGCAAATTCCGACCGATATAGCCCGGTATATCTTGATTCCACCAGATAATCTTGTTTTTGTTCACTCTGACGTCTTGGAATAGCTCGAGTATCTGAAGGAGCAAGTCATCCGGGAGGTCGAGTATAGTGAGGGGTCTCATCGACGGGCGGGCGAGTTCCATCGCTCGAGTTCGTAAGGCTAGGCGGTAAGGTTCGAGCTTGAGGAGGATAGAACACTCAGTGCATGGCTCTCTTTCATATCTTTCGTGCTTTGTGATACCGACCGAGTCATGGTCGTCTTCCGAGTCAACTTCGGGGGTGCTTGCTCCATAGTCAGCGCCCGCTTCCGAGGCGTCTCGTGCTGTACTTTCTTCGGCTTCATGATTATCGTCTGCGAAGGGGTGCTGATGGTTCCGCCCGGGTGCATCTTCTCTATCGCAGTCACCAAGTTCAACACTTTGGCAGCGATCTCCTTCTTCTGGTTCTTCGATCTCGCAGCTCTTTTCTGAGCTCGTCGCCCTGTCTGGAAATACTCGTTCTTTTTCATTGTCTGCATCGTCTTCTAGGTCGGATGGATCGGTCTTGTCGTCATCAGTAGTGCAAATGTCTGAGTCCTCGTTGGGAGGATAGCTCTCTTCGTCTTCTGCGTTCCTTTCCTCCATCCACTGTGTAGCCCGGATATCTTGCTCTAAATCATCGATCTCACCCAGCCGCAAATATATTTCATCGAACGTAAGTGTTATAGGTGAATCGATGTCAAACATGCGATCGAGCTGATTGAGCAGGATTTCTCCGCGCTGCACAGTGATGTGGTAGCAGCATAGCATGATGACGGTTAAAGGTCGAGGTGAGGCAAGCTCGGGAGAAGTTGTACAGAATGAGAATTGACTCTGAGATGAGTGGGATCTGACGACAGGGTAAAGGTTTGCCAGGATCTGTCGGGCTTAGCGAGCCTTAGACGGTGAAAATGGACGCGAAAGAGTGAGGGGAGGGAAGGATAAAGAGACACGGGTGAAGAGACGAGTGAGGAGACGGGGATGATGAGGAGGGTGAGGAGACGGGTGAGGAGACGGGTGAAGAGACGGGTGATGAGGAGGGTGATGAGAAGGATGATGAGAAGGATGAAGAGAAGGGAGGAAATTCGTGGAGAGGGGGGATATGATGAGGAGAAGGTCGCGTTGTGAATGTGAACAAGATGAGATTCCCGGTCAACACGAACAAACAGCTAAATCACCTGACTCGGACTTCGAGCTACACCACCACTTCTTGGTGAGGCAAAGTCTTGGTGCGGTGTTTAAGATTCTAGATGCAGTTGAGGATAGGGATATATGGCGAAGCTGCTCTCAGTGATCAAGGCTTTGATGGCTCGAATAATTCCACTTTACCACAAAAAGGCTGCTCCGGTACCTTGATATCAAAAGTGACAGTGAAATGTGTTCCCACTCTAGGATGTAGGGACGAGGTGGACTACTTAATGGCAATTTTCCCAACTTTGAAAGCGATAGAGATCGAGTTTCAGCCAATAAAATGTCGATTGACCACCATGCATCATCAAAGTCACCTCAGTATGAAGGCGCCCAGTGGTCATCCTTCACTAGACTCAGATGCATATTGCTTTCAACCAGAGTGGAAGACACAATCTACATCTACCCAACCTCTCTTCTAGAACCCTCTAGAGGTGTGAATAAGAAAAGGGCCTTTCTGTAGGCAATATGATATTTGTATCACTGCCTCAAGTGCCGACATCATCACTCTGCTGAACATCAGGATGCTCCTTCGCAGCCAGTTCAAGAAAAGTCCTATATCCATAGAGCCACCTCTCATCCATTTCATTCCTCTCAAGTACTCTTTGACCAATTTAAACAGGTCTTCCCATTTGATTGCTTGACTGCGACCGAATTATCGGAGTAGACCCGGCACGTGATGCAAGGGGACGCGCCTCGCCTAAAGGTACTGTACCGTTTGCAACAGCAGCAAACTACCAGAACTGCGTCGCGATCATCTGTCACACGTCATCTCCGTTCAAATGCACAGTCCAGCAGCTGGTAAGAATCTCTGACAGAGGCTACCTCACACGAACTCTGGATACTCCTCAGCTGTCCACACCTTCCACACAAGTCTTTCCCCGCTGACTGTGCCGGTTCTCATCACATCCAACGCGGTGCTAGCCCTCTGCAAAAGCGAAGCACCCTCGATCTCTCGATACTTGTTGGGATCAAGGCTACCCGACGCGAGGAGAGCAGGTATAATATCAGGCAGGAGATGATCCTTCAGGAATGGATTCTGCTCGAAGATTAGTTTTGGAATGCGAACAGGTAAGTGCGAACCATACCGTCTCGAATGTATAGCTGACAATACTATGAACCTCGAGTCCAGGCGCCCACGATACTTCTCCTTCGACATTAGCGGAAAGCTGCACACCGGCTGGGTCTGAAGGCGACCGAAGCACGACAGGAAGAACAGCTGCGATAATGGAGCCAGGAAGGGAGGCAATCTTGGCGACATGCTGCAGTGACCCAGACTTGGAGCTCACACAATCGAAGGCGCGGATCGGTGCTGAGAGCTTGCTCTTCTTCACGACCTCCAGAATAGAGTCGACGACATTAGACTCGCGATAGTCAATAACGTGCTGGGCACCATATAGCCTGAGCTTCTCGTGGTGCTGCGGCGACGCGGTGGTGATGACATTCTTATAACCCCAGTGATGGAGGAGCTGGATGGCGTACTGGCCGACCGAACTGCCTCCTCCCCAGATAATGATCGGACTCTCTGGATCTTTTGGTGAGAATCCCGAGGGGCGCGGCCAGGGGAGCTCGAGGTTCAATTTCTCTGTCAAAGTGAGGTAGGCGGTACAAACATTAGTTGGCACCGTAGCGGCCGCGGGCATAGCTATGCCAGAGGGAACCTGGATTTTGCGTCAGATGTGGATAAAGGAGACCCACAGTGAACGGGAATAATCACACCTTTCCGAACAGATGCTCTGGTGCCGTAACATACACCTGCTGCCCCTTCTCCTTCTCGTTGTGGAAGAAAAAACCGAAGACCTGATCCCCAGCCTGTAGGCATTTGACCCCAGGGCCAGCTGCCACTACAGTGCCGACACCACTGTCGCCCAGGCTTTGAGGGAACTGAGCCATCAAGCCCGCATCGACTTGGTAAACATCCAAAGGGGCAGAAACCACCCATTCAATGCGGACCCGGATTTCATTTTGTTGAAGCTCAGGCGTTGGGACTCGCTGAATGGTTAGCGGTTCTTTGACATTAGTCGCAATGACGGCAGGGTGAGATGCCATGGTGCATGCAATGTTCAATTGAATATATCAAGAGCTGATGGGTAGGATTAGGAACACTGATAGGATTGTGACCTTATATACAACTTTCAGACCATTGTTCTTTGAAAACTGCTTCGATGTATTCAGTTTTATTCAAACGCCCCACCCGAGATAAGTTACAAAATAAGTGTGGAACATCATCGATCCAGTTGAACCTTAACAGCTATCTCCGGCCCACTGAAGGTACGGGAGGCCGATGGGGATTATTCGGATTACAAATCACCTCAAGCTGGGGTTGATTAACCTTGTGGGTGGCGAAAGTGTTAAAGTTGACCTCCCATTCTCTCCCGTCACCAATCATCGTGTTGGAGTAAGCATCTGCATCTCATAATTCCTGAACGGAGTCGTCGTCTTTGACCATTCTTAACACCGGCGACTTAGACTCCAGCTGTGAGCGATCGGACGATAATTTCCACATTTATTGAAGCCTTGGCAATGATGAATGCAGAATCCGTGATCAAGCGTCGGCATCAGGTGCGATATGCGACCACGGCTGATGCACCCGAGGACGATTTGCTAGGGGTCACCGATCCGGTCCTGCGGCGACGCGTACAGAATCGTCTGAATCAAAGAGCCTACCGTGAGGCCTCCCAGCAATTCTCTTATCACCCCCGCTGCTGACAAAGGTTGATGGTTTACGTTCAAGGTCAGCGTCAAAAACCGCGCAGCACGGAGGACAGACTGCCTTCGAAACGCAAAACAATTCAAGCCGCTGCCGGTGATGATCAATCCCGAGCTCTGACATTGCCTCACCGATCCAGCGACCACAACTCTATTTTCTATAATCTCCCCGAGGTGGATCCCACGCGATACACATACGCCCCTCCCAATTTCCACACCCTGATGGTTGAATTTGAGAAACGCGCCCGAGCTGCCCACGCTATGGGTTCACCTCGGACAGACCTCCTCCTTAGTTTGAGTCGGCTTAACGTAATTCGCGCAGCGTACCAGAACGCGGTCATCGCCGGCATGACTGTTGACTGGATGTGTCGCGACGACGCGGTTTCAATTTTCTGCATGAATGGCCCTCACTCACCGCAGTGTACCTTGAGCGCGATCCCGGAGCGGCTGCGGCCGACCCCCGTGCAGCGAACAGTGCCGCATCACCCTTGGCTCGACATCTTCCCCTTCGAGCAAATGCGGGATAACCTGATCCGCGCGGGGGATTTGCTGGATGGTCATGGGTTCTGTCATGATCTAACCGCTTTCTGGGATACGCGGAGCAGCAGCGCAACCTTACTTGTCTGGGGGGATCCGTGGGATCCATCGAATTGGGAGGTCACGGAGGAGTTTGCGAGGAAGTGGGGGTACTTTCTTCGCGGATGTCCGGACATTCTTGTTTCGACGAATAACTGGAGAGCTCGCAGGGGTGAAAAGCCACTCGCTTGGCGGACGGTGTTTGGTGATTATCTGGGGTAGGGGGACTATCTGAAAGTTATGGTTCCATCCAGCGACGGATAACCGTCTCGTGGATAGTCGGTGCTCTGCATCTCCGGATGGATAACTAATGGCTGCATACTTACATGGCCAATTGATGGTCAGAAAGACGTGGTTTTGTTTCTGACATCATCAACTATCTGCTCTGTCAACTCATTTGCCAGGGTGTACCTTCGCTCAGACCCACTCTAAAATCCGATGCTTACAGATTGAGTATCATTGGCCCGACAGACCCACTCTTTTACAGTGGGGCGGATCCACGATCCATCATGATGCAGCGCAAGTATACCTTATTTCACCGCTAATCTTCGTGACCTACTCCGACGTTGTGAGTATATCATGTGCCATGCTGGCAATACCATGCCAGCAATGGACTAATTTCCGCTGTCTAGGTTCTATCATCGAGTCATCCTTATCATGGCATACCAAAAAGCAGTCATCATCACCGCACCGCAACATGCACAACTGGTCCACGACCGGCCCATCCCCAAGTTGCGGGATGACTGCATCCTAGTCAAAACCATCAGTATCGCCCTGAACCCCACCGACTGGAAACATATCGACTACCTCGCCAGCCCCGGGGTACTTGTCGGCTGCGACTATGCCGGCATCGCGGAGGACGTTGGCAAAGCTGTCAAGAAACCATTTGTCAAAGGCGACCGCATTTGTGGATTCGTGCACGGATCGAATGCCGTGCAGCCAGAGGATGGGGCGTTCGCGGAATACATCGTCGTCAAGGGGGATCTCCAGTACAGGATCCCTCAGAGCATGTCTTTCGAAGAGGCGGCAACATTAGGCCTAGGAGCTACCACTGCCGCCCTGGGCCTCTACCAGAGCCTTCGCCTTTCACTACCCACGTCTCCAGCGCTTGAGAAGATCCCGGTGTTGGTGTACGGAGGATCAACAGCGACCGGGACCTTGGCGATCCAGCTTGCCAAGCTATCGGGGTATACTGTTCTGACTACATGTTCTCCTCGCCACGCCGATCGAGTGAAGTCCCTCGGTGCGGACGCGGTTTTCGACTACAACGATCCCGATGCCGCCAACGCAATCAGAAAGTATACCAACGACAGTCTTACTCTGGCTTTCGATACCGTGTCCGTCGAAAGCAGTGCCAGATTCTGCGACATGGCTCTTTCCTCGCAAGGGGGAGAGTATAGCTCCCTGCTACCGATCGCAATTGAACGGGAGAATGTACGCGATCGAGCCACGATGGCCTACACTGCATTCGGCGAGAGGTTTGTTTTTGGGTCCAAGGAGATTCCTGCGCGACCTGTCGATAGAGAATTCGCGGAAGCTTTTACGGCTATCTTCGAGGAGTTGCTGGCGAGCGGCAGGATCAAGCCCCATCCGGTTCGCGTTGGCGATGGCGGGCTAGATGGTGTTTTGGACGGGCTGCAGCTGTTGAGGGAGGGAAAGATTAGTGGCGAGAAGCTTGTCTACAATCTCACAAGAGCCTGATTCTGGCTTCATGAAAATACCCAGTATTATATGTCAAAGTCTTTAATCCTCAGCACTAATTAAAACGAATCTTCATGGTGTATTCAAATCGACGACCAACCCTTGCTCTGCCCGTAGGGTTATAAATAGGCCGTATTTGCTCTATTGCCTGACTTTCTGGTGTCTATATTCGGCTGTGATGTGGGATTGAACCTGTCTGATCAGAGCTATAGTCTTTGGGTGCGTTGCACATATATACCGCTTTGCGATCGAAATACGGAAGGGACGGACCAAACTATGTAGGAAGTGACGGAAATCGAAAAATAAGCTACCAGGATGTTGAAATAGACTGGGTTGACATCCGGCACACTTTTGGTTTCACCTGAAGTCGACATGACGACTTGCACGGGTTATTATTTCGCAACCTTAGTCTTCGAGGCTAGTTACCTTAAGCTCAGTGCGAACCCGATCGTAGTAGTAGTGCGTGGAGTATGTCGGGAGGGACGCAGCGAATCAGAGCCGAGATGTAAGCATTTCCGTGGCTGGAATTTCCGACACATCGGGACCGGAGGCTAATGACTGGACAATGGTGAAGTGAAATCATATTGCAATGCCAATTTTTGGGGGTCATTTTGTGAGTGGAACCCTGAGAGAGACTAGCGGATGATAATTCTTTACCCTTTAGAGTTTCAGGGTAAGTTTGGCAACTTTGCGCTTAACTACGGCGGCAACTTCCAATATTCGCAAACGTGGTTGTTGCTGGGTTCCAAGATGCGGTTCGGTTTGAGCGGTTGTGAGCACTTCCCGGTGTTTTGCTACTACACTTCGACCCAGAAGCGGCCTCTCAACAAGTTGTCTCGATGGTGTAGTTGGTTATCACGTGGGTCTCATACATCAGTATGACTCGGAAGATCACTTCTGGGCGATCCCAAGGCCGGGAGTTCGAACCTCCCTCGGGACATTTCCTTTTTGCTTTTTTTACCCTGTGCTTGGCCCCACATGGCAAAGGATGGGAGTGTGGGACATCCTCGAGCGCGAGGCGGGCTTCTGGAAGAATTCTTCATGGCGAGACCCAGCGGCAGGCCCGGTCGTAACCGGACTTACCAACGTGGTCTCCGAGAATGCTAACCATGATGTCAACTGCATTTGCCGACGAAATGGATATATTCTTCGCGAGTGCCCAAGAGCAAGCAATCTTGTGTTCCCGGATCCCCGATCTCGAAAAAGTCAATCTAGTCCTCCGCACGAGCAGTGTCCTCAAGTCACACTCTTCTCTATCTGCACTCGACTATTCCCACCACTGCACTGCAATCCACTGACCACAATGGTCCGCGTCCTCATCACCGGCTCCGCCGACGGCTTCGGCCTGGAAGCGGCCCGCCAACTCGTCCAGCGCGGCCACACCGTCTACCTGCACGCGCGCAACCAAGACCGCGCCGACCACGCCCAAGCATCCTGTCCCGGCGCCGCGGGGATCCTCGTCGCCGACCTCAGCAACCTCGAAGCGACCCGCCAGTTGGCCGAAGAAGCCAACGCCATCGGCACATTCGACGCGGTGATCCTCAACGCGGGAATGCTCTCCGGACCCTTCCGCAAAACCCCGGACACCGGCATCCCGGCCATGGTGTTTGTCAACGTGGTGGCGCCGTATATCCTCGCGTGCTTGCTGCATCGCCCGAAACGGTTGATCGTCATCTCCTCGCAGTTGCACCGCAGCGCGCGGAACACCGCCGTGGAGGATATTTTCTGGCGAAAGCGGGGCGAGCGCACCTTCCAGGATTTCCAGGCGTATTGTGATTCGAAGTTTCATGTTATGCTGATTGCGAATGCGTTTGCGCGATTGTGGCAGGGGACGTCGAGTGTGGTCTCTGTGCATCCGGGGTGGGTGGCGACCAAGTTGGGGGGTGCGGGGGCGCCGGATCGGTTGGAGGATGGGGTCGAGACGTATGTTATGCTGGCGGAGGGGGAGTATGATCAGGGTATCACGGGGGCGTACTTTGAGCCTAAGAGGAAGCTTGGTAGTGCTCTTCCGGCGACGCAGGATGTTGCGCTTCAGGAGAAGGCTATTAGAGCCTGTGAGGAGGTTACAGGGTTGAAGATGCCGGCTTAGCGAGGCATTGGCTTCTCTGGCTTGCTGTTTGTGGGAGTTTGTATCATAGACTATAATACTCATAGCATCGAGTTAGGTAGGCTTTTCCTCTATTACCTTCACGGAAATTCTTTCTTGACTTTTGCGTTACCAAAATATATAAAAAGTGTTTTGAGGGGGATACCAGTAGAAAACCTATCCCCGGTCTTTAAGGTCCTCGGAGTAAAGGACTGGCATTAACTCGTGTTGCTGATTCACTCGAATGCTCTGAGAGTGCTGCGATAGTCTCGAAATAAGATAGCAATAATTGTCAAGACCGAAAGAAAAATGTATTGGCCAAGTTGCACTAGATTAATTTTTGATGGCTTGGCTGCCGTCCCACTGTGAATACCAAGATCGATGAGATTCGAGGTCAGTGACAAAACATAACATTTGGCTCGAGTAGCCCACATGGTCTTCCGTACGTAGCGGGGAGCAGTCGAAATAGCCGCGGTCGACCGCATTTAGGAAGATGATTGCACGAATCCGGAAGACTAATGTCGACCCCTGTAACCACGCACATGTTTGATTGGAGTGAGGTAGCCGGCATCCTAAGCGAGCATGCAGGTGATGTGACTCCATCACTTCAGCTGAAAATGAGGGGAAGCAGCTTTTGTCAGCCTCCCAACCTCGCCGTCTTCCCCAGCCATGAAATAATATACAGGTCTTCGGTCCCTCACCTACCTTGTCCCACACACGGGACGCCACCCCAGGGTGTCTTCGCAGAATGACCAATTCGACCGCATGGTTTGACCACTCGGTGAATTCAGGCCTCCAGCTTGGCCAAAATAACGGCCATGTCGAATTTCACAGCCATCATGGTAAGCCCTTGCAGTTACACCAACATGTCACATTGTTAATGTCAATCGACCGTGGTCGTTTTGGCGTGCTCCAGGTGCATCTGAAGCCTCACGTAATGAGGCGTGTCTACGCGATCTTCGGATAAGCAATCCTCGGGACGACAAGACCAGGATCGAGGAGTTGAAAGGAGGAATACTCAAGGATTCATACTCATGGGTCCTACGCAACAATGAATTCCTGAGGTGGAGAGATAATGGCGGGCCCGATCGAGATGCCAATGACCGAATGCTGTGGATCCGCGCCGACCCCGGAAAAGGAAAGACCATGCTCCTTTGCGGCATCATTGACGAATTGAAAAAGGATTTGCCCGAGACCTGCGCATTGTCGTATTTCTTCTGTCAACAGAGCGATGCTCGCCTGAACGATGCAACATCCGTCTTGCGAGGCTTGATCTTTCTACTCGTGGATCAGCGGCCGAGTCTGCTCTCCTACATCCGGCCGCGCTATGACGTAGAAGGGAACACGCTCTTCGAAGATACCAATGCTTGGTACGCTCTATCGAAAATGTTTCTCGAAATGTTGGAGGACCCAGAGTTAGAGACCACGTTGTTGATCATCGATGCTTTGGACGAGTGCAGCACCGGCCTGCCATTGCTGCTTGAGCTGGTGAAACGGTCAACGGGGAATCCTCGGGTCAAGTGGATTGTCTCGAGTCGGAATTGGCTTGATATTGAGAAGCATTTGACGGCAACATATTGCTCTACTTTGTCTCTCGAGCTGAACGAGAATTCTGTCGCTGCCGCTGTGAAGACCTATATTCGGATCAAGGTGGACTTCCTCGCCGCGCTGAATGGATACGACGAGAACACCAAAGACTTTACCCGAGAATATTTGACGTCAAACTCCAATGATACATTTCTATGGGTTGCCTTGGTCTGTGAGCGGCTTGCCAGTACGTCGGCATGCGAAGTGGAAAACATTCTTACCTCCTTTCCGGCGAGTCTCGATGATCTCTACAAGCGCATGATGCGCGACATTGAAAATTCAGAAAGTACACAGCTGTGCCGAGTGATTCTCGCCACCGTCTGTACCGCATACCGGCCTCTGGTAGTTGAAGAGCTTTCAGTACTTACCGATCTACCCTCACGATTCTCGACAGATTCTCGGATGATAACGCAGATTGTTAAGCTCTGTGGCTCATTCTTATCTATTCGGGAAGACACCATTTACTTTGTCCATCAGTCTGCGAAAGATTTCTTGCTGACGTCCAATCTCATAATCCCAGCCGGTCTTGAGATGGAACACAGTAGGATGTTGTCTCAGTCTATCAAGGGGATGAACCAGACACTTCGACGTAATATATACGACATTCAGAATCCAGGGTGTCGAGTCGAGGACATCTGCCGTCCTACACCTGACCCCTTGGCACAAGCACGTTACTGTTGCACATATTGGATTGATCATTTATTAGAAGCAGATCCTAGGAACACGATCGACCTGTCCACAGATGGCCCTATTCAGCTCTTTCTGGAACTGAAACTACTTTACTGGCTCGAGGCTCTTAGCATTCTCGGGCAGTTTACTGGAGGCATTGGAGCCATCCTCATACTTAATAGCTTTCTGCAGGTATGCATACCCGGTGGATAAAAGAGAAGGAAGCTGACCATCATCACTTTCCTGTAATCTGTTTAGAAAGCAAAGTGCGCGGACCAATTGTCAAGCCTTGTGAATGACATTTCCCGATACATGCGCGAGTTCAAGGTCCCGATCGAAACCAGCCCGCTCCAAGCCTATAGCTCAGCACTCATTTGGGCCCCGAATCGGAGTCTGGTCAAAGATCTTTACCAGCACGAAAGATCTACGTGGATTACCAAAGTCCCCGTGGTCGAGGAGAATTGGAGTCGCTGTATTCATACCATCGTGGGCAACGACTGTGATATTACTGGAATCGGCTGGTCACAGGATGGTGACCGGCTGCTGTGTATGGCAGCAGACCTGACTGTGAGAAGCTGGGATCCCGAAACTGGACAATATCTTTCGAGCATCAAGCTGGAGAGACATCCTAACGCGCCCACCAGTTATCACTTATCCCGACACACAGGCCGCGTTGCTTCGGTCTTTAGGGATGATCGCACTAAGATTCGTATTTGTGATGCTATCACCGGAAAGTGTATTCGCATACTCGACGACAAATCCTTGCACTCGCATAGCTCGGCACAGTGGGTTGAAGATGGAAAGCATCTCGTCTCGTACTCAGAGGGCGGAATTCAACTGTGGGATGTTTCCGAATCTCCTGAACAAGGAATGCAACCTGTAAACCTCGATGACGGTTTACGCGTACAATGCTGGTCTCACGATGGCTGCCTGTATATTGCGACACCCAGGTCTTTCGACGATCGCGACGACTTCCGCCACGCCATCCACGACAGTAGAACAGGAGTTTGTTTGAGGAAATTGGAATATGATTGGCAGCCTGGTCACCGTCTTGATTCATGGTCCCCCGATGGAAGTATGCTCGCCTGGAAATCGTTCACCAGAGTGGTCATCTGGGATTTGGTCACTGTGGTATCCAGACATGTGCTGGAAGGACAAACTTCCTCAGTTGTCAATATTAGCTGGTCGCCCGATTCAACCAGAATCGCGATAAGTGATCTTCATGATAAAATTAGGATCTGGGATCCAAAACTCGGAATTTGTCTCTGGACGCTCGACGAACACGGAACCTTCGGAAGAAAGGAACTCTGCTGGGCTCCCGACGGAAATCGACTTGCATCCTACTCACATCAAGTGATCAGGATCTGGGACACAACGCCAATCAGAAACTTCCCAGCTTTTGCAGAGCATTCTGTTCAGGTGGCAGCAAGGCCTCACTCACGTCACCGCCGGGCTTTGGCGTACGTTCGATCCCAATTCACGAAGTTACGAAGAAAGGCCCTGGACCAAAAAATCCCACGCTCACCAGCCAATCGTGGCCTGATCTTGTGGCTCTATTGGTCGCATGGTAGAGCACGTGTTGCGTCACTAACCAGCGACGGTGTTCTTGAGATTTGGAACACGGACACCGGTTATAGAGTTTGCGAAATTGAAGGTTATTTTCCAGATCTCGCCATGACAGTGGCCTGGTCATCCGATGGAAAACTAGGGACGTTTGACCAGGGGGTTCTATGCGTATGGAATATTGTGTCAGGAAAGCGGCTTTTAGCTCTATCACATAATACAGGCGGTGTTCGTGAAGAACCCGGGTTCTTTGCCTGGTCGCCGGACGGGTGCCAACTAGCATCAGCAAAAGATGGAACCGTTAAAATCTGGGATCCCGTCACCGGAAAATGCCTAAGGGAACTGCGCCATTCTGATCTGCTTCAGACACTGGCCTGGTCTTGCGATGGACAGAAAGTCGCGTCAGTATCCAAGCGTGATGGTACAGTAAGACTTTGGGATCTCGCCACGGGACAGCATCTTGAGCTCCGCGACCCGACCGGAGAAGACGATCTATCGTTCGCTACAGAATGGCATATTACATGGTCTCATGACAACAGTCGCATCGCCTGGGGATACAATGAGTATGGCTTTCTCTATGACACAGCCAAGGGCTTATGGATAGGCTCCCTCCATATCCAGGAACGCGTTGGGTCTCAAAAGCCTCCACCTGGCCTGCGGGATACCAGTCTTATATTCGATATTTGGGATCTCATCACATCTAGAGGCCGCGGTTCTGTCGATCAGTCAGTTTCAAGCATCGCAATCTACGGGCTTGTCGAGAATGGTCTTGATACGAGTTTGGGGGTCTTTGATGTGAAGGGTGTCGGCTGTGTCCACGACGCTACTGAGAGCAGCCCGTGGATACCAGTTGGGTATGGGATCTCCTCGGATAATTCGTGGATTACTTGGAACGGAGACAATCTGCTGTGGTTGCCCTGGCAATATCGACCGCTCACTAGATATCGCATGTGCAATTCGGGGGCGAATGTGGCGATTGTTTGTCGTTCTGGTCGAGCCATCTTTCTCTCATTCGCCGAGAATCCACTTTCTTGAGTCCCTGTGGTGTCTATCTGCGCTTGGGTGCTGGCCAAGCCAGTAGAAGATTCGCCACAAGTGATTGAGGATATAGCCTTGTTGAGATTGAGGTCTCAATCTTTTCTTGCTCCGGAGCTCCCGTACAATCTTTGAAACGTTATGCTTGGCTCTGAATTTACAGCATGAATCCTCCAGAGTCTAAGAAGAGACATAAGCGTCTCGGCAATTGAGACCTCGTAGCTCTCCAAGTTCTTCTCCCAGGCTATCGTACAGAACCACGTTCTCAGGACACAGCCAAAACGCAGCATCGCTAGAAGATGTGTCATATATTCCAGTAGAGTATAAATTTGACCGTGTTGCGGATATTGGTATGTCTCGCAAGAGTACCTCCGTAGGCTAACACCTAGGGCAGCAGCAGTGCCTATTGTGACCCGAGGTCGCGCATATGGAAACCGATTCCGTCTCGAGTCACACTCCGTCATTTCCTTTGCTATTGCACATTCTGAAGCAGGTCCGGAATTATCAGGAGCTACGTGATCATTATGTGAAAGCGAGGCGAGTTTTAAGGTCCGTCGTCGCACCTTCTGCCGCCTGTTCTCTAGAAAAATCAACGCCAAGTTTTCTTCTCTTCAATAATCCCCCTTTTCCTCCTGACACCCTCCTCCCCTTTTCCTGTCAGAAACAGAATTCCCACTCAGGCTTGCCCCTTTCTGCATTTCTCCTTCAGCTACAAACGCGATGCAAGATCCCTCGACCACAGCATGGATAACGCCCATGCCCATCCCCGCAAGGATCGATCCCCACCGCGCGCAGCAGGCACGCACGCGCAAATTCCTCGAGGAGAACGCCTGGCTCAACGCCCTCCCCATCACTGCAAGCGACCTCCACGCTCTCCGGAGCGTCCAAGGCCTCTACGAGGTTCGCATCGACAAATGCCCATGGCTAGGCGCTAGTCTCCGCCTCTGGCTTCTATGGGACTACGATCGGCTCTGGGGGAGTTTTACATTCAGGCCCCTCGAGGGCGTCTTCCTCATCGACCCCGCGTTCACCATCGAGCGGTGTGACCCGGCCACCGGCTTTAGTCCATCGTTGCCGGTGGAATGGATGGGCTGGGCCGAGGATGATGGCTGGGGTCGGGAGGAAACCAGCAGTATCCCGAGCGAGATGCGGATCAACCCCTGGACAAAGACACTCGAGGGTGAGTTTGGGTTCATGTGGGGATCCGGCTGGCCTGGTCCAGGGACGATGAGTTTCCGGGCCACGCGTTTGCCCGAGGCCGAGAATCCGGGCCGTCATGATGTCAACTCCGTTGAGGATATTGTACGCGAATGGGGTCGTCGTGGGCCGCCATATTATGAGCTGGAGATCATACGACAGACGCTGTCGCCGGAGGAGCTGAGGGCGGAACTGCGCAACCGGGATGATGCGCTGGCTCGGGCTCGTGAGGAGAGTCTGAATGCGGGGGCTGATGACGATGATGAACTAGCACTTTTGTCCGCGTGCTTTTCGGTAAAGAGGGATGTGGCAATGGCTGTGTTCGACCGCAGTGGCAATAGTATACAGATTCGTCTGCGGGTTCACACAAAGTACAATCGGGTCTGGGGAGAGTTTGACGGCGACTTCCGGACGATTTCCTTTGTGAATTTGCAGACTCGTGACAAACATTCAGCCTTGACGAAAGACTCGAGCATTAACGAGGCTGAAGACAGCCACCTTGTATCTCTGCTAGCCGGGTTGCTGTCGGAAAGGAAAACGCTCAGCGCCCAAGTGTTCGACAAGCTTGGCAGTAGCATGCCGATCCGCCTGCGGCGAGATGAGAAAGTTGTTGTCTCTGGAGAATTTGACGGGGACTTTGAGACGCTTTCTCTGATAAGGTGGAAGATTGACAGCCGTTCTGGGAAGTGTTAGGATTTCTGATAATTCTTCTGCTTTGGATGCACTCGTTGCTAGACAGGTCTGGTAGCCATCGCCGATATCAGGCAAGCAGCCAAGCTCTGGCGTCTTGTTTCCCGGAGGAAAAGTCTGTTAGCTCTACATTGATGGCTACCTACTATGAGGCATCAGTGCGCTCTTGTCTTCGAGTTGAACTCGTCCGTTGTGGAATGTTTTGTTATTTCAGCTGCAGCTTATCTGCTATTATTGTCTACCCCTTGCCTCGTAAGTTACTTCGCTTTAGCCAGTGATCATATTCCACTCAGTAAGCAATAACTGATGCAAATGAGTGGCGATATCCGAATGCCCATAAAGCGCCCATAGCATAGATAATCATATCCTCAGGCACAGGTGTCTGATGTCCCTAGTTCTTCTAGAGTCCAGGACGATTACCGGCATCCCATGCACATTACAAGATATCTGAGCTGCTCTGTGATTCATACGCAGCCAGGGATATCATCGGAAAACTCATATGGGAAGCCTTTTGCTCATACAATAGGACATTCCCACCCAGTTCTTTGAGCTCCGTTCTTCTATCTGGAACATTTCCTTTAAAGTCCTTTGTAACAATCTCTTCCTTTGTTCAGTCCCCTAATATCCCATTCAGAACAAAGCCAACAACGGACGATGACCGTTAAACCCCCTTAGAATATCGCCCTCCTCATACTATATAATGCCCTTCCATCTCCACAAAAAGTCTTTCCCCCTCTCAAGCAACTAGAGGTGACTCCCATCATACCCATCCTTCCGGAAACCAGTATGAGAAGCGTCCCGCCCCTAGCTGCCCCAATCTTCACGGTCCAACCAGACTTATAACCTCGATCAAGTATGCCTTGATCTAGACTCTCAACAATGTATACGAGCGTTGGCGCATAAAGCCAACAGCTGCCCCACAACACACAAAACTCCGCACCCAAAAGGTGAGTACATACAACTGCTCTTGGCTCCATGCCTAGCTACCATGGATCAAGCCAAGCGATACGCGGAAGTTGCGGGGAATCAAACAAACGAGATACGAACCTATCCCCGAGGGGGAAAACTGACAGCTGTGTCGGGTCTCAATGGTTTGTTTTGGGGCGAGAAAAAAAGTGGCCTGGGACGTTTGACGAAACGTTCTAACAGCACAGATCGTATCCCCGTTCCATGTGGTCCTGCTATGTCGGATTGAATTACCGTTCGGTGGTTTGATTTGGTTTAGTGGGTGCATTTGGTGAGGAGCGAGAGAGAGGTTGGCTTTACAGATTCTGTAGAGCTGGGGGTTTGAATTTGGATGGGTCGTGAGGGTCGCGGGGTGGTTTTGGGGGAGAGGTTTCTCGTGTGCTTGTGCTCTGGAGGCGTGGGGATGGCGTGGGGATGGCGTGGGGTCGCCTCTTTTTGCGTTAGGTTGGTTTCATGGTCTGGCGTGATTGTGGCTATCTGAGGATGGAAGCTCTGCTAGTAAGATATTTTTCTGCTGATAGGATTGCTGTGTGAGATCAACCTGAGATTGCGGCGGCGTATCTCTTGAAATGGCGATATAAAGCTGCTTCATTCGTTGCAAGATGTTGGGCGTGCCGAGTAAGAGTCCAGACTTATATGATTGTAGCTCTAGGATCAATACCGATCGACTCACGCGTCTTGGTAAGAAATAGAGATATACTAAGTGATGAGAATGCGTAGTAAGACTACCCTAACACTGTAAGGAACGTAGATGTAGCATCATAATACGGGTCTACCTAGTAGACTAGGACTCCTTCCCTAAGCAGGCGGTACACTATGCAGCCTCCCGGAAGCACCAGCCATGTACCCCCAACAATCCACAGGAAAGTACCATATCAAGATAGAGATGGTGTTTGGCGTTCCAAATCCCCAGGTCCAAGGTAATAAATCCCGGTTACACCAAAAACCACCAACTCGCAAAGACATCTCTTGATTGACGACAGCCCTCAAACTTAGTGCGTTCATGCCATGCATGAACCCGTAAACCGGTCTAATACCTGATACCCCGCCCGCATCCTCAGCTATCTGCCTCATATCTATGACATCCGTGTTCCAGATGACAAGGTTCACAGCCTGAATGTCCATTGCGGAAGAATATGCTAACAGGATGATTAGGCAATAGTAGGTCCCTGCAGTGCCCTGGGAAGCAAGTCACTCGCTGGGTTTTAACCAACCACTCTGTTGGCAGCCCTCACCAGGTTGCCGCTGACCACCCAGCTCAGGGGCCTTACAGAAGAACATAGAAAACCCCGGTAAAGACCAGGGGTGGAACCTCCGTCCTACTGGTGGAAATTATGGATATAATTTCAAAGAAATCATGTTGCTGAATTTACCACCATCTAGTACCTGGGAAAGAGCTGACAAGTATACTTGCTGCCTATAGTCTACTCAGCCTTAAGATACACTACTTGCGAGATGACGTTTTCACTACACCTTTAATTTAAGGGCATGTACTATAACGGAATATGCTGCATACACAAACCACCCCCTCACACTTTAATGGGCAAACTCTTGAGCACCTCACCCGCCGCCTCGCGACACAGCTCCCCGACAGACATGCCGCCCACGAGCTTGAGCACCGGCATGTCCACCTCCAACTCCTTCAGGAACCACGACCGGATCTCCACGGCAATCAACGAGTCCACCCCCAGATTGATCAGCGGCTGACCGCGCTCGATCGATCCCCTGGCCGCCTGCAGCATGCGCTCCATCTTCCCGACAAACGCCTCCTGGATGACGCCGTCCACCGCCTCCAACGTGCCGGCCTCCGCGACCGCCTCCGCCAACGGGACCTGCTTGGCCGCCGCTGCATCCCCCACCACCGTCTGACTCTCCTCCGGGACAGTATGCAGACTGAACCGCGGATTCTCGGCCCAGAACGCCTTCCCCGCCTCCTCGCGGAGACTGTGTCGATGCAATCCCGTGATCATCTCCGGCGTGTGGCCCCCGCCAAGGGCCGGGTGGCCGATGACGATCGCCTGCGCGAACATATCCCAGAACTCGGGCTCGGCGATCGGCATGTACCTGTACTGTCGGAGAGTCGTCTCATACACCCCCGTGGTGCTGACGTACCCCACCCCCAGGACCATGCCGATGTGGAACACCGACGCGGCGAGCCCGCGCGCCCGCCGCTGCGCCGCGACCGTCGACATGAATAGATTGGCCGCGACGTAGTTGCTCTGGCCCCGGTTGCCGACGATGCTGGCCAGCGAGGAGAACATGATGAAGAAGTCGAGGTTCTGGGAGTGGAAGAGCGTGTCCAGGTTCTTCGTGCCTTGGACCTTGGGGCCGAAGACGGTGGTGAAGTCGCTGTGCTTGAGCTCGCCGAAGGAGCGGTCGGAGAGCACCATGGCCGCGTTGGCGATGCCGGCGACGGGGGGCATGCTGGCCGTTATGGTTTTGTGGACGGTGGTGAGTGAGGCCATGTCGGCGACGTCGGCTTCGAAGAGCTGCACGTTGACGCCGAGTTGGGAGAGGTCGGCCAGCCAGGTGGTCGAGATGCGCGTGCGGTTCCGGGTGGTTAGGGCTAGGTGCCGCGCGCCGTTGAGGACCATCCATCTGCACAGCGATTGGCCGAGGCCGCCGGTGCAGCCTACCAACAGGTAGGTTCTGTCGGGACGGAAGAGGAGGGCTGGGTTGATGGGGCGCGTGATGGTGGGGACGGTTGTGGAGGGGGAGAAAGAGACGATAGCGTGGTAGGGGGGAGTGGGTGTGTTGGCCAGCTCTGCAGCCGGGATTGTCTCGAAGGTGGCGTCGTCGGGCTGCTGCTGCGTCCAGGAGACAGCCCTTTGCAGTTGGGAGGTGTTCAAGTTGGCGGTGTCGGCGGTGCTGGTTCCAGGCGCGATGGCATCGCCATAACTCCGAACCTTACACTGCGTCGGGATAATGCGCTCCCACTGCACGGAAGACTCGGCGAAGTCGACGAGGAGCTTGGTCGAGGGCGGGATCTGCGCGCGGATGCTGCGCTCGGAGGCATAGGCATGCGTGCGGACGTCAACCACCTTCACACCGGCTTCCGCAGCCTTGCTCCTCAGCACACGGCCCAGTTGCTCGTCAGCCTGGTGGAGAACCAGTACATCCGACAACGACAAGCCATGCAGCCACTCATCAGCGACGAGCCCGAAGGCAATTGTCTGCAGCAGCGACGGGCTAGCGTGTTCGGCCGCAAACACCATCTCCTCTGACACAGTGACCACCGAACCCACCGAGTTGGTGAATGCGACAACCTGGACATCAGGCTGATTCAACAAGTTTCCAGATACCACACAAACCGGGCCTTGCTCCAGCTGCACCGCATCCACCAGCGCGTGCGTTGCCTTGACCTCCACCGCACCATCCTTCTCCACAACCGACGGTAACGCAGGCGACAGCACAAACCGATCTGCCTGCTTCACCAGCTCCAGCTTCTCCTCGGACGTCGTCGTGCCCTGCACAACCATCTTCCGCGCATTCAGCTGATCATTCAGTCGCTTATCCGGAACGATCCGCGGCACGAACCACTGTGCGTTCTCGCGCACCAGCTCCGGCTCGCAGGTCCACAGGACATTCTTGGTCGCCAGACGCGTCTGCGAGGCGAAGACCAACCGCACGAGCGCCTCGGCCACAGCCTTCGCGGCACCTGCATCGACCGCGTCCTCGATGTCGAGGTGCTGGAGCTGGATGTGCGGCTGCTCGGCCGCGATCGCACGACACAGCCCGATGGCCATGTTGCCGTGGGGGTTCTTCTCGCGGCACTGCCCGGACACCCAGAGCAGCTGCCTGCACTCGGGGAGGGCGCGCTGCAGCGCCTCCAACTTGCGCGGAGTAAAGTCCTCCAGCACAGGGCGATCGAAGTCCTCCAGCATCACCAACGAGGTGACCGCGACATCAGGGCGCACAAACAACCCTTCCAGATTCTCGACCAGCTGAACACCCCCCGCACCCCCGAGGGCCTCGACCACCCGCCCCGCCAGCCCCTTCTGGCCCCCCACAACCGTAACCGGCGGCAGGATCCAGCC